GAGGGTGGGTGGCATTGGCTGAAGTGATGGTGGTTGTGGTCCATATCTTGCTGCTAGGTAACAAGCAAGTAGCTCTGCCTTCACAACCCTAAGCAGGGAAGAGGAAGCTGCCTCAGATCCAGCCAGACCACTGACCTATCAAGCCCAGGACTGCCAGTGCGAACTGGCAGTGGCTTTCTAGGGTTTGAGGCAAGAGCTTTCTAGACCTTCCTGGAGATGATGGGGATCGAACCCGGGACCTTCCGCATGCACCTGTCATTGAGCTACGCTCCCTCTCCATACTTGGAAGTATGTCTCAATGAACTGAGTGGAAAGAGAGTCTGAGGGGCATCTCTAAGTGTGAGCTTTCATCTTGAATGGATTACTGATCAGGTGCAGACATGCGATGAAAAATTACCTGCCCAGGTGTGTGTGGGTGTGGGTGTGTATGCACATGCATACCACAAACTTGGACAGGATGTAACAATTCCGATTACGAAGTGCTGGCACGGATAGGGGAAATTAGTCAACTAATGGTCAACTCGATTCACCTGTAGGCACTGATTAAGTCAGTACTGGGAAAGTCTGCCTGCTCACTCTTCCCTTCCGCATCCCTGCTTGGCAGAGAGACTGACCGAGTGTGGCATCTCTGTGGGAATCCGCAGCTCATGCTTCATCCAGTGACTCAGGGGCATCCTTCTCTGGCCGAGAAATATTTTCCAGACAAATCACATGCAGGAATGCTGGGCTGGGCTGGGGTCGACCTCACGCATGAGTCAGAGGCGGCACCTGCATTCCAGACCTCCGGGCACAGCTTGGAGGGGAAATGCTGGGTAGGATCCAGCTTCATCCAAGTGTGCTGCTCAACAGCTTCTCAGCCGCTTCTGGTAGGTTAGTCCTTGTAAATCATCAAAAAGGGGAAAGCGGGGAACAGATTTGCATAATGATTTGCAGGTGCTAATCTATGCATTTTGTAGGAAATATAGGGGGCATCTCACTGTAGTATCTAAGGGCAGGCAACTTGGGTGTCGCTCGGGGCGCTAAGTGGGTACAGGAGATGGGCAATGCCAAGGTGAGACCCAGGTGCTCTCTCTGCTTAGGGTTTTCTCTTTTTACTGAACTAAGACTGGCAGTCCTTCAAACAGATGATGGCCCCCTGTAAACAAGGACACGTGGCCACCCTGCCAGGCCCTTTGCCACAGGAAAGCACAGAAAGGTTCTTTCTAGATCAGAATCTCTTTCTAGTCCCATGGAAATCAGCCTTGCTTCCCCTGACGAAGAGACACTGATGCGAAGACGTGGCACACCAGATGGTGCAGTATTCACTGGGGCACCAAGTGGGTATGAACAGCACACTGTGATAAGTAAGCCAAATAGTAGGATCTGTGTGGCCCAGTGCAGGCATTCTTAATCTGTGTACAATCAACGTGTGAGTACAAGGCACACTCCGTCCAATCACCTCCTGTTCGCAGAGGTTCTACGTGTAGTTAAGGCCCCCACACGTCAGCTTGCCCCACACAGTAAAAGACAGAACCTCCAGTAACAGATTTCCAACATTTCATTGAGTTTAGCCCTTAGGTACTGGCTAACCTTGTAATTACTTGGATTGTAAATTGACTTGAATGCTTGTTAAAGAGTTTTTCTCTTTAAAATGCAGGAGATTAAATGTTATTCATTGTCAGCCCTAGTTCTTTTATCTGTAGAACAGAAAAAAAGTAAGTCCCATGCCTCACAACAGGGATGAGAAAGTTGTGTCCATCCAGACGTTGGCCTGGAACTCCCATGACCCCTCACCACAGGCTAAGACTGGTGGAACTTGTAGACTAAAATATCTGGAGTTGCCCATCACTGATCCTCGGATTGAGAGTAAATCTGATGAAGATTGTGAAGTCAGCCAAGACATGAAAAATGGTTGTAAGATGTAGAATCTGTGAATAAATGTTGCAGTGTTGTGAAGTGCGTCTGTTCAAAATCCCAGGCTCACCATCCCATCCCATTCCCCTCTCCTCCAGTCAGTTCACCATTCTGTACCCACTAAGCACACTCAATCCTCAAGCTCCTTTTTTGCAGGGAGCAGTTTGCTGAGAGCATTTTATTAAAATTTGTTTGTACTTCCACAGATTCAGCAGTTCCCCAGGCCTGCTGATCCTTCCCTCTTGTGCATGGGTGGTATCATCTTGGCTATGCAAGAAGCTCAAGGTTGCTTTTAGTATATACAGATTTTGACCTTTTTGAATTTAACTTGAAAGCCTTTTATCTTTTTCTGGACTCTTTTGTGTGAGTGCTGATGTCTTGAACAATTCTACTCCTTATATGCTTCTCTGTCTTATCTTGGCTTACTGGATCTCTTCCCTGTTCCTTCCTTCATTCTTCCTCTTTATCCCATGATCGTTCGCTCTCTCACACTTGCGCTCGCGCTCGCTCTCTCTCTCTCTCTCTCTCTCTCTCTCTCTCTCTCTCTCTCTCTCTCTCATGCACACACACACACACACGTGCGTGCGTGTGTGTGCTGCTTTCATTGCATTTGTCTTTAATGTTTTCTTCCACCCTGCCACCTGTCAGTGTGAAATGTTCCCTTGGCACGTTTTTGCTTGTTTCTGTCTAACCAAAGAGGCGCCTCATCACAATGCTAAAAAAATACAGCTGTGTTTTGAGAATGCAATAGAATGCACATTCCAGCTGCTTCTGTACCAGGGCAGAAGTTACATCTTGCTAAAGTCAAAGAACCCACACAGAGGAATAGGTTCCTTAATGGGCTAGGACAGGTGGGTGGGAAATAGATCTCTAGATGTTTTGGGCTTCAAGTCCCAGCATTCCTGCCCATTGGCCACACCAGCAGGGTCTTCTGCAAGCTGAACTCTAAAGCATCTGAGTATCTACCTTCGGCCAACTCTTGGGCAGGTAGAGCCACTGTGGGTTAAAGTGTATGTCCAATCAAATTCGAGATCAAGTTAAATTCCAGTGGTTGTTTGGATTATGAAAAGGTTCTCACAGTAGAGAACCTCTTTTCATAGAGACCCATATTAGAGGAGACTAAGGGTAGGTTCACATGATATGAGAAGCTGTGGTGAAATTTTACTATTGTGGGTCTGTTGGGTCATCTGGACCCGGTTCCTGAGTTCCTATGTTCCCAGACCAGAGATTGCCATTTTATCATTGTTGGTATGAAAACGCCATAAAGTCCCTTCTAGCCTTTGATCTTGCGTGCCTTCTGCTCCCTGGCAACAAATGCCTTCTTGTTTGCTTTAATCCCATTGGCCAAGTGATGTGTCCATCACCCTGTTTACATTTGGAAATGGAGAGTGTATGAAAATGTGCAAGGGAGTAAGGGGGAATCATGGCAAAAATGTTTATTTACATTTAATAAAAATCTCTGTGGGGGCTGCAATGTATTTTATTGTGTTGTAAGCCGCCCCGAGGCTTCGGCAAGGGGCGGCATAGAAATGTAATAATAATAATAATAATAATAACAACAACAACAACAACAACAATAATAAGTGCTACACACTTGTAGGTACAAGTCTTGTAGGGGGAAGGGGGGAACCTGCTTCAAGACCCCAGTGGGCCGATCAGGAGCAGCTTGATGTGGCCGATATGCAAGACTAGGGAAAGGACAAGGATTTTGCTCATGGGGCTGCCAGAATTGTGGCAAGGCTGGGAGGCAAGAAGCATGGAAACCGAACCACATGGTGCACTGACTGCTATGTTTGGTACCAAATCAGTGCACCGCGGAGACTGTGTGGCACGGTTTTCCATAATGTGTGAATGCAGCCTAAGTCACTGACAACTTTGCACCGGAGAGATTAGCATGCAGTAACTCACCACAGATTGACCAACACAGTGGCTTGATTCAGACATTACATCAAACCATGGTTAACGTTGCTTACCTACGGTTTAGCACAATAACTGAATAGGCAAGCTGTACTTCATGAGTGACTAGCAGTTCAGAATCACAAGCCACAGTTTGGTGAGGATATTGCTAACTACTGTTTTGTGTGATATCTGGAGAAACAAACTCTACTTATTTCTCCGGAAAATTCTGTACATAGATAGAGCAGCACTATGGAGATGAGACATAAAAGCAAATATGGTTTCTCTAATCCGTATGGACCCCGGCACCATGAATCGTGACCTAAACTGAGGCGAATAAAAATCAGAGATGGCATAAAGTCTGAACTGAGTTCGTGTGCCATCTACGTTGGTACGTCCAGATCTCATTTAAGGTGATGGTTGCTTCTTGCAATTCCTTAGCTTAGGTCCAGCATCCCTTAGCAATTCCCTTCCCTGTGAAAGCCCTTAAGATCTCACCGGTATGGATTGCTTTCAGAGCTGATGTGTTTTTAATTATGTGTTAGGATTTGTTGGTTTTTCTTATGAGCCACCCAGAGGTCAGGAGGGATTAAAACATGTTATTAAAATAAATGCAGAGAGGAAAAGCAGACAGGTGCACTGCTCCAAATGAAGGCAATGGGGAGACTGAGTTTAAGTCCTTGGTCTTAAGCAGTATTTAATTTCCAAAAGAAAGAGGTGCTGAGTATTAAACTTGCCTGGGTGTTCTGCCTTCTAGGCCAGGTGTCTTCTCTACAAATATCAGTAGGTTTGTAGCAACTGGCTGGGCTTACTCAGTGTTGTGGGAAAGGCATTTTGCACGTGCCTGAAGGTGCTCTCTTCTTTTCAGCACATGTTAAAATATTAAGACCTGGTACTGAAAAACAGTCCCTAGGTGAGCAAATGGACCACATTCTCTGCTTTTTTTACCACTTTGTCTGATGAGAAAGAGTTGGAAAGGCTGCACATTTGTGTGCAGTTTTTGTTGGTCCTAATAAAAGCATTGTCCACTGGAAGATGTTCATTACTGATGTCTTTTCCCAAGAGTGTGAAAGGTATATAAACTATGCTTTGCAGTTCTGGAATAGAGGCATTGGGAGCAGAATGAAGCAACCCAATGGTTTTGCATTGTCAAGGAGAGTGTCCCTTGCACCTCCTCCAATCCAACCTGCATTTTTAACCCTCCTCTTCAGGCTGCTAACTGGAGCTCCCCGAGATAGAGCTGTGGAGATGGAGAATGCCACGCGGACGGGTGCCATGTACGCTTGCCCGTTGACCTCGCTCATGGATGACTGTGTCCGAGTGAACATCAAGGTGGCAAGTATGTAGACATGTATAAGGCAGCGCTTATCTGGGGTGGGATGCCACACCCAGTCAAGGTCCGAGGGGTCCAGCTAAAGATTCTGGCACATCTGTGATTGTAATGGCTATGCTTACCCATCCTATTCTTTCCTGCCTCGACCATTTTTGCAACTTTTACCTCTTTGGGCTTCAATGGTCTCACGCAAATACGCTCACCTTTATCCCACACTTTGAAATCAAAACCATGTTTTAAATAGTGTCTAATGAAGCTTTACCCTGATCCTATTTTGTATTATGGTTTGTAAACTGCCCAGAGTCTCCACGGTTGAGTGGTACAGAAATGAAATAAAATGAATTAATCTCTCTTCTTCCCCTGATCGGGGGAGGAGTTAAGTAATTTTACACAGTGAATATGTGTGTGATGTATTTTCAGCACCCCCGCTGCCCCTCCACTTTGGATGGGAATGCATATTATTTCCCTTATTTAAAATAAGACAGGCTAGTCCTGCTGACTCTGCGCATTCTGTCAAGTGGGGCTTTGGACGTCCATCCCATCCTCCTGCCCTGATGGCACCATTGCCTCTAGCCATGTGACACCAGTCCTTAATTTCCTGCACTGACTTCCTGTCTGCCCCCAGAACCAGCACAACTACCAACCTCACCCTCAAAGCCTTCCCAACTTTATCCTTCTACCTTTAGGCTCCATCCTCAACTACCCAAAAGTCTCCTGTTCCTCAAATTAATCATGCACTGTATGTAGAAATATTTTCTTCTGTCTCTCATGCTGATCAAGTTGAAGTAGCAACTCCCAATTTTTATGCTGTGAAAGCAGGTGAAAGATTTCCATCATTTATCTCCATCCAGTCCAAATAGTCTCACATGCTGTGCTAAACATCCCATACCTCACAGAATGTTGTGAGGGTAAATACCAAACAAATATGTAGAGCTGTTTTGGGCATGGGGCAAATGAAATGATAAATAGCAGAGGCAATGTTGCAAGCAGCTCCTTAGGGCTGGAGCTCCAAATCTTTCATCTGGGGCCCTGAATCTCTGGAAGGCCAGATGCTGTAGCATCTCTCTTTACCCACAGCATCTCCAGCTTGATCATTAGCTTGAAACAAGCATTCTTCAAGCCCCATGCTTGCTTTGATGCAGTCTGTGTCTCCTCCTACCGCCTGGAAAACCCTGCCCCTTTGGTGTGAGGAGGAGTGGAAAGATCTAAAGGATTGAGCATAGGATTGGAATGTGGCGCGAAGGCAGATCCTGATGACATTTCCCCCTCTTTCTTCTTGTCCCTTGTGTTCCCCTCAGGTGACTCCCACACTAATGTCGTTGAAGACATGTGGCTGGGTGTGACCGTAGGAAGCCAGAGAACACCAAAAGGGAGAGTGATGGTGAGTAGGATGTAGAGGCATTTTGCATTCTTACTATTTTGGCGTGGCGCATTATCATGTTGTTATCATTACTGTTAGCACTGGCATCACAGGGGGCTTTTTTGAAAGGCTTAACTGAAGCATGGGGGTCCAGCAGCCAGATGGGGCTGCAGGCCTTTCAGGCCCCCAGCTTCCTACTCAGTGAGGCTGACTCCTGAGCAGATGTGATAGGTTTGTGTGACAAGAAGCCTCCTCCTTCCCTGCCCTTCCCATCTTGCAAGAATATGCAGGCAGGCACTCCTTGGCCTTCAAAAGCCTGCTGCTCCCAGGGGGTCTGCTTCTGGGGCACCCTGGCCTCTTCCGCTTCTTCCTTCCCCCAGGAGCCTTTTCTTCCTTGGATCACTCGTGCCTGCTATTTTGATCCTCTGCCACATCAGCACCTTCAAACGCTTCAGAAATGTCTCCTCTGGAATGAGCTGAAATTCAAGAAATAGCTTTGGGCCGCGGAGGCCAGACAGCCTGGCGCCTTGCAGGTACCACTCATGCCAGTGGCCTCTCGCTTAGTCATAGGACATTGTCAAATGCAGAATTCCTTTCTAGATGGGTTCTGCTATCTGAAGCAGCTCCCGTTATATGGCTCCCTTCCCTTTACTGGAGCCATCCATAGGAAGGTTCTGGTGTCATCCACCCGAATAGAACCCAGAGTCTCTTTTGCAGCTCTTACAGGGTATGGCTTAATTTAATATAGGAGATATACAGTATTCTAGGAGATAGGTCCAGGATCTCTTTTCTGTATTCTGATGTAATAAAGAGAAATGTTCCTCTGAGTGCACACAAAGCACCTTTTATCATGGAGTTAGCAAATGCTTAGGCATGGCATGGCTTAATTGGAAGAAGGGATTCTACCAGAATTGGCCTGTTTGCAATGCCAGCCAGGCCAGTAACATATTGGTATCATCATAATGCTAAGCCTAGGATATGTTACCTGGAGCTTGTTACTGTAGCTGTATTGCAGACAAGCAAACCACCTGTGGCTTGTCTTTCCCGTTTCTGGTTTGTTTCTCTCCCACCTGTCTTACCAACTTTTAGAGACAGTTTGTTTTCAGGGGGCTCATCCAGGGCATCTCTGCCTCAGGGTGGTCAGTAGCACAGATAACCCAGGGATAAGCCAAATTCTCAGTTCGGACAGCATGGCAAGCTATAGTTTAAACAAGCAGGATGTCATAAGCCAACAATGAACATGGCTTCTCTTTGTGGCTTAAAGCTGGTTAAGAAACCATGGCTTGTTTGCAGATACAACAGTATACTAGATCTCAACAAACTGCAGCTGGGTGAAAACCAGACCACAGTCTAGTTTATATGCACTCTGCATTGCCAAGACTGCCTGTAAATAGAAGCCAGGCTGTCAGAATCGCAAGGAGGTTAAACAAAGGGAACGAAATGTGAAGAACACCACTCAGTCTTCCAGCTGTTAAAAAACCAAAACCAAAAACAGACAACTTGCTGAATGAATTGGTTAGTTTATAAGATGTTTGTAGTCATGTTGGTCCATGAAAAAAACTTAAAATATTGAGCAGATAATGTTTTTATTAAGGGAATGTAGCAGTTAAAAATAACCAGCAACCTTTATGGAACCCTTTTCTGGGGGCTTATGCTATATTAAACAAAACTAGGAGGGGAAAGGACAGAATTGAAACATGATGTGATAAGATTTTTAATTGGGCCCTGTGATTTCTTGTAGTAGTTTTTTTTTTTAAATGGTTTGGGTGGATGGACAGATGGATGTGCACATGTATTTATTATCTATTTACATGTCTGCATGTAAATACTTTTTATATTATGAACAGTATTGTATTTTCATTGAATGAATGAATGAATGAATGAATGAATGGTAGAAAAGTTCTGGTTTGGCGCAGAGTATAATTTTAGAAAGGAAGAAAATATTTCAGAAATAGAAAATGTTCTTTCATGATTATGAAGATTGTATGTATGGAATGGGATTGTGGTGTGTGTGTGTGTGTGTTTATTTATTTAATGAATCTATATGCTGCTACAATAGCCCATATCTGGGTTCTCTGCGTGGCTCACAATATAGGAGAAGGCTCATCTTACTAGCTTACACGGAGCCCCCAAGAATGATGCTTGGCTCTTGGCCTCGCACAGCCCTCATCCTTAGAAGCAGGCACTGGTGGCCTGTGCAGGCCAGACTCAAATCTGGACTCGGATCCAAGGCTTAGGGCTAGTGGAGATAAGCATGCAAAGGCCTGTTTCACGCACAACCCTATTAATTAAATTAGCCATAGTTTGTTGAATCGTGAGTTGTCATTATGCACCAGCCCTGAACGATGAATTAACTATAGGTTGTTAAGAAGAATCCATGATGAGAGCCCTTTGTTTGTTGTTTGGTTGGGACCTGTGGATTGTTTATGGTTCCGTGCATAGAACTGTGGTTTATTCATGAGTTGGTTCACCAAGCTACAGAGGCAACAGGAAAGATTAGTTTAAAAACTCTTTTTTCATGCCAGTATTGCAGTTGAAGGAGAGGAGGAGAAAAAGAAACAGCCCAGGGATTGAAAAACAAACCATAGTTTGTTCAATTGTGTGTCAGGCAAACCCTGTGTAGGGCAGCTTATTGGTTAACCATGGGTTAAATGCCCTAGGGATTTGCTTTAAGTGCAAATCAGGTCACAGTGCTTGGAATGTGTCCATTACATGGTCCATCACCATAACGGCAAAGGCAAAGACCAAAATCCTGAGCCAGTCATGGCTATCTGGTCCCTGCTTTCTGACTGTCCACAAACTTTCCTTCCGAGTTTTATGGCTTTCATCACTGGCACGCAAGATGGACTCATTACTAATACCCCCACTTTGTGCCATACATCAAGCAGTGCTTAGAGTCATTTTCAGAGCTTGGACTCCGCATACACAAGTGCATTTCTCTACACATCTCCAGTGTGCCTAGAACCAAGAGAAAGGACTTCCATGTCAGCAGGAGCATCTTCCAAGGAAGCTGGAAACTCCCCATCTATTCCAGCAGTCTAAAGACTCGGTTGGTTTTGCCAGGCTTGTGCTCATAGGTACATCCGGATCTTGTGGGCTGGCACCGAGGAGCAGAAACGCATGGTGGGGAAGTGCTACATCCGTGGCAATGACCTGGACTTCAGCGAGGCTGATGAGTGGCAGACGTACCATAATGAGATGTGCGATCCTGGCACTGACTTTGAGATGACGGGCATGTGTCAGATGGGCATCAGTGGTGGCTTCACCAACAGCACCGTTTATTTTGGAGCTCCTGGTGCTTTCCATTGGCAAGGTTTGTGGTCTCTCCTCTCTCCCCCATCTCTCTTTTTCCCCCCATGCCTGCGTGTTCTCTCTCTCTCTCTCGCACACATACGCATTTTACCCTTTTAACTAGGGCTTTTCTACACGAGGCCTTCATTATATGCTCATAATTTCCTAACACAGTTATTCATGGATTCTTTGGATGGAATCATATGTCATGACCCTCCAGTTTCTCTTCTGTGTTTAACCAGCACTTTTGTTAGTTATTTTAGAGAACGGGAAATATGCGATTCAGTTGTGAAAGTGCATTTCATTGGTGTATTTGTGGTATTCTGCTATAGCACAGCACCACCTTGAAATTATGCAGGGAAAAATCAGGAAAGGCAAAGCTCCGATCTCAGTCCTGTAATGAAATTGAGAGCAGACATAGTGGATGAACAGCTGATTAACGGGCTCATGTAGAAAAGCTCTCATAATAAGTTTGGGACCCAGATGGTTTTACAGCTTTGTTTGGAAAAAGTTGAAATAAAGGGGCTGACACCTCTTAGGATCAATTAGTGTGTTTGAAAAAAGAAGTTTATATACTCATAACTTCTATTTAAAAGGAAGAAAACAACTCCAGTTGTAAGTTTTGTTGAATTTAGACGTTTTAGGAAAAGCTGACAAACGCATATCAAATTAGCAAATTCCACCGACTTCTTTTTTTCCTTTATCCACTCTCTGCTTCCTTCATCTATTTACTGATCGCAGTTCATTCCTACCTTCCCAACAAAAATGATGCTCTAAGTTCTTTGAAGGCTTCTGCCACTTTCCTCCCAAGTCCCTTGAATACCATGTCATTCTTTTAAACCTCTGCTTCTTCTTTTCATCCATCCCTCTGGTCTCCTCAGCTCCTTTTTCCCCCATCTCCTTTTCCACAGCCCTGCTCTTCTCCCACAGCTCCTCTGCCCAACTACCTTGTCTTTTCTACCTCCCTTTCTTCCAGGCTGCTGCTGCTACTTCTGCTGCTGCTCTGAAGGTCTCTGGTTCTCATTCTATTTCTCTGTCTTTCTTGTCTCCATACTGTGGGCTTCCTGTCCCATATTCTTCCTGCAAAAAGTGTTCAGGAGCCAGGAACTGCCCCTTAGCCATCCAACTCTTCAATGCAATACGGCAATATTCATGCATTGCACTGGACCTCTTTGGAATAGTGCTTGAATGAGTCAGTCCATAAAAGAATCACATGATCTCCTTTCTTCGACACCTCTTGGGGTACCAAAATGCATTGCAATAATAACAATAACAATAGACATGTATTGCCAAAAGAGAGGGGAAAAGAGGACTTGGGGTTGCACAAATGTGGATGGGAAGAAGGAACTTAGAAGGAAAAGGAGCAGTGGAGATTTGTGGCTCCGATGAAAACGGCTGTGTATCCACTCTGGATTTTAGTCTGAACAGATAAAGGAGCCATCCATGGTGCCCAACCTATTTGGGGTGGTTCTCAGCATCATGGATAATTTCTATAAGTTCAGACTAAAATCTGCACAGTGCTACTGACGGTCGCCTGGCAGGTGGGCTTGACGCAGGGCAGAAAGACTGTTGCGCAGAGTGGGCCACTTGTGGCTACAGCTCCCATCATCCCTTACTATAGATCAGAACATCCAGGAGACCACAAGTGGCCCACCCTTGGTAAAGTGGGTGGTCCTATGTGCCTGGCTTCAAATCTTGCATATGTGGCCTCTTTCTGGCACAGGGACCAATTACGTGATCGACCAAGAGAGCTGGGAGAAGAACGATTACTTCTACGAGGATCACGAGAACCGCAACGGCTACTTAGGTAACTGGTCCTTCCCCTGCCATACTGCAGTCCACATATCTTTGCTGGCCACTCCTCAGCAGAACAGAGCATGGAAATGACCTCTGCCTGTAGCACCTTTGTGACACATTACCCTACAATACACTGCAGCAGCTAACTGTGGGCTGCATACACTTCAAAGGGAAAGGTTTTATTGCTAAATCCTTACAGATGGTCTTCTAACTAGAGGTGGGGAACCTTCAACTTGTGGGCCAAGTCCATCCCAGCTGGTGTGCCAATCTGGCCCTCTGCAATTCCCGAGATGGCCACGTTCCCTTTTCCCCAGACACCAATTCTTTGTGGCCTTCTGGCTTCTGTGCAGTGTTTCCCCTGGTCTAAAAACTTGGAATGCCTCTTCTAAGTCTCAGTTGCTGGCACGAAGTGATTTAAAACACACTGGGATTTGTTTTCTCTTTGGGGCCCAGTCCTTTTGCATTTGGTCACACTAGTGACTGGACAGCAGTTCCTAAAAAATTCTGTGAAATTAAGCTTGGACCTAAACCTGAAAGAGCTTTCCCACTTTGCTTTTAAAGAAATGCGTTTTGTATTTCAAACCCATCACAGCCAAGACTCAACTGCCTGCTTTCATGAACCTCAGTGGTTTTTGCTTTTGTTTTCAGAGTGGCTTATTTTAAGCCTGGCTTCTCAAAGCTGGCCTCATCTATTTTCAGTTCTAAGATTAATACCACTGGAGGAATTGGGGTGTTTTTCCCATAAACGGCTTGGGTCCTGGTTACCTGAAGGAGCGCTTACATCCATATATGCCCGGCCGCCCCTTGAGATCGGTGAGAGAGGCCCTTCTCCGGGAGCCCTCAGTGAAGGAAATTAGGAGGGTGGTTACTCGGAGGAGGGCTTTCTCTGTGGTGGCGCCTAAGTTATGGAATGCGCTCCCCAGAGAGGTCCGCCTGGCGCCGTCGTTATTTGTTTTTTGGCGCCAGGCGAAGACCTTTTTGTTTAAGCGGCATTTTAACTGTTAATATTATTGGATTTTATCTGGCCAGGGCGGCTTATTTTATATTGTATTTTTGTATTTTTATTCTAATGTTTATATTTTTTAATTTAATATTATAATTATTTTTTTAATTTATTGTTGTAAGCTGCCCTGAGGCTTCGGCGAATGGGGCGGCATAAAAATGTTTTAATAAATAAATAATAAATAAATAAATAAAAAGGCCTTGTGGCACCTATGGCCTAGCCTCAGAAACACATGTAATGCAACCAAACACAGCCTGGTTGCATTCAGCTGTTCATATCTCAGCTTCCTATGTCCAGATTTTAAAGAAATCTTGGCTGCACACAGAATCCTTTCATGTGAACCAAAAAGTTATGGCCCACAGCTTCAGAGCAAGCCAGATGTTAAGCCATGATTTCAGGACACCTTTTCTGCAGTGGCCTACAATCTCCAGAATGCCTTTGCGAGAGAGGTCTGCCTGGCATTTTCACAGTTCAGATTTAGGTACCAGTTGAAGACCTTCCTCTTCCACACAGATTTAATCTTTAATCTTTTGCACGGATCATTGACTTTACTGCTGGCTCTTTAAATATGTTCACTGGTTTAATATTTCAGTGTTTATTGTTGTATTTATTGTTTTTGGTGTTCTTTTATTGTTGGATTCTTTTTTGAGAGGGGTGTTCCACAAGGGCATTTACCAGTTGGGTGGCATATAAATATTACCATTTTTTAAAACTCTGGTCTTGTTCTGAAATGGTTGATCATAGTTTCCCAGTTCAACCAAAGCAGCTTGTTCATATCTCAGCCTATTAGTGAAACCTTAGCTTTTTAAGCTGAAACATGTTCATCCAAGCATTGTCAGTGAATGAGATTGGAGGGGGGCATTGTCAAACTGAAGAGAGCTGGACAGGTTCATATGAACTGCACCTCCATATTTGTAGGGTATTCCACGGAGGTTGGCGATGCTGTACTGCACAAACACGAGAAAACCATCATCGCGGGGGCTCCCCGTAATAACCACACAGGGGCTATCTTGTTGATGGTCAATAACAGCAGCCGGTACCTGCAGAAGAAACTGGTGCTCTCCGGGGACCAGGTGGGCTCCTATTTTGGCAGTGCCATCGCATTGGCTGATCTCAACAACGATGGGTAAGTCTCTTTGACAGAGAAGTGGGTGACTTTCCCATGCTTCATTTGTCCAATGTGTGGGTCTGGAGCACACCTCTCCCATCTTCCACTGGTAGGTGGCAGGACTTGATTGTTGGAGCACCGTACTACTTCAACCGGAAGGAGGAGAAGGGTGGGGCTGTCCATGTGTTCATGAACCTTGGAGGAACATTCCACAGTCGCCCCAACATCACCCTGACCGGCCCGAGGAATTCTTCATTTGGCTTCGCAGTGGCTAACATTGGGGACGTTGACAAAGATGATTTCCCAGGTTTGGCTGCTTTCTTCTTGGACAGACCTCTGGAGACTCTCAGCTCCATCAGAGCAGTCTTATCCTGGCCTGAGGTGGATTGGGGGCTCAGCCAGCCCTGCATCCCAGTAGGGTCTGTGAATAAGGGGCTGCAGCAGGCCAGTCCTATACTTAGAACAGAAATGCAGGTATGGCTGAAAAAACGGATTGCCAGGAAAACAGGAAACAGTTTTGCATATTCTAACTTATTTGTACAGACTAGGGATGGGTGATTGCAGGAGGTCCAGGGGCCGTTATCCAGGCTGTATTCACCCCATTGGTCATTCAAAAGGTCAAAATTAGTTTATTTCAAAGCTAAACTTGACCCTTTCAGTGCTCCATGTTTGCAAGCTCACCTTGACACTTTTGGCACTCTGTACTTGCCAGCTAAATTTGACCCTTTCAGCGTGCCACATATATGCAATCTAAGCTTGACTCTTTGGTGCTCCGTAGTGCACAAAAGACGGCTGTATTGATTTTTTTTTCTTTTTACCAATTGTGGGGGTTCCAGGAGCCCCAATGAGGGAGAAGTGGGGGCTGCAAGTGGTCTGCAATTCCACATGCTGTTCATGTCCTAAATATTTGAAATAATATTATTTAAACAATAATATTTATTTATTTTATTGCATTTGTATGCCGCCCCATAGTCAAAGGCTCTCTGGGTGGCTCAAAGTGTGCAAGGTGTCTCCATCTTTGTAGCAAAACCTGGTTTTCTGTCCAGGTGCAAATTCTTAATGGCTGCCTCCAAGGGCAGCCTCTTCTCCCACCTGACACTGGACAGCCCTTCCACTAGAGAGAGCCAGTGTGGCGTAGTGGTTGAGAGCATGGCACTGGGACTCAGGCAACCTGGGTTCTAGTCCCCACTCAGCCATGGAGCCAACTGGGTGACTTTGGGCCAGTCACGGACTCTCAGCCCAACCTACCTCACAGGGTTGTTGTTGTTGTGGGGATAAGATGGAGGAGGAGATGTAAGCTGCCTTGAGCCCTTTTAGGAAAAAGGCAGGATATAAATCGCAATATAAATAAATAAATAAAAAATAGAGGACGGCCATGCATAAAGTAAGATGCATGGTCCTCCCTAGGCGCCTTGGCACTTCCCTGTGAATTCTGCTAAGTCGCTGACCCCTGAGCCAGGCGGAGTGCTAGACTGACCAAACATAGACCGTTTTATGAAGGAGGCGGCACCTTCCACTAGTCCCAAAAAAGCAGAGTTTTGCAGAAATCATGTATGTATAGAGAGAAAAACACCTGTGCGGATATGATGGATAGTATTTAGATAGAAATAGGACACCTGTTATCGTAGTGGGGATGACTGTGGCCAGTTGACCTGCCTGCTTGGCCAGTTGACCTCCTGTCCGGGGGAGCACTGTGGATGGGCATCTTCCGAGCCTCTGCAGCTCTCGCTTCTCGGGGCTTTATCTTTAAACCAGGCTTGGAATGGACAGGCAAACAGAGGACTGTTCATTGGATGCTCTTCAGATACCGCTTTCTGTAAAACAGGTCCTGTGGGCACCCTGGGTAGAACTGTTTTACTATAGAATGGGGGTGCTTGGGTCAGTAGGAACAGTTGGAATTTTGGGTGTCATGGGCACTCTCACAAAATGGCTACCACATTGGGCTGCTGTGGCCTATTGCAAAATAACCATTTCCTAGAAGGCTCCAAAATGTAAGTTGTACCAAAGCACAAGACAGTGGGACTGTCTAAAGGATTAAAATGGTCCTTTGAATCCACAGATTTATGCTAAAACTCCACGTTTCACAGAAAGCAAACGGATGAGATGCACAGACAAATACCTTGGCCAGGGATACTATGCGGGGCCCACAGGCATCCTGGGAAATAAAGATGAACACTCGGGAGTGGGTGCCTCACTTTGCAGCAAGTCGGCCTCCTTGGTGCTGCCGCCGCTTCTTAAAGAGCTCTCCTGGCAGATTGAGACCCCAGCTGCCAGGCTGTAGAGCCGCATTTGGGAGACCTGCTGGCTGATCCTATCCAGCAGGAGGAGGAGTGGTAGAATCCTGAAGTGTTAGGATGGGCCACACCACTTCAGGCAGGACAGCCAAAGATAATACTTTTTTAGGAGATAAAAGATTCTGGAGCCTAGAAGGGATGATTGGTGTTGGGGGTGTTTTTGGAAAGCTAGGTTAGAAATTGCAGGTTGTTTCAGTTGCCTCTGTTGGAAACCTGGAAGCAAGTCCATCTGAGTGTTTCTTCATCTTCTTTCTCTCCTCCCAGATATTGCCATTGGGGCTCCATTTGAAGGTTCAGGGAAGGTATACATCTACCACAGCAGTGTGGGAGGCCTTATTGATAAGCCCCGGCAGGTAAATACATCTGACGCTTCCCTCTTCATTGTCCTAACATTTTTTCCGCACTTGATGAGGAAAATGTTATTTATTTCATTTTATGCCACCCAAAAGCTAAAGCTCTCTGAGTGACTTACAAAAATGAAAATCCTGAAGTACAACATTAAGTATATTATGTTTTGAAACAGAGTAAAAAATTGTATAAAGATCTAAGAGCACTATCACATAAACAAAAAACAAAATGCAGGGTCTTAAAAACCTGGGAAAATAAAAAGGGCTTCAGCTGGCAAAGACAAGACCCTGATGTAAGCACCAGGTGAGCTACTTTGGAAGCAGCATTCCACAATTGAGGAGCCACCACTGAAAAGGCCCTTTGTCTCATATGATGGGAGCACCTACAGGAAGGCCTCTGAAGATGATCTTAGGGTCCAAGTATATATGGGAAGGGACAATCCAGTGTGGTTTCCTCACACCTTACAACAGACGTGAGGAATCTGTCAAGATTCCCATGATCTTGATTGACATCTGTCAGGGTCTACATTCCAGCAGTGGGTCTGGCCGGTGCCCAAAGTGGGCAGGACCAGAACCCAAAGCAGGCAAAGTTACAGATGTGAAACAGTACACAGCAGGGAGCAAAGGGACTTCTGCATTCATGCATTTTCCTTCCCCAGATTGTGTAGAGATCTCACCCCGAGCTTTGCAGTTGAGAAACAGGAGAGGAAGTCATTAATCGAAGGTGCTGAACCTCTTTCAGAATGAAGTCTGAATTAAATTTCAGGGACATTCTCAAGGGCTGCACTCCACTGGCAGGCAGGGCTGAAGGAAGCGGGAGCAGGACCAACGGCAAAGAGGTGAAGCCTAAATACAACAATGGCAGCATATAGTAGCTTAAAGTTCTTACTGCCTCTGATTGGAGGGATAACCGCAGAAAGGCCAGGAACCACTGACTGATCAGCAGTCATGGAAAAGTGATGGGGCTAGGGAAGGAGGCATGGCTGCCTTTGGAGCTCCAGAGGCCAGATTGGGCCCCACACAGTCCAGGTTTGGCCCATGGGCCTGAAGTTAAGCATCCCTGGGTACTACAGCCAGTAATCCAAAGTGTGGCTGGGGCAGTGAGGAGGCAAGAGGCCCGGACTGGGAGCCCTGGAAGTCTGCGTTCCCACTTTGCAATCATCTCAGGAAGTCTCTGGACACTAGGAATTGAGAGGCTGGGCTTCAGTTGTGCCAAGTACCCCATGATAGTCCACGCAAGCTGCTGAACTTCTACCCTCTGTGTCCATGCAAGTGCTGGTACCAGCCTGCAGTTTGTTGTCCACAGAAGCAGCAGCAGCACTTGGTGACAGAACACTTGCTCTGTAAGCTAAAGGTCCCACTTATGATCCTCAGCATCTCTAGGCAGAGCTAGGAAAAGAAAAGATCCAGGCCCTGGCCTGAAGTCCTGCGGAGTCAATTGCCAAGTCAGTGTGAACAGCATTGGGCTAGATTGGGAGTGGGCACTTGGTGGCCTGCAACTCCCATCATTCTCTACCGTTGGCCATGCTGGCTAGGACTGATGGTGTCTCTTGATCAAAACACCTGGAGGGCTACAAGTGGCCTGCCCTTGAGGCTGGGGACCCCAATTTCGGTGAGGTGGTGTCCATGGAGAGCCAGTGTGGTGTAGTGGTTGAGAGCATGGGACTGGGACTCAGAGGATCTGGGTTCTAGTCCCCGCTCAGCCATGGAGCCAACTGGGTGACTTTGGGCCAGTCACAGACTCTCAGCCCAACCTACCTCACAGGGTGGTTGTTGTGGGGATAAGATGGAGGAGGAGAATGATGTAAGCTGCCTTGAGCCCTTTGTAGGAAAAAGGCAGGATATAAATTGATGAATAAATAAAATAAAAATAAATAAGTACATTCTGGTTTCAGGCAGAACTTTTAAGGAGCTATCCATGGTGCTGAACCCCAACCCCACAAACACCTAAAGGTCAGACTGAAACTTAAGTAGATAGAACATCTGACTGACATTTGAGCCGCCAGGCAGTGTCTTTGCATGACGGAGCCATTGCTCTAGCTCAGGGGTCTCAGACTCAGCTTACCTGGGGGCCGCTGGAAGTAGAGTCTGGGTGAGGCTGGGCCGCAGCAAGTATTCCACCACCGCGGTGGTGGTGGGCCGCTCATCCCACGGCCGGCCTGGGTGCCGCCGGTGCTTTGAAGGCCGCAGGGCCCCCCCCCCCATGCCCCGTCCCGGCAATTGGCCCACGGGCCGCGAGTTTGAGACCCCTGCTCTAGCTGGATATAGGTTGGCTTCTTAGGCGTGCCTTAATCCTAGCCAAGATCCAGCACTCTGGTTTAGAGCTATCCTGATGACACCAGCAGAAACCCTGCTCTCCATTCCCCGCACCCTCCCATGCGCTTCACCACCAACAGCCCTGAGGAGCCGCCACTGCAGATGGCAGAATGACCACTGCCCAAAGGGAGAAATCCTTCTTTTTCATTGTCAGCACTGGTCTTGCTCCACCTCTGCAGGTCATTAGCGGGGACGACATTGGTCCGGGCATCAAGACCTTTGGCTACTCCTTCAGTGGAGGAATGGATGTGGATGAGAACTCCTACCCTGACCTGCTGGTGGGAACCCTCTCTGAAAGCATTGTACTGCTCAGGTAATATAGGAGTCATCCACAGTAGTATTTATTTATTTAAAACTTGTCTAGCCCGTACCTTACCTTAGTCTCGGGATGGTTTAACAGTGAGACAAAAGAGAGAATAAAACACAACATCCTATGAAGGGGGTGTCTAAGTACAGACTTACACAGGTTTCTGTTTAGTTCCTAACTCATTTAGAGAGCAATTCTATGGCCCCCTGGACACGGTCGTGCTATTTCTTTTTTTGCATTCCCAGCCCTGAAGTCGAAGACAATGCTTTGAACTCAGAGCTGGAGATTGGAGCTTTGCCTCCCTTCCCCATCCCCTCTCTGCCAGCACTGCAAGAATTGCATCAGCTGCTCTCTGAATTTGGGAAAGCAGCCTTGGAGAGCTAAGGGAATATTTCTGTGGGAGAAGAGACTGGAACATGCAGGACACAAGCTGTTCTGAAGTCACGCTAGCCTCCTTTCCAAGATATTCTGGTTAAATGGGCATGATCAGATCCAAAGTGGGTTGGCCACCATTTTCCTTTCTCTGCCACCATTTTTTCTGTGTTGTAGTCTTCCTTGCCATGCAGCAGGCTGCTGAGGAAGGGATAAATTGCTCTTGCCAGAGCTCAGAACTAATTGCAGGTACAGGGCCTTTGAAATTAGCTTGAGACTTGATTGAAATTTAGTGTGCCTTTTTAGGGAGTCTGAAATGCTAGACCTGCTTGCCTTTGAAAATGAGAAAATTACTTTTATGTATCAAGGAGTTTGCTTTCTTTCTTGTCTCCACCTTTCTGCAGAGCCCGTCCAGTGATCAACATCTTAAACAAGACTTTTAAAGTTACTCCAAGGATCCTGGACCCGAGCAAATGTTCTAAGGAGTCTTGGTAATGGCTTTCTCTCTGGATTTTGTCGCACTTAGGTTTTTTCCCTCTTCCTCTTATCCACCTGCTATCTAGACTGCCAGGGAAACTCCATCACTGATGTGAAGAGACTTGAATATATTTAGTCTATGGAAAGGAAGACGAAAGGGAAACACATTCCAACTTTCAGCTTATTTAAGAGGATGTTGGAAAGAATCAGGAAGAACAATTATTTGCCCTTCCCACCACATTCAGGATAAGATGTAACTGTGTTTACATATGAAAGGGAGAGGTTCAGATTATGTTTTAAATAAAAAAAATCTGGCGGTGGGAGCAGGACAGCACAGGGGGGTGAGCTGTGCAGAGATGCTGTGGCTTCTCTTTCCTCAGATGATTTCTTTTTCTTTTAAATTAAAGATTGTGGGGAGTCTCTCTGAGTTGCTTTTTGGGGTGGGATATCCTGTTCCAAAGAAGGGCCATGAGACCTGATGACCTGCAGCTCTCAGGACTGAAACCAGGTGTGGAGAACCTGTAACCTTCCAGGTATTGCTGGATGCTGATTCTCTCCCACCCCAGTCAGCATGCTGATTTTCATGTCATTTTCATTCCATTTATTATATTTTTTATACTGCCCAGTAGCCCAGGCTCTCCAGGCAGTTCAGAAAAATTAAACATGAAAGGGGCAACGCTATGTATGCTGAGACAGAAAAACCTCTACAACTCATTCCACGTTCTATCTCAACGGGCATAGGATTGCCCTTACCAATTGCAACATGAGAAAGAATAATATAAAATGTCTGACATACAAAAATGTGAAACCATTTTAAACAATCAGCAGTAAAATCCCACCATGCATTTTTTTTTAAGTCCTCTCCTGTGCTGTCAAGTACTTGATGCTAAGAGCACCACAGTGCTGAGGTCCAGCAGACCTCAGTGTGGAGTGCGGCAGAGAGCCCCCCATGGAGACCAGGTCTCCACTTGGCCAGCCTGGCTCAAGAGCAACGGGAGTCCATTGCTGGACTCCATGAGAGTCCATTAACATCTGGAGGGCTACTGGTTCCCCAACCCTGGTTTAACTATGGCAGAGCTTGACCTTCAGGGCAGCTTTGAAAATCAAGGGATTTTCCTCCTGGAAGATATGAAGGGACTTAGGACTGGGACTCAGACGATCTGGGTTCTAGTCCCTGCTCAGCCATGGAATCAACTGGGTGACTTTGGGCCAGTCACGGACTCTCAGCCCAGCCTACCTCACAGGGTTGTTGTTGTGGGGATAAGATGGAGGAGGAGATATAAGCTGCCTTGAGCCCTTTTAGGAAAAAGGCAGGATATAAATCAAAAAATAAATAAACAAACAGGGAGACTTTTCCCATGTAAATGGGCTTCCTTGTTTTGGGCATTATTCAGGGGACTCATGAACAGGGGCGAAAGTTCTTGCCTCCCCTAAGTTGGCATCTGCTTCCCTGAAGAGTCCATTTACAGCTTCATGTTCACAAGCCCCCCCCCTTTAATTAATTAATTCCCAATATTTATGATTTATTCAATGCCATTGGCAAAACTGGACTGTGTCCCTCTCCAGAGGGACTCACAGTCTTAAACAGGCAATGGCGTAAAGACCATCCCTATGGGGGATTTTTCCAAAAAGAGAGTCTGTTCTTTCATAGCAATAGGTTTTTCTTCTGCCTTGAAGGGAAGAAATGCTGTTCAAAGAAGACTCCCTGCCCCCTGAAATATCACCTTTTCACTGCAAAAAATGAGCTTCGTGAAAATTTGAAACAATAATAGAATACTTCTGAACATGAGCAGAGTGCCTTTCAATACAGAGCGGCTGCTGGAACTTCCAGGGCTGGTTGATATAGCTCTGAAGTAGGCTTAGCCCTCTTGAGCAAGCAAGTGCTGTCCTGTTTTGCCGGTGCTCGGGAGGGGCTTGTGTGTGCCCTCCCTGGGGGTGCGACCATATCCTACTGTATGCCTGTTTGATCATGTCCCTCTGTTTCTCTTTTCCCTCTCTGTCTCCTCACTAACAGCATCACGATAGAGCTCTGCTTCTCCTACTCCCAAAGTGCTGGAGACCCCAACTACAGGGAGATCATCCGTGAGTAGAAGTGGGACTCCAAGCTCTGTCTGGGAGTGATTTTTGCTTTTCAAGAAAGACATTCAGGGGTTCAGCTACCAGTAGCCCTTCTTCCTAATCCTAGTTGTGTGTGTATGTACACTGCCTGTGGTGCTCTGCGTAAGCTCAGTGGCACCCTTCTTTTTTGTCATGCATTTTCCTGGATTCAGATCAATCCCTTACCAGGCTACATGCTACCCATCTTATAAAGCACTTTATGAATTCTGAAGAGCTGCTTTACTTTTTGTAGTTTTCTCAGAACCGAATTTACCGCAGGTGTTCAGGCCCAGAAAGCAATGTGGCCTTGTTGAAATGGGGGGCTAGAATCATAGAATAGTAGAGTTGGAAGGGGCCTATAAGCCATCAAGTCCAACCCTCTATTCATGGTACATTCATTCATTTATTTTATTTAAAAGTATGTTTACATGTAAATTGTTTGGATTTATTTTGGTTTAAAGTTATTTTAAGGATAAATCCTTGGCCTAGATTGGTAGCTGGACCCTGGCATGTGACTTTCACCCGCTTTCTCCCATCTTTCTTCTCTTCAGAATTGAATTATACAGTGGAGGCGGACTGGGGCCTCCGTCGGCCTCGGGTATATTTTCCCAAGTCAGGGAATGCCACCTATGAAGGAACGTTTTCTATGCCTTCGAAGTGCGAAAGCTTGACGGTCCTTCTACAGGTACGGATCAGAAAGGAGAGGAGCAAGGATTCGAACTCAGGGCTCTTGATTCGAACTCTAGGTGTCACACTAGACGATTTCCCTGTGCCGCCACCTTTGTGTTCTGTCAGGGAAGCTCCCAGCAGGTTAAGGCAGAAATGCACCCACAGCTTACAGATCTAGGTCTGAGCTACCGACACGTGATAAGGCAAGGTTGCAGCTGGAAGATGGGTCGCATATTTGCATCTCTTTCCTTCCCCCCCACCCCACAAATGCATTCTTTTTCTCTGTTTGCAAGTCCAGGTCGCAATGGCTTGGTTTATTTGCTAAAGTTGGAAGGAAAATACAGGATGGGCTTCTGTGGGAGGGGCCAAACCTTGGCCATAAGGGTTTATTCATTTATTTCTATACTGCCCAGCCACCGAAGATCTCTGGCGTTTCATAAAAGTGCAGATTGCATAGGAAGGCTCACTGAAGACCTAAGAGCTGCTCTAGAGGAGGGGTTAGACTATCAGATTTCAAGAGGGTCAGATCCCCCACTAGGCAGTGGAGTTCACTGGGTGGTGTTGAGTCAGTCATTCTCGCAGCTTAATCTCCCTGGCACGGTTGCTGTGATGATAAATGGAGGGAAGAGAAAATGTGGCATGTGGATCTTGAGATCCAGGAGAAAGGAACGAATTATGAATGTTATGCACTATAACAGATGCCTTCTCCAATTAACGGCGCCTCAGAGAGAAAAGCCTCTGCCTATCTGAAGCTGTTACGGCATTCTGTTGTTGCTTGACTTCTTACATTTATATCCAGATTTTACTTCCAGCGTGTAGTGGAAGGTACATCCCTGTCCCCATTTTCTTTTCACTCAGTCCTGCCCCAAAGCACTCGCTACACCACTTGTGCTGGTGGAAAGGATCTCACACTCAAGGTGCCTGGCTTGTTTCCATGTGAGATACCAAGGATCCGGTAGAGGCATCAAGCATCAAGAAGGGTGGTTGAGCTCCATGATAAGGGTGCAGGCAGGGATGGCCTTGGTCTCCAAAACTGCAGGCCCTTCGGGGGAATCATCATGTGTGAACCAAGAGAAGGTTCTGAGATCAACTGTTGTCCTTCCTGCAGGGTGATGTGCAAGACAAGCTGTCGCCCATCGCGTTCTCCATGAACTATTCTCTCGCAGAGAAACCAATGGAATTCCAGCTGGGCCTGCGATCCCTCGACGCCTTTCCTGTCTTGAATGAGGACCAGCCCAGTAAGAATTATACTGAGGTTAGCAGCATGCCGAAATGAAGAGCACTTTGCATTCACTCCTGTGCTGTTAGATCTGTTTGTCTCCTTCCTCCGCTCGTCGTATTCTCCTGCGCTTTGGGGGTGGTGGGGGATGGGGGAGCAGCGATTTTCCTGATTCCTTGATTCTCCCAGACTGCATCGTCCCCCGTTTTCCACAGTCACTTTGTACTTCCAGCTCCAAACTGCACTCTGGCACCATCTGCTGGGAAAGAGAAATGCTTGCTTTTGTAAGATGTAGCAAACATCATGTTCCAGCAGCGTGCAGCCTGCTGGGAACAGGTGTGGACACCTTCAGCTCTGCTTTCTTGCCACCACAATGGACTAGGCCAAAGTGAGAGGCAGGAGGGCAAGCGGGCTGTGGGGGGAAGGAGGAGGAGCAATTCCAGGAGGCCCTTGGCAGTGGGTCTCTGCGGACGTGTGGTCTGCTAGCGGGTGTCCAGCCATGCCGGCCCCCGAGGCGTGCTTTGCTCATGCTTCATTCATACCCTTTACCTGCCTGCATTACGAGGTTGCCTCTTTTATGCCGTGTCTGTCATGTTCCACCAGCATGTTGAATGGGGGTGGGCACTGGAAACTGATGTCCAACACATTTCCAGGTGGGGGAAGGGTGCGCTAGACTTTGCAAATCTTTTTCATTTAGTAGAGGAGAAGTGTTGGTGGGAGGGGCAGCCCCTTAATGTCAGGGCACCTCATTTGCGTGAAATATCAGGGCAAGCCAGCAAAGTAAACAACAAAACATCCATTCTGTTTTTAGATTCAATTCCAGAAGGATTGTGGGAGTGACAACAAGTGTACCAGCAACCTGCAGCTTCAGACTTTCTTTTGGAATGATCAGCAGCAAAGGCTGCCCAGGTGAGGGAATGCTCCTTCTTGGGAGCCAGGGGTAGGATGCTGTTCCCATCTTTCGGATCAGAGCTTAGTCTTCCCAACTGGTTAGTATGCCAAGGCTCAGCCCCAGAACATGTAAAATAATTATAATCACAAACAGAGTTATCCTAAGTGTGTGTTTAAGTGGAGAGATTGAGGAAATGCACAGACCTTGGACATGGGAGTAGACTCTGCTTTATTCTTTAGTCCTCATTGTACAAATTAAACACTGTTCCATGTCAATCAGAGTAGTGTGCAATAATGAAAAGACAAAATATAAAAATAATGCTAAAAGATGCTGAGAACTAACAGCATGGACACAGGCCTGCTCTGCCCTGGAAAGCCATCCCATGAGGTGGCAGCTGCCATGCTGAAGGCCCTACTCCTGCAGATTTTCAAGCAGATTTCTGACTCCTGTGGGACCACCAGGATGCCTCTTCAGAAGACCTCGGTGGTCTCAGCAGATGACTTCCCTATACTAGAGAGCATTGCCTACACCTTCAAGTGCTTTCTTGCAGAATTTCTGCCAAGGGTTTCAGAATGGTTGCTGCTGAATGATGTCTAGGCTGAGCCACTGAATGAGAGGCAGGAATCTGTCACCCCATGCCAAGGGATTGTAGGTCCCAGCTTTTATAAGCCTTCCAGGCCAGCACTGGGGGAGCTGGGTGGGCAGGGCCCCATTTCTGGAGCATCAAAAAGATCATGCGATTCATGGAACATGCTAGCCAGCCACCTCAGTGGCTTGTCACTAGGGGCAACAGCACAGATGGACCGGCATGTTTCCAGTTGATGTCCCGACACCTGACAGTGAGTGAGGAGGTAGGTGGAAGACCCTGCTCCCTGTCCCTCAACTCTGCCATCTCTCCCCTGACAGGCAGAATGGCATACAGGTGTTGTCTTACAATCCGGAGGTCAAGAGACAAAACTTGAGCATCAGCATCAGTGTTACAAACATCCGGACAACACTAACCAATGGAGAAGATGCTCACAAGGCAAAGTTGACCATCACGTTCCCTCCCACTCTGCTGCCTTCATCCATCCGGCCGGTGAGAGATGCCTCCTTCCTCATAAGAACTGCCCATGGCGCCTCCATCTATTGCTACCAGTAGCTGACTAGGCAGGCAGAGAACCAGGGAGGAAGGTGCATCTACCATGCCTCCTTCTCTTTGCCCCCATTGACTGGACCAGAGGAAGAGGCTGGTGAACAGGGAGGCAGGTGAACAGGAAGAGGCAGGTGAACAGGGAGGTTGCCACGATGAAGAGGAGGAGGCCCAGGGACAGTCTTACCATTGGGCCCTTGCTGGGGTGTGAGTCTTTGGCAGGTGTCCAACTGAGTCTAAGTATTTCTCAGTGTCCATCTGTACGTATAAATCTGTGCCTACACACTTGATGGAAATCAGCACCCTCCTTCTCTGGTGATTCATTATTTCATCATATATTCTTTATTAATTAGTCCCAGGGGGGAGAGAGAGAGAGAGAGAGAGGTGAATGAAATAAAGCAGTAACTAACCAGCTGGAATGGCGATTCTTCTTTCATTTTTTTCTTTCCTTCAGAGTGGGGCCTGCACAGTTAACGAGAATGTGATGTGCGAACTGGGCAACCCCTTCAAAATGAACCAGACGGTGAGTTGCTCCTGGGCCTGTGTGAGCCATGGAGGCTCAGTGCTCCATGGTGGGAAATTCACCTGTGTCTCTCAGAAAACATGGGTTCTTGTTCAGTAGAAAACGTGGCTTCAGATGGTAAGCTATGGCTCCTCCAATGATCGTCAAGGCTTTGAAGTTCCACTTACAGAACACTGAAAACTCTGCCAAATGATTCTTGGTCTGGCGGTACAGTTTAGAAAGAGTGTCCACAGATTCAAGAGGAGGCCACATGTAATTATTCCTCAGGAACACCTAATCCCTTTTTATTCTGAGGTCTAAAAAGTAGTAAGGTAACTTCAACAAGTTACATAGTTACAGTTGCATAGCGACAAGTTATATATAGCTATATCCTGCTTTTTTGTCTGAAAGTCCCAAAATGGTTAAAATAGGCTTCATTCATTTTGTAGTCTTAATGTCATATTAGGAAATTTGCTATTATACCAGTTCATCCAAATCATGTTACAGAATTACTTCAGTCATTTGGAGGGGGTGGGGGGAATAAGAGTCTGTTGATCCAGCCACGTATTTCCCATCAGACTCTTTTCTCTGCATTGTTAGTTGAGGGACAGGAAGGCCAAAGATGACATTACTTTAGAGGTGTGACTTAGCACCTGTGTCTTTCCATTAAAAAAAAATGTAGCGTAAGACAGAGGGGCTGGGTTCAAACTGGGGGCCCCAGTTGGCAATTTATTTTGCAAAACACTGGTCTGTGTGCTATTTACTGTTTACTAAATTTTCAGTACAGGAGTCTCGGTCCCAATAAAAGCACATGGTGTGGGACGGAGTGATACTCCAGCAGCGGGTGGTGAACCTCTTTCAACCTGAGGGTCAAAGTCTGGTTTGGAGAAGGTCTGGGAGGCCACCTTTCAGTGGTGGGCAGAGCCGAAGGCAAACAGGATGAGGCCAGAAGTACAAAAAAGTCAATGTCTTGCAGAAAAAAAGTCTGCACAATAGCCAGGAAACCACCAAATAATTGCTAATTGAGGGGAAACGAGTGAGACCAGGGGAAGGGGATGTAGCCATTAAGAGATCCATGGGCGCCAGGAGGGCTGAATTTGGCTCCTGGGCCGGAGATACCCCACTCCTGCAGTAGAGTAAAAGCAAAAGACATGATGAAGACATAGCAACTATGTCTTTAAGTTAATGTTTGTTTTGGCTCTTAGAGTTCTTGTAAAGTATCACCAACACGGCAAGCCACAGTTGAGTGTGAGTTGTCATTTAACCATGAGTTGTTGTACTGTTAAGCTAGCTATGCTAATTAACCATGATTTGCTAATGAGAAACAACTAACAGCTCACAACTGTCGGTTCTCCTTGTGGGGCAAGGATGAAGCTTTGAAATACAGGCGTGTTTGATTTTTGTCTGCTACCTGCAGCACAGCATGCTGGGTAACCAAGTTGTATAATGTTGCATCCCTTGCAGAAAGAGCTGAACATCACATTTGAAATTATTGGAATCACGCTGACTACCCATAACATCACCATACAAATGGAGCTCGACACGTGAGTCTTGTACCTCCAAGCTGTGCTCTTCTGACCATGGGTCCATCTGGTCCGATATTGCTAATGCTGAATAACTGTGTATGCATGTAAAGCAGGGGCTGTTCCACTGAGCCATGGGCCCTCCTAATAGAAAGGCCAGTCAGTAGCATCCTTGGGTGTGGGCTCAAGGACTGGCATCTTAGTGGAGCTTCTCTGCCAGTCGTGTCCACAGGTGAGGTTAAGTTCACATCTCATGGCCTCTTCCTCATGTCCAAAGAACCAGCAATAACAGAAATGCCATTTAGTCAGAAGACTATTCATCGGGACTGGGAAATGTGTCAGTACTACCTGCCCTTCCTCTGACTAGCTAGAGGAAGAAAAGGCAGGGGCTGGCCTTGAGCCAACTGTCCAAAACCTTGACAAGTGGACTTTTTCAAGGCATGGAGTTCCTGCTGTAACTTGCAGGGCCCAAGAAGTAGTGTGGGTTTTCTCCTGTTGAAGACAGTTTAGCTTGGGTTGATGCACAGGCTAGTAGGATGGGATGTTCCCCGTGTTAAAAAGAAGAAGAAAGCACTAATTGCAAATGACCCCTGCGTTAAGGAAACAAACATTGGAAGCAGAAAGGTAATGGAATTTCTGCACATGGGGAGGTTGTTGATACTGTGTTTAGGAGTAATTTAAAGTGCAGTCCATTTTAATACTTCAGGTCTTTACAGGAGGGTGTTTAACTGCTCCATCAGCAACTGTGGGCCGCTCCAGATTGCACCTGCAGTGCTGGTTCCTATTTTAAGGTGGAGAAGCTTTGGCGGCACCTCTTCCTGTGTGGCTGAGTAACATGAGACACCCGGCGGGGCAGCATGGGAGGATCCTGTGCTTTGGCTCCTCTCTGCAGCAACATTAACCAGGTTATTTGAAGGAGTGATACTAGCATAGAGAGGTGGTGTAGGCTCTTCCCACATGGTCTACATCAGCCTTCTCCAATATGGCATCCTCCAGGTGTGTTGGGACTACAGCACCCAGCATCCCCACAGGTGTTTAGTCCTAGCACAGCAGGAGGCTTCTCACAGTGCTATCATAATAGGGGAAGAAGTGGCAAAACTGCAGTGCATACTGTTTCAGGTAACTTAAGAAAACAGACTGGCAGGTCCTCAAACTGACCATCTGGACCATATTATGTCTCTGGCAGGTCAAGCTTCCAGAATGATCTCGTGCCAGTAACAGCTGTCCTTCTGGTGAACTACACCATCGAATCATCGCTGAGGTAGCTGACATGGGTTTAAAAGGAGAACTTTGGAAGTGGGCCTTTCACTGCCATTCAAGATGAGATGCAAAACTGGGGTGGGCAACCAGGAGTCCTCCAGATGTCCTGGACCCCAGCTCTCATCAGCCCTACCCAGCATGGCCAATTCTGGGATTTGTTTGGAGGGCACCGGTGGCATCATGCTCTAGGATAGCAATAGGCAAGGTGTGCCGGCATGCATGCCACCTGAGGCAGGTGGGAGAGAGGACTCACTGCCACTGTCACCATATCGTACTCCCCCCGCCCCGCATTTTGCAACTGCCAGCCCCAGCACCACCAGACGTGGATCTCTACAGAGATCGGTGAAGCCAGAGATCTCACAGGACCTTTTGGGCTCTCGCAGGAGTTTGTGTAGCTCTTATGAGATCTAGTGGGAGTTCGCATGCATCTCATGAGACCTCGCAGGGCTCTTAGGGGAGTTTATGCTGGTCTCACACAAACTTGTGGGGGTTGCACAGAAGAGGAAGCAACCAGATTTCTTCTGGTTGCACGGGAGAGGAAGCAACAAGGCTAGGCAGCTGCTCTGGAGAGCCCAGCTGGCCCGCCCTTGCTGCATTCCATGGGGCTCTCTCCTGGAGGATGTGGAGCAGTGCTGAGCCATCCAGGCAAGGACGAGAGAGGGAATGGCACAATTCACTGCTTTTCCTCCTCTTCCACCTGTTGTGAGAGCCTTGCCTTGGTTCATGAGTGGGCTGGCCCTGCTGGCACAAATCCTTCCTCAAAGGAATCCCAGTCCTGGAGCAGGGCTGCAATCCTAAACAAGCCTGCGACATCTGTCTGGCCACTGTCAGGAACAGAATGCTGAGCTGCAGTGGCATCGCTCTGATACCAAACAGAAGCGACTGGATGGATCAGCAGCACAGTCCTGTGGCCACCAGACAGCATGGCCACAGGACACTCACTCTCCGGTCAGAGCTGGGACTTTGAGCTTGTGCTGCTGGCCCGCAACCCCACGTCAGGTGTGGAGACAACCTACCAGCCACCTGCCTGGGGTTCAAGCACTATCTCAGAGACAGGGTTCTGTGGGCATTCCAGGGGGCAGGGAGGGGAGGGAACAGGCACTGCCACAGTGAGGCATCCTGGTGGCATCTCACCCTCCTTCCCTTGCACTTGAGGTGATGCACTTAGATGGTCAAAATCAGTTCTCTAGGTGCTCTGCAGGGTAGGAGGAGCACAGATGCAGCCATATTGTTTCATGAAGGTTTTCAAACTTCCCCATGTAGATATTTCTCAGACAGCTGAGTTTATTTATAGAAGTTGAGTTCCCACTGACTTCTGAGTAGTAACACTTACGGTCAAGCAGGCTTGAAAAAGAAAGAAACTCTTGTAGGTCAAACTCCCCTGATGCTGCTAAATATATTCCAATGCTCCCAAGGAAGTGTGACCCAATCAGTCAAGTTGTTCACACAGTCTGGCTCCTTGAGAGCCTCTCAGTCACTTTCAGCTCTCACTAACTCACTTTCTCTGTCCTCCTCTCCATGGCAGAGTCAACCGGTTACTCCAGTCATACTTTAGTGGGACGGTTATGGGTGAGTCGGCCATGAAAAAAGAGGAAGATGTCGGCAGTCCACTTGAATTTGACTTCCAGGTAAGAGTTTTCTTAGACTCATAGAATAGTAGAGCTGGAAGAGGCCATGAAGGGCATCGGGCCCAGCTTCCTGTTGTTGCAGGACACCAGCCCATTTTCCACATGGCCCAAAACCCCATGTGGGTTTGTTTACCTTTCTTGGATTCCATTATGGCAGAGATGGGCACTACATGGCCCTCCAGATCGTTTGGCCTGTCACTTCCAGGAGCCCCAGTCAGCATTGCTGCCACCACCATCATCATTGAGGGATGAAAGGAGATGTAATTTACAATTAAAGGAGAATGTTAATCTAACAGGTAGTCATCTGTTGAAGATGCTCTAGCTTTATATTGCCTTCATGGAGTAGGAGGTTGGGCTAGATGGACTCCAGCTCTTACAACTATGATATGTAGGCATGAGCATGAGCCAGAGACCAGGGTTGGGATGAACCCTAGTGGAATCCATCCTTCTGAAATCTGTGGACTTCCTCTCATGCTCAGCCTGGTAGTGCAAAGTGAGCCAAGCCAAGAGGAAGTCTGTAAATGCCTGTGGAATGAAGGGCGCACTAGCAGCAACCTTCTTCCATGTCAGATACAGCAGCCCAGACCGGTGGGCTGCAGGTGGGACAGAAGAGGGATGCTGCTTGTACAGCGTGTGGGGACTGAGTCCTGGTGAGCGCCCTGCAAACACTGGCTGGCTCGCCGGCAGCTTGGATGCAGGGCAGCTGCAGGCAGACTGGAATCCAGGGAGCTGAGCCAATGGAATCCAGTAGACTCCCGCCTCCAAAGGGATTCCTCACGCACACCTAGCAGGGACAGAGGATTCTTGCAGGGCACACATCCAACTTAGCTTTCCTTGCACGAACTAGTACACAAAACCCTTAAAAGATGTTTTATCTCTTCTGAAGCACTTTCATACATTAAGGCCTCTGAGTCCACCTAACCTTCCCTCTTTGCTTGGGGGTAGGAATGGGAGCTGAGAATGGGAGCTTTTGGTTCAGCAGTTCCATGACCTCTCCTCTCCCTGTCTGCTGGTCTGTTTCCTTTCTCCTGGAGGTCACAGTCCTGAGCACAAGAGAGGTAACCACTGTGGAGCCATTTGCAGCAGGTGGGTGGGGGAAAGGGACTTCCACGGTCGGCTCCTCTGATGCTCTCTGGGGACCTTGGTTGATTTGAACTGGGAAGTATGTGCTGTCCCAAGTAGGAAGACAAAAGTAGGTATTAATAGTTAAATAATTTCTTCTAAGGCTGAGATGATAGGTGATGTGTCAGCAATTATAGGGGTTTTTCCCCTTTTAACACAAAAACCAAGTCCAGAACTACACGCCTTGGGAGGCTGCAGTCTTAAGGAGACTCCCTGTTTTCCATTCACAATCCCCTTTTAAAAAAGAAGAAAAAAAAAGCTGACTGGGTTAAGTAGCCTCAGCTCAAGACTGCAGCTTCCAGGGGCTGCTTTTTGTTTAAAGGAAAACAAACTGGGGAAAGAGACATGATCTGTGCATGTTATGGGACAAGTTGATGATGTGTTATGAGAACATTGGTTGGGGTTTGTCTTGATCCTGCTGCTTCTTGGTTTGAGATGGAAAACCCGAGTTCTGTATTTGGAAGAAATGAGCGATTTCCCCCTCCTGACACCAACTGAGTTTCACAGACCTCTATTCTGTTGCTGCACATGTATCCCCCGTTTCTTTATCTTTGTGCTGCGGTGTTCTCCTTTGGTGGACAGAATGAGAGGGGCCCTCCGTGAGTCACCTGGCCTTTGTCTCTTAGGTGACCACCAAAGGTGAGCCTTTAGGTTCCTTGGGAACCATCGTATTGGGCTTCGAATGGCCTTATGAAGCCAGCAATGGGAAATGGCTGCTGTACCCCACTGAAATCCTGGTGAAAGGGAATCAGAGCGGCTTCTGTGAACCTCCTGGCCACGTCATCAACTACCTCAACCTCACGGTGAGTCGGGTCTTCACCAGCAGCCCAACTTCAGTCCTCCTCATGTACATAATTTGTGTTGTTTGGGTACAACAGGATTCCTCACACCCCCAAATTCTGCCGCACTGTGGCTACCACTGCATTATTCATGTGCTGCTCCTGGAAACTAGCAGAACTCCAGCTCTGGCTGCCGAGTTGCCTTTGAAATCTGTGCATGCCATTCGTGTATGTCCGTATCCACTTAATGGCCTCTTAGCAAACAAGATGATACATACATGCCCATAATGAATGCACGAGTTGCAGCCACCACGCCTACACAGTGACTGGGTTTGCATGATTTGTAACCTGCCGTGGGTAGCTAGCAGTGGTGGGTTGCCTGGACACGTGAAGCTGAATTACTCCCTCCAGTGGTTTGATTTGAGGCAGTGAGCCAGCTGGACGGCCCATGGCTTGTTCAAGGAGTTGCTAGAGGTTATCCGAACCGTATCCCCCTGTGGGTTGCAAGAAGCAATGAGCGAGCCACTCAGCAAGAGCAGCAAAAGCACGTGTCCCCTGTGTTGCCCGTGGCTCAGCCTGTGACGCCTGCTTCGCCAGGGCCCCGAGCAGTACTCTGGGGTGGCTGCTACTGACTTGTCACCATTTGTGGGACTGGGAAGTGGCGTAAATGTGCAGAATTCAGATCATTGTTTTGTTTCTTCACAGAACTTGATGCTTGCAGTTTTAAAAATGATCTTTTGTTGGATGTTTCAAAAGACAATTTAAACAATGGCGAAGAAAATAAAATGAACAAAATCAAATAAAATGCTAGTTTTAGATAAAATTTAGCATAACATTTAACATTATCCAACATGATTTGCATATTTATTATATATGTTGCAACTATTAGGAAAGGTGATTCAGGCAGCCCAAATGTCCATAAATGTCCAGAGAGCCAGTGTGGCGTAGTGGTTGAGAGCGTGGGACTGGGACTCAGGCGATCTGGGTTCTAGTCCCCGCTCAGCCATGGAGCCAACTGGGTGACTTTGGGCCAGTCACAGACTCTCAGCCCAACCTACCTCACAGGGTTGTTGTTGTGGGGATAAGATGGAGGAGGAGAATGACGTAAGCTGCCTTGAGCCCTTTGTAGGAAAAAGGCAGGATATAAATTGAAAAATAATAAATAAATCTGTCCATTCATAAATTATGCCAAAAGATTACCCATTCAAAAATTGAAAATTTCAGTAATTCTTTTACCCATTGTATTATTGCAAGTGGCTAATTATCATTTCAATGCTGTAGCTGTCAAAAATGCATGGGAGATTTGTTTGTGTTGACCTTGCATTAAATTCCAAGAGATGGGCAGATTCTTAAGAAGGATATATTCATCACTGAATGTTAAAGAATGTTCCATCACAAAATTTGAGTTATTACCTCCTTTCAAAAGGAAGCAGCCACTGGACATTGCCAAGACATATGGATAAGAAAGGTATTAATTGCATTGCACCGCCAAAAAAATGGCTAATTTAATTAAAGAGACATGGTGGTGTCCTGTATATTTGAAACAGACGTTTGCTGAATCAGACTTCCTCACTGAAGAACACCACTGATGGGCCAAAACGGGCTGCTCCAATTCATCATTCTGTTCTTGCCTATGGACTTGTAAATCATATTTATTTACAAATAATCAATATCGTGGCTGCCCAGTCTCAATCAATTCTTCTAACGATAGAGACAGTTCTGAAGCTGCAAAAAGCAGCAGGACTGAACCTAAATTCTAATGTACCCATTTTTAATAGGTGCATAAAGTGGAAAAAAGGTTATCATCAGGACTTACCAGCTGATCCAAAATAAAAATCAACCTGTCTTTTTGAAGCGGCCAAACACACATTTTCTTTCCAGTCTTTAAGAGCTGATTTCCTCAGAGCCTTGATGTTGATGCTTCCATGTTGTTCCTGCAGCCTGCCTGCCTGCCTCTACCTGGCCCCCGAGTCTTAAACATACCCATAAGAGGCCTTTCTTCTTGTGCCCAACAAAGGCTAGGCTCCAGAAAAACAGCCCCACCCCTCAGATGAAGCACTCCTCCCCATTCCCTTCTGTGCCACATTCTTAAGCAGGTAGAATTGCAGAAAGAGAAAGCTAACCAGTCCTTTCCCCTTTCAGCTGAGTAATCATACAAGCACCTCAGCACGGAGGAAGCGTGAGCTGCAAGCCACTCCAGACGGAGAGCTTCCCATCACCTTGGCAGCTTCCAAGAAAGCCAAGTCGGAAACATCCCTGGTGCGTATTTGCCTTTCACGCCCTTTCTGCTCCTATAGCCAGCTTGTGGTAGAATGGTCCAGGGCCTGCCTTCCCAAGGACAGCGGTGAGATCCATCATCCCGTAAGATCGGGGACATTTTTGGGTTAGACAGTCCTAGGAGACAGTCTGCAGTAAAGTGGAGCAGCGCACAGGGCTGTGGGAAGAAAGCGTAAGCAGAGAGCAGCGGAGCATTGTGGCTGCTGGCAATGGAGCCATCAGCCCCAGCAACCTGCATGGGGCCATATCAATGGCTCCCGTCCAATCAGAAGAGAGAGTTGCAAACCATGTGCCACAGAGTGGCGGTGTGAGTCACTTCAGCCAGGGCTGGGTGCTGTCGGGGGGCATAGGACCACCCCTAATGTCATCCAGCCCAAGGAGGGCTCGTCAAACCGTGCCCGTTTCAGCTCTCCAGCCTTGCTGCCTGGCCTTGGGGTTGGCCTTGGGACAGCAAATACGCCTGGTCCAAGTCCTGAGAGTTTCCCCACTCAGAAAGGTGGCGAAGCCGTTCCTGCTTTGGGGCAGCCCTCTCCCGCACCTGGTGCCCTTCAAACGTGTGGGACTGTACATCCTCTTATGCCCAACCACTGGCCATGCTGACTGGTGCTGATGGGAGTTCCAGTCCAAAACATCTGGAGGGTGCCAGGTTAGAAGGCACCAGGGAAGGTGGACTATCTGGATTTAAGGCGGTGTTCAGAACCTTCCATCAGGAGGTATCCTATGTGCTTGTGTGCACATTTCTCCAGAGGGAGGAGGCAGGGCTATGCAGACTTGGTCCCCATCACACCTTGCTGGCCTTTCTCATCTTCAGTGACAGGGATACATGTGTGAGTGTTTTAGGCAGCAGGTGCTGGCATAGGATTTGGGGCCTGGACACACTGAGTTATGCTGACAGGTTTTGAAGGATCCTCCACTTGTCCCCTCCCTGCAAGTCCTATGCAGCTGTTCCAAAGGAGGTAGCCCAGAATTCCTTAGACTGTGCACATGGAGGAGTCCTCCCATTAATCTCTGAGCCATTCACCCCGGCCCATCTTTCTTCTCCTCTACTTCTTTGGGATCCCAGAGCTGTTCCAGGGGCACGGCTCGCTGCATCTGGTTTGAGTGTCCCCTGCAGGACACGGGAGTTGTGACAAACATCAAGGTCCGGGCACGGGTCTGGAACAGCACCTTCATCGAGGTATGTGCCCTTTCCACTCTCTCATCTCCATTTTTCTGCAATGGCTTTGGCTAAGGCTAGTGCAAAAGTTAGGGGGCTGGACTAGAACCAGAGAGACCCAGGTTCAAATCTCCACCTAGGTTGAAAAGCTCCCTGGCTGACTTTGTCCTGTCACTATCTTTCAGCCTAACCTACCTCACAGGGTTGTTGTGAGGATAAACAGGGAGGGGAAATCACATCTGCTGCCCTGTACTATTTGGACAAACAGCAGGACAAAAATGCAAATTTTATCAATAACACCGATGTGTGTATATTCTGTCAGTGGGGCTTAGTTTCTTCTGCAGGGTAACTCCCCTCCCAGAAAACACACAGCATTTACCCCTGATACAGTCTTTACTTAGTCCAAGTTGTGTTCATGATTAGGATTTAACTTCTGAGTTTTGTGCCAGGAATGTCAATATCTTTGGTCAAATAGGGTATGCCTACATCTGCTTGTGAGCCTTTTTGGCAAGGTATCGCCTCAAACTGCAGCACACTGCATCAGTTGCAAATAAATTTGTAAAATGCTGCATGAAAAACACTTCAGAAAGGCAAAATGAAAACCTTAAGCCAGCATTCTTGCTCTTCCACATATATGTATAGGACATTCAGGAAGAATAGTTCTAGAACAAGGATGGGGAGCATCTGGTCCATGAGACAAATTTGGCCCACCCGGCCTTCCCATCCGTCCTTGTTCTAGGTTCCACGCAAGCCTCTTCCCAAGCTCCCACCTTTTCAGAGAAGGGGGATCAGTTCCCCAAAGAGCATGCAGAGAGGAGGCAGGTTAAACCAACTTCAAACTCAGCCGGTATGGCAAGGATTTAAACTGATGCCCCTTCAGTATTAAAATGGCCTTGAGGATGTGAATTTCCTGCTTGCCCTTTTATGTATACACCAAGGGCACGGAGATTTTGCATGATCTTTGTTGTTGTCATTGTTGATGTTGTTGTTATTCTTTTGTATGTCACCTAATTTGTTCCTAAGTGCCGCACAGATATCAAATAAAGCTTCAGATACTCAAAGTTCAGTGAGCAAGAATACACTGGAGGAATGCTTAACACCGCTGCTTTTAACACACACATCCTTTCCTATCCGTCTGTCCCCATGGATACGTAGGACTTCCATGACTTTGACCGCGTGAAGGTGGATGGACAAGCCACACTGTTTCTCAGGACAAACATCGGCACAATCAACATGAGAAACCATACTGTGCAGGTGAGTGGAATTGCGTTAATGCAGCACAACACCTCTAAAAATTGCATCGCGTCCAGTCTTGACCCAGTGAAGAATCGTCCTGCTGGCACGTCTCTCTCTCTCTACAGCTTAAACCCACAAAACTAGAAACGGTCCATTCTTCTGGCTACCCAGTTAGTTAAATTGACTTATGTGCAGAGCTCAGCTGCCCTCACGTTCCCCTCACTCAGGCAGGCCTAGCTCTGGTGCTCTGGCAAGTGTCTTCACCCCACATCAGCGTGCCAGGTGTCGCCTGGGACTTAAGCAGGGGGGGCAGCTGAACCCTCCCATCCTCCTCAGGTGTGCGATGACCAAGTTCATTCCATGGAAGTCACCTGATCGCTGCACACATCTTTGGTTCAGCTAGAGCAATGCATAAGGCTCTATGGAGGCCTTAGGCAGCTGCTAGGACTCTTTTTGCGTGCTCTTTCCAAGGGTTCGTTGTATGCATGGAGGGATAGGGGGACCGTGTCCACTCGCCTCACCCTCAGTCACTGTGCATTGGCTGAAGCTCTGGGAGGAGGTTCTTTCCATCTATCTGTGTACCGACACAGACAGAAAGATAATGCTGATCAGAAGCCCTGCAAGGTCAGGGTCTCCAATCCCATGCTGTACAGCAGGGGTGGGCAAACTGTAGGCCAAAACGTCTGGAGGAGCACAACTCCCATCAGCCCTAGCCAGGATAGGCAGTGGTTGAGGATGATGGGAGCTGTAGTCCAACCTCATCTGGAGGCTCGCAAGTTGCCCATTCCTACTATACATGATGAGCTTTTCTATGCAAGACATTTATTGTGTGCTTCTCATTCCTTACTCATTGTTGTTTAGACAATGCCATGATCCCCCAGTTTCACTTTGTTTTTTTTAATTGCACTTTTCCAGGGGTCTTTTAGGAACATCAAAATGAAGCATTGTATCTGAAAGCAAAAGAAAATATTTCCCTACCTGCATAATTGCATTAGACTGCTATAGAGTAGTACTCCCTACAGCTTATGTAGTGGACAAGCAGAAAAGGAAAAGCTCTTTGTGTGAAGTTTGGGTCTCAGTCCAGCAATAAAATCGACAGCAGATGCCAGAGATTAGCAGCCTTGAATAGGTGAGCTCATTGTGTGGGGCGGTGAGCCCACTTATTCTGCTGTACAGCCCCTCTTCTCCCACCACCCATTCACCGAAGACACCGACTGAGTGAAAATTGCCTAGAGGTTCAATGCTATGCATGTTTACCCAGAAGAGGCTCTACACTCTTCGCCAGGCTAAGAAATCCCGGGAGCTGTAGGGTTCACTCCCCATCTAAACATGCAAAGGGTTGCTCCCGAAGGCTCTGCCTGAGCCCCTCCCCATCTGCCCATCCAGCTTTGCAATAGAGGGACCAGCCTACTCCAAAGCACTCTTGAAGAATCACCATATATATAAAACACTCCGAACACATAGGAAGATTGATAGATGCCAAATGCAATGACGGCTAAGTGTGCATCAAGCAGCCAGTCTCCCTGCCCAACCGCATGACCGTTTCCCCTTTTTTTCACCCTGACTATAGTTTACTGTAGACATTGACAGTGAGCTGAGTGAAGAACAGCCAGCTGAGATTGAGCTGTGGTTGGTGTTGGTTGCCGTTGCAGCCGGACTTCTGCTTTTGGGGCTCATCATCTTAGCACTGTGGAAGGTGAGAACATTTTCAATTGGGGAATCGGGGTGGGCAGTGACTCCTTCCTTTTCCTCTTAGCTCTCCTTGTAGAGAGAAACCCTCCAGAAACTGCAGTGCAAAGAACGCAGGGAAAATTGCTTGTGGCAAGCCAGAACGCTTGAGCAGTATTTTCCGGGCTGACGGAAATACCTTGATCTGCCAACAAATGGGTTGGTCTTGAATGAGAACTAAATGTTCAGACATTAGAGGCTGTCACAAAAACTGGCCAGGGCCACTTTCCGATGGGCCACGCAGGAACTAATTCTGTGTCTCCAGCTTTATCCAGAGCAATGTAATCTTTGCATAAGGGTGTGACGTTGGAGTTGGTATTTAGCTCACTTGCTCAATCTGGAAGGCAGCCAAGGAGCTCGGCAAGGTGTTTAGCATGCTCAGTTTGCACTGTAGGGAAACTGGTTGGGCCGCTCAGGAACTATATTTAGATTCTCATTAATAAAGCCACCAGCTAAATAAAGGCACGGGACCCTGAGGAGGTATGTGCCCCAGGGTAAATGCTAATATCACACACTGACATTTCGGGATTCCTCCACCAAGACACCTGTGTCGGTGCCTCACTGGGGAGTTTTCAGCAGCTCCTTCCACTGCAAACTGAAGCTTTGAGCATGCTGTGTGCAGCACACATTCCCGAAGAGTCGCACAAATCCAACTGGCCAGTTTTTCAAGGGCAGCTCACACAGTGTTCTGTCACAGAGGGGATGTGCATTCAAGCTTTTCTGGGCTTGTATTTGTGTCCACAAAACAGAAGCAAGTTCCGTCACCCTGGAGGTCACTGGGCAAAGTAACACAGAGCCTCAAGCACTCAGAAGCTTTCAGGAGGCCTTAACTGGGGAAAGCTTCCAAAGCCAGTTTAGGAAGCCACCTTGCTCCACCTTCCTGGATGAGAAAGGTTTTCCTGCCTTCACTCCTTTTGTGTTCCATTCTAACAGTGCATTGGGTCTCCCAGAAATGACTAGCCAGGCACTAGTGGGAGATTCATAAGCAGAGCAGGATGACAGAGAGAGAAGGAAAGGAAAGACTCATTTCTTCTTCTCAGCATGGAAAACCTGCCTCTACCAGAGCACATGCACTATCCCCCCTGCCTCCAATGGGCTCAGTGCCAGTGGATCTGGAGGAAGTGGCAGTGTGTGACACAAATCTGGAAGCCCCCTCTAGCTGTGGTTGCCTGCATTGGCAGCTGGGGCCAAGCTCCCTTCTTCTGAAGGCTACTGAAAGCAAGAGAGGTCTTGAATGCACGGCTTGGCTCCTTCATGGCCTTTTAGTCCTCTAGAGCTGCATTCAGTTGGGTCGTCTTGAAGTATGGCCTGTCGAGTGTGGCATCCTTCCTGTGCTATCTGCCCCAAGATCGTGAGCCACTTCATGTTATCTGTGCTTGAGGTTGGAGTGACAGCCTCATGGAAACCCCAGAGAGTCCGAAACAATGAGTCTTTTGGTGCTGTAGTTTCCTTCTCTTTGGATGAGCAAGGCCAAATTTAAGCTAGCCCTTCAGTCCTGGCTTCATGTCTTCTTGCAATGAAATGAGTCTTTATCCACATGTGCACTGAAGGAGGCATCCTCGAGACCAGGAATTGTGAATACGTGGTCCCCCAAATGTTTTGGGGACTGCAATTCCCTGCAGTCTCAGCGAGCATCACCAACCATGAATGATGGTGGGAGCAGCATTTGGAGGGTCACATAGTCCCCTTCCTTGCTTAGGACTGCAGGGGCTGTTTTCCTCCCTCCCCGATGTACACTGTTCCCCTGTTGCACCTGACCTTTGACCCCTGCTTCCTCATAGTGTGGCTTCTTCCGGCGGGCAAGCACGCGAGCCATGTACGAAGCCAAGGCCCAGAAAGCCATGATGAAGATCCAGCCATCTGAAACTAAGCGGCTGACCGACAGCTACTAGTTCCTGTCTCTGGGTGGGGGGGATACTGCCCACCCCTTTACCCTGCATCTTGGTAAATCAATAGGGGGGGGGGGGGGGGGGCAGGATCTACTTCTCACTGTCTCTGTCAATTTTCAGAAGACCCTAGCTTGGAGAGCTGAAACTGTGGAACTTGGATATGCCAGTTGAGGATAGGTGGCTACTGGGCAGTTATCACTGGTCAGGTTATCTGTCCATCTAGCTTAGTATTGCCTGCTTTGATTGGCAGTGGCTCTCCAGGGTCTTTGTTTATTTTATTTATTTATTTAGGAGACTTCTATGTCACCCCATTCGCCGAAGCCTCAAGGCGGCTCACATCCATAAATAAAGTTCCTTTATATAAATTAACAGTATAAATTAAGTCAAGTCACCCTGGCCAAAGAATAAAATGAATAAATATTTTTATTCATAAATCTTTCCAACCTCCTGCTCCCCAATCCTTTGAATTGGGATGTGTCAGGGATTTAACAGAGGTCCTTCTCCAGGCCAAGCAGACCCTCTATCACTGGACCATGTGCAGATGGTCTTGCCATCGAAAGGGCTGCTGAACATCTGTGCTCAGGGAAATGGTTGGTTTTCAGCATGCTGAAAGGATAGCAGGATGTAGTAAAGTCCTGACAAAGTGTATCTTTGGCCTTGTTGAGGGAAAAGAGGTAGAGAAAAGCTTGCCGTGACATAGACCCTGGCACCACTTTCTTAAAAAGAACTCCAGTGGGCAAGGTCTGTGCCGTTGAATGAGGCTGCTGGTCCTCAATTAGCCAGGACAACAATTGGCAAGGCTCTTTAGCCACTTGCAAGCAGAGAGGAGGCTCCTGGATCAAACCAGGCTCTTGTATAGCACGGTTTTGTATCTATCCAGGCTGTAGTAATTCTCACCGAGTTCAGTGTGACTTACACCCAGGTACAGGTTTTGAAGTCAGGAGTCTGAGGATCAAACCACTTGCCTCACGAGAGACGTTGTCCCTTGCAGAGCTAAGAGTAGCTGGAGGGATTCAGACCAGGGATATGATGAGGGGAGAAAGGAATAAAGACCCCTCTGCCTCACCTCACTGTTGCTCTGATCGCAGGCAGAGCATCTGTCCCCAGTCACTCCGAAGCAGGTCGCCCGCAACATGCTAAATGCTCTCCAGCAGGTGTCAATCACTGTGTTGACCTCTCTGTTTCCTTACGTTGCTAACAAACGTTTTCCTTTCCTAGGCTTTAATAACCAGGTGTTTCCTGGGCAGCTTCTGGGATGGTGCCTACTGCTCTGATAAGGCCTTTCTCTCTGTATCCTTCCTGTTCTGTGGGCCAACCCGAATGACCATTCTGATGTGACCTTGTGAAAGGAAAGCCCAGTCACTGGCTCAGTCTTGGGAAGGCCACAATGCAGAGGAGGGCAACCTCGGCAAGGCCCTTGGCCTACGTTCTTGGGAGTAGCAAGGAAGGGAAATGGAATAGCTGAGAAACAGAGAGAGAAAGCAGTAGCAGAGACAGAAAAGGGAGCATCCTGCCCATTTTTCAGTCCGGGACTGCACACCCGGCCTGCCCACCCTTGCATAGCATAGAGTTTAGGCCAGGGGAGTTTCCAGAGAAGGCTTTCGTTGCCCAGCCTTGTTCATGGAATTTTACAGAGGGGACTTGTGGAGAACGTTGTCTTCCACATGCAACCCTCCTATGTTTTCACACTGCCTCTCCCACCTCTTTTCTTAAATCTGTCCGGGGAAGAAGAAAGATGGGACAGCAGCACAGTGCCTTTTGAGTGCCACCACTGGGAGCCCTCAGTCTCAAAGCAGGCAGAGGTCACGGCTCCCAGGCTGGCCATCATCCCAACCCCAGCACCTCTCTTACCACTGCAAGTAAAAGACTCCAGCATCGGCATCACCCATTTTATTTCCATCCCACCCAGTAGCTAGAGGATAGCACGCGGGGGCGCCCTCACTTTGAGACTGGCACTCACACCTCTGCTGTTTGCTGCCAGTCCCCTGCAACTCCCCCAGGGGAGAAAAATTACCTGGAGGTGTGTGCAGGGGGGTGCAAATAGGACTCCAACATAGGGCTCCCATTAACTGTAGATTTTTTAAAAAAATAACTTGGGGAAGGGAAGCAGCAGCAGCAGCAGAACAGGGACTTCTGGATGTTCATAACGAAGCTTCTTAAGCAGCCCCTGTGAGAACGCTCCAACATCTGACTTTATCTGCAGGTTATTGGGAGAGGCAAGCAGCATCCCTGAAACTTGTTCAGCTAACCCAAGAAAGCAATTTTGGGCACAATTCTATACATGTTTAGAGAGGAAAAGGGCTCATAACTCCCTGCATCCCCCAACAAGCCATGACACCTGGGAAATGCTAAGGGCTGTAGGATGTTTCTCTGCCTAAAGATTAATAAGAGTGTGCCCTTAGAGAATTTATGTTTTATCTATGCAGCTAATCCTCAAAGAAGCCGATTGATTTTTCTTCATAGGTCTGTTGTTGAAAATTATGGCATCCCAAAGGTCTCTCTGCTGTGCACCGTATCCTAGTGTTTCTGTTCTTAAGCCAACACTGTGCTTCACCTTAGCCCAGGTGTTTAGGATTACAATTCTCAGCTTTCCTGGCCAGTAGCCATGCTGGCTGAGGCTGATGGGAACTGAACTCCAAAACATCTGGAAAGCACAAGGTTGGGGAAGAGTGACCCAGCTGGCCTGCTAGGCCCAGTCATCACAGGGAAATGGTCAGATGGGTTGGCCTTTGTTGCTATTGTTCCCTTTCTGCTCCTACATAAAACTTCTACTCCTCGTTTGTCCTGCCTCTGCTCTCTGAACGTTTTCTCTCACTCAGATTCTCAAGTATGGTTTGTGTGTGACTCCTTACCCCACATCCTGCTAAACTTTCCTCCCCTCTCCCTGTGTAGTGCAACTTTTTCAAGCGAACCCGCTACTACCGAATCATGCCCAAGTACCATGCTGTTCGGATCCGGCAGGAGGAGCGCTACCAACCGGCTGGGGGATTCCTGCCTCCGAAGCACAAGAAGCAGTGGGTGACAAACTGGCAGGAAGCAGGGAGATACTACTGAAGCCCCCCTTCTGCCCCACCCTTCACACTCATGGGCTGCTTTGTTTTATCTGAGAGAGAAAGCAAAGCAGAAAGGAACTGTTATTCGAGCCTAATTTATGCCACTCAGGTTCGTGATGACCCAACGCTTTTTCCAGACTCTCTGATCTTATGGAGGAAAACAATCCTTGCAAGATGGACCTGCTTGGCATTTGTGAAAGAGGAGACACAATCGGGAGATTTCTGATTTTGTTTTCATTTGCACTGATGGATTCCTCTTTCTCACCTCTGCTCCCTGCCAGGGCCCTAAGAATTATATTTGGGTGAAGAGATGGGGCAGACATGAAAATCAACTTAACTTTACACTGGATCACATGTACCAAAACAGACAGCAGTGCATAGGCACTTAGCTAATGGCCTGGACGTTCTTTCTCATGGCTGCATTTCCTCAGGCGCGGTTATGATTTCACAGGATCATTTTATTATTTATTACAAATACCCCACTTACCACTCCCCAGGAGCTCAGAGCAGCTTCTGTAAGGCTCGCAGGAACCCTCCCTTCCCGGCGGCTTCTAGAGCCAAATGTGCTTCATAGTAAAACTTCATTGTGTGCCTTCTGACCACCCTCTGGGCTTCCAGAAGATTCTTCTCGTTCATGCAAACACTGCTCCAAACTGTCCCTCAGTTCCCTATGCACAGGAATGGAAGAAGCGGCTTTATCCCAAGCCAGACCATGAGTCTGCCTAGCTCAGTATCATCTGCCGCAGAAGTCGCGATCCTTAGGCCCACAGGCCAAGCACAACCAATGTGGGGCCTCAGTCCAGCACTCGGGTTCACCAGGTGGTCATTGCCCTTTCCCCCCATCATTTGGTGTTTTCCCAGCTTTTGCCGCATTCAGAAGGTTGAAATGCTTCTCCTGGACTTTGCTATCAGAAGAGCTTTCAACTAAATAGGCTGGCTTTTGGGCCCTGTCCCCCTTTGCCTTTGGCCCAGCTCCCCACTGAAAGGGGATCACTGAAAGGGAGAGCATCTCTGAAACTGAATTTGGTCCTCACGATGAAAGAGGTTAGACAACCCAGAGTTTTGGGCAGTCCTTTCCCCATCCTGGTGATGCTAGAGACTGCACCTGGGACCTTCTGCATGCGGAAGATGGATCCTACCACTCCTACCCACCATGTGCCTGTCCACTCCTTCAGAACAACAGGCCTGCAAAACCACTGTCATAAAACTGCTTCTGTGAAATTGCTTTCTTGCAGGAATGTATACAATCTTGTGTGGTTAGAACCAGGGTGATGTAGTGGTTAGAGTGCTGGATTGAGACTCTGGAGATCTGGGTCTGTGTCCTCATGTGGCCGTGAAGCTCAGTGACTTTGGGCCAGGCACTGACTGTCAGCTTAACCCACCTCACAGCGTTGTTGTGAGGATGTTAAAAATGGAGACTAGGATTATGTAAGACACTTTGTGTTCCTTGCAGGAAAGGAAACAAGATATAAATATAATAAACAAATCATGGTTGCACAGGAACTGCTTGTGCAAGGCACTTGGATTTCCACTGGCACTTGCATGCTCTCAACTTGCACAGAAATGTACACTGAGCCAAATGTCTTGCACACCTGTGTATCAGGTACTTGTGTAAGACCACTTGTTGGTGAACACCCATAACTGAGCACAGGCAACTATTGGTGCCATGGTGTGAGGTGACTTGCTAATGCCAAAGCATGCGTGCCATGGTGCTTGCACTTTTCACAATCTCTTCTCTAATGCACACATTCTAGCAGGGTCACTTTTGCTTGCTGGCAACCGTAGATTTTTGCGATCCTTTTGCCCCTTTGCTAGTGATTAGTCACCTCTCATTCCCTGCCCCAAAAACTTTATTAGAGCTTACATGTCACTGGGAGAGGAGGAGGTATGGAGTCCAGTTCCCTCACTAGGACTACAGTTGCCTCGTTCCCCAGTGCCAGAACAATGTACAGTAAACACTGGATGTATCACCACTGGAGCATCTCCTGTGCTGAGAACTGCTGTCCCTTTTCGGCCACTCGTTCTTGTACCTGCTCCATGATTCTTTTCAGGGACAGGTTCTGTCCCACTAGTGCTGCATTCTTGATCCTTCGGGAGCACCAAGGAGACTTCTAGGCTGGAAATGTGGGGAGGGGCAGAATTTTATTTTCCCATACTTTGGAAATCCCTTCTGGTCCACCCTGCAGTGCTGCAGGGTTCACTTGCTGCCGTTGGGGAATGCCAGGGAAGCATCCCTATGTGAGGAAGGGTCCGTGTTTAAGAGGCCCTGGGCAAGGGCCCTTTGGCAGGTCCCCTGCTCCACCGGTGGGCCCTGCAAGGTTTACCTGGTGGGGCAGCATTTCAAATAGTGGCAGGAGGCTTGGGCTAGCCATCATTTTAATTTCTCACAGTGCCCCAGTGCAATGCTATGCCGGGAGCATTGTGGTATATATAAAAGGCAGGGAAACGGAGCAGCCTACCACTGTTCCTAGAACACCGGGGCATCCAAGTCTCCGTGGTGGATCCTGCTGGGGCCTGGCTGCCGGGACTGATGTCTGTAGCAGACATGGTCAGTCACCTGCTGGGGGTGGGCACCCGGGTTGCTCACCTGCCTCTTGTTCTGGCCCAAACTGTGATAGCCGTGAGGAGGAGGGCCTGTTCAGGGAGGGGCTACTGAGTTTGTCTTGACCAAAGGCCCTCAAAAACCCGACATCACTGCTGCTAGGAGCTATCCTGCACCTCCAAGTCTCTCGTCAGTGTTAGTGCTCATGGACAGAAAATGAGTTAATAATCAATGAAAGTGAGGATGTGTGTCTGCACACAACTGGACAGCTGCAGAAAGTTTTCACATAAAGAGGATTGTCTGTGGTGGCGAGGATTTCAGGTCAGACAGAGCTACAAACGGAGGCTTAACGGGAAAAGCTCTCTTTTGGACATTCAGCCAATGGTGGGCAATTTGTGCCCCCCACCCCCCCAAGATTTGGCCTTCAGCTCCCATCAACCCTAGCTAGTATAGCCAATGATAAGAGCTCATGGGATTCATAGGCCAAGCTGCCCACTCCTGCAGGATGGGATTCGTGGTGGCAAGGGGACTGTCTTGCAGAGGCAGCCAAAGGGGCAAGCTCTCCTCCCCGTTGCCTGCTTCTGGCTGCCACTTTGAATCTGGAGATGCTGGTCTCAAGCATTCCATGCTGTGCATTAGAAAGGAGTGGGAGACAAATGAATGGCCAAATGGAGTGATGCCGGGCTTTTTAGGAAGCACTTACCTTTCACATCGTGGACTGTTGGGAAGAAGGCACTTCCATCAGGTGGATCCATTTGTTCGAATGGAATGGCCCTCTGTCATAGCTGACTCAGAGACCTCACTGAGGATGTCTTTGGATCAAGCCGATTTCCATTTTCAGGATCCACAGCCAACAAAAGGGAAAGGCACTGGATGCCGTGCAGGAACAAGAGAAAAGCGGTTCTCAAAATGACTAAAATATTTATTTTTTCCAATGCAGTTTAGAAAGATAACTAACTGGCCTTTTCAGCAGAGGGAGGAAAAAGTTTCATTGCTACATATTTGCATGAGGATGAGTAAAAGTCCATGAAGAAGGAACATTATTTCCAAAATGCATTTGGCAGAACATGCACTTTGGGAATCGCTTCTCTCTTGTTTTTGTGCCTTTACAGAGTTCACACCTAAAAATGCATAGCATGGATCAACATTCCAGCTTTCTGGGCATCCATACTATCATCCGTTGCAATCTCTTTCTCTCATGCCAGGGTGGTTGCCGACAATGTGCTGAGCTGAAACCAATTTATACAGGCCTATTTGGGCTGCATAAAAGCTGCCTTAAAAGGGCATCAAACTTCTGCCATGTCACTGTCAATGAAACTAAGTCAAGTCAACTGTGTATACAGTCCTCAACAGAATGAATATGTGCCTAGTAACCTCCCCTCCCCATCTCCTCACTGTATATTAAATTATTAAGAGTGTACCTATCTTTAGCTAAGTGTATATAAATAAATAAATGCACATTATATATATATATATATATTTGTTGCTCACTGGAATTTATCACTGTTTATGGTACTGCAGGTCTTGGATCATTGTGCCTTGGTTGTAAATAAGCTTGAGTGGTTATTTTATGAATAAAAAGAATTGATTTGTAACTTGTGATCTGAATCTATATTTTTAAAACTTTTAGTGTAATGAATTAAATTGCCTGGACTCACTTCAGCCTCTGAAGTTTGTTTGTTTATATATTCAAGGGAGGAGGAAGTTTGTCACAAAAGAAACTTCCTCTCCTCGCCTGGTTGTGTTGCATTGTCTAGCATTCAGCATCTGTTCTGCTTTTCAAGTCATTCAAGGTAGCTGTAGTGAGAAAGTTGCTAAGGGTGTTTGCAGATGAGGTTTCTATCACACAATCACCCTCCCTTATTGATGGAATTTTACAGGGGGTGTTTCAACTTGTAATCTTCCCATGTTTTCCCATTGCTTTTTGCTCCCCCCAAAGGAACAAAAACAAAATAAAACAAAACAACAACAACAAAAAACCCACAAAGGAGGTAAAAATGGAATGTGTGTATGGTGCCTCATAGTGCCAATAAAAGAGTGGGAGACCAATAGTGGATAAAATGCTGCTGCATTTTAAAATACATGGGATTGATTTGGACCAGAAGAAATAACATGGAGGTGAAAAGGGGAGATTCTGTACTCTGCCCTGAGTTCCTTGCAAGAGAAAAAAGACAAGATACATATAGAGGAACTGACCTGCTGTCCATGCTGGGTTTGTCCCCCTGGCACTGTCCTCACGCTTGGACCTAAAAGCTTGAAGTACAAGCAGGTGTGTCTCCAACTGCTTCCAAGATCAGCTCGACTGGTCCTTGCCATGCTGTTCTGTCCAGTAATTACTGTAATCCTCTGGAGACTTCCTGGCCCTTGGTTATTAGGACAGAAGTCCTGAAGAATATTAATCTGGAAGCATCTTAGATATTTACTTACCTATTTCGTATTCCAATCTATATATCATTTTCCACCAATGTACAAAAGTGGTGAACCTAAAATACAAGGGCATCAAAATAACAATAAACATAACAATATAGACAACACAATGCAAATACACAGGCATAAACCTGCACCTCCGGATTGCTAAAAACCATAGCATTTGGACTGGCGAGCCTTTCAAATAGTGGACTGTTCTGTATAAAGTAGGGCACAGGACCACCCTAGTGCAGAGCAAGGGGGAAATTCATATTCAAAATGAAATTTTGATCTTCTAAATATGAAAATCCTACACTTGCATAGGAAGCATTGACCTACTGGGTACAAGCCACTCTCTTCAGATGTCATTGGACCACAGTTCCCATCAGACTTGACCATTAGCCACAATTACTGGACCTGATAGGATTGGAGTCCAGCAACATCTGGAGGACAACAGGTTCCCATCCCTGATCTAAGCTACTCTGAAGAGGTGGTTCTGCCCTGCGTTAATTCCGTAATATACAAAGATGCATCGCTTGGTCACAACAGCTGTCAACACGCCTAATCTTGCTACTGTACTTCCTAGAATTAGCAAAATGCATGTTCCTTTCTGGCTGTTTGCAAACCCAACAACTATATTTGAGTGTTCTGCAGGACTAGAAGAGAACAAAAAGGATGTAAACATAGGTAACTTTAAGGACAGCTTTAGTTAACTGTAACAGAACGGGTCACAACTGTGAAGCATTTCTCATTTCACAATGCCACCATACGACCCAAGTATGGATTCAGGAAGGGAGAACAGTCTCCCCTTTCAACTGTCACCTCCTGGAAAATATTAACTATCCCTCCCCCACAGCAATTCCAAACTGGGGGAAAACACTGTGTCTTTTGTACCTATTCCAAAATGCACATGAGAAAGTTAACCTTGATTAGGCCAACTCAAATCTCAACAAAAACGTTAGCTTCCCAGATTCCTTCTCCATGACTTCAACATCTAGTCAATCCTCTTCTCCCATCACCACTCCTCACTTTTGGCAACTTCCTGTCAGATGCTGAGATCTGGGAAACGTGCACATTTCCAATCACCTTGGAGTCAGCATAATAGAAAGTCATTTTATCATCTCTCTTTCTCTAGATTCTTCCCATCGCCAACACCTTTGCTTTTTCAAAAAATTATATTATGTTTTAAATTGTTGTGGGCATGGGTAGTACAATAGCATCAACTGTTTCATGTGACTCCGTCTAGAAAGGTAACCTTACTACTTTGTTACCCTGCAAGAACCTGCAAAGTCTTAACACATTTTCATGGCATAAATTTAGGCTATGGAAGAAATGGACAATTTCTGACATTCCAGACACTTTGGACCACATTGTCCATCCCATTATGAACCTACCCCTCCTCCAGGTGTCTTCTCTGAGAGAGGCTCAGAAGATGGTAACGAGGGAGAGCATTCTCAGTGGTAGCCCCCAGTTATGGAATGTTCGCCCTGCCAACACAGCCTGGTGCCAACATTACTATCTTTCCAAGTCCAGATTGAGACACTCCTGCAAGAATTTGGCAGCATATAATCACATTTTTAATCCGATCTTGAAGTTTTCCTGTGGTTGTTTTAAAATACTTTTAGATACATGTTTCTCTGCGAGCATCATAGTTTCTATACTTGTAGGTACAGCTTTTTAAATAATGTATTTTTAAGGTTTTGATTTTTGAACCCAGAAAACTTCCCCTATTATAAAAATGAAACGCTACAGTATGTTTCTGTATCGAGTACAGAAACATAATAAACGAACAAATACATTCTACCACCACTTCTGTAACTCCCCCTGCTCTTGTTTGGCTGCGGGCAGCGCTGCGTTAAATGGGCGTGTTCCCAGAGCGAGCGAAGCCTCCTTTTCCCCGCCCCTCTGTCTGCCACGTGGTGGGCGCAGCACCCCATTGGTGAAAAATGCCTTGTTTTTCAGCCGTGATTGGCCAGCTGCCGCCGAAGCGAGCGGATTGGTCCAGAGCAGGCGAGGGGCGGCTCCTTCGAGGGTCGCCGGAGGTTCCCGGGGAGCGCCGAAGTGCCCGTCGGCCTTCGGGGAGGAGGACCACCGCGATCCCCCGGCAGAGAGCGGCCCGGCCGGCCTGGAAGCGGCCGCGATGCGTCTCCTGCGGTGCCTGATGAAGGGCCAGTCGGCGCTGGCCGGGGTGCCCAAGTACATCGAGCACTTCAGCAAGTTCTCGCCGTCGCCGCTCTCCATGAAGCAGTTCCTCGACTTCGGTGCGTGGAAGGGAGGGAGAGGGAGGGAGGGAGAGGGGTCCCCGGAGCCGTGGGATCGACAGCCTTCTCCCCGCTTCCCCACCGGAGGCAACATATTTTAACTGAGGAAATGCCCCTTGCCCTTGAGTGAGTATACCCTGCGTGGTTGCCCGCAAGGCAGCCTCACCTGGATGTGGCGTCTCGGATTGGTTCGATCTGCGCTTTCTCTTCACTTAAATTGCTGCTGCCTTGGGTAATAAAGAAATGATTCTGTTGGCTTCTAAAGAAAACTGTTTTGCAGTTGCAGTCCTGCACAGGTCTGCTTAGAAGGAAGCCCGAAGAGTCCAGAGAGACTTAACACCTAGCAAGTGTGTAGAGGATTGCAGGGTTGACTTTATTTTAAAAGTTTGGGCACTCTGTTTAGAAAGGAAGGATATTGACTGGAGATAGAGGGCCTAAGGCACGGCAGATGTTGTTGGATACCGACTCCCATTTGCCCCTGACCATTGGCCATGCTGGCTGGGGCAGAAGGGAGTTGGAATACAACAGCACTAGGAGGTCCACAGGTTCCCTACCCCTGATGGGAGTAAATAAAGGAAGTAGGTCATAATTGGATTAAGTGCCCACTTACTCTTTCACTTTCCTAATCTAGGTAAAGGCAAGCTTTCACTACTGTGTTTGAGATTTCCAAGGACAATAAAATAGAAGTCCTGTGCTGCCTTTAACGTTTAAAACAGAAGTAAATCCCACTGAGCTGAATGCATCTGAGTATGCATGCAGTATTGCGGCAGTCCTGGTGTTAGTTTTCATGGCACAGCTTAACCCGATGTGTGGTGTGTTTTCCTCAGCCAGTAAATGCTTTATATAAATTATAGGGATGTAGAGGTGGGAAGTAATGGAAACAAGTGGAGCCAAGGAGCTACAGATTGCAACAGGTCATGACCTTCCTACGCAAATCTTAAATGCATGCATGATGAACACAGTGGGCAGTGATGGGGCTTACCCTCAGATTTTTTTCCAAGTAGAAGTTTTGCTTCGCTGTCCCCATGGTAATATAGTGAATGGAGCTGTAACCAGATCTGCACTCTGAATAAATTTGTCAAGTGTCATCTCAGCCTGGCTATCCAAGTTTTCATGTGCGGAGGAATGTTCTGTAGGACTTTCATTCTGTTCATGTCTCTGGGGGAATGGAAGGCAAACTTCAGCAAGATGGTTACTCAGTTGCTTTGCATGCAAGTTCGATCCCTGGCATTTCTGGTTAAAAGGCAGAGAGAGCAGCTGATGCGAAAGCCTCTGCCTGGAGCTTGCATGAAACTTCCTGGACTTTTGAAAGGAAGTTGTCTGGTGCTCCACTGCTGCCTCTACCCCTTGGGTACAACTCTGTTCATCTAGAAGTTGGCTCTGTATTTGCACGCAGGAGCCCCAGTGGGATAGTGGGTTATGTTGTTGGCCATGAATCAGGGAAACAAAAATGTAGTTTCTTGCTATTCCAAAGTGAAGTAGTCCTTGGGGCAGTTTTCTCTCTCATCCCGGTGCGTAGTACCATCATGCACAACAGCCTTGAATTCTTTGGTGAAAGTCTGGGATATTGCAGCTTTCCAATGGTTTTGGCTCTCCATTGGGGCCACTGATCTAGGATGATGGGAGTTGTGTGTATTTTTCTCCCCTGCTGTATATGGATATTCACTTACATATACGTATAATGCACAGATTGCCTGCTTCCTGCTAATCCAGAGGTAGAGAACAGGCAGTTCTCTAGATGTTGGTGGAGTCCCAACTCCTATCAGACCCAACCTGCATAGCCAGTGCTTGGGGATGGTGGTATTATCCAGATTATCTGGATCAATTTGTAATAAATGTATTACATAAATATAGAGCGTTACCTTTATATTCTGCTGTTATTCCTCTTTTAAGGAACTCAGGGTGGTTTACATAGCCCTCCTGTTCCTCCTCTTCTTTTAATGCTAACAACAACCCTCTGGGGTAGGTTAGGCTAAGAGTGAGTGACTGGCCCAAAATCACCCAGTGAGCTTCATAGCTCCATGGGGACTAGGACCCAGTTCTCCAGAGTCCCATTTCAGCACACTAACCATTCTCCTACACTGTGTCTTGCTATATCGTTATGGGAAATGTACAGCTTCTGGATGCATGCAGGTTTTCCACCTCTGTAATCCAGCACCATCCCTCCATGAGGGCTGTATTTGCATTCTGTTATTCAGGGGAGGCAACCTAGATTTCTTCCCATGTTCTGGACTACAAATTCCATAATCCTTGACCATTGGACACAATGGCTGAGGCTTACTGAACATATTTATTCATGTACTTATATGTCACCTATAATTGCCAAAATGGCTTCCCTAGGCCTTTGGTAGTCCAAAGCTTATGGAGAACAGTATAGGATTCTGACACTGCCATAAATAAGTCCCACTGCATATGCTTTGGGGTGGGGGGACAGGACAGGGCTTCCTATAGATATACGGATAGTAAATATATATGGGATAGTATGTTGCTGTGTGCAGTCTGTTGCTCCAAATCAGTTAATGGCAGGTACAGCAGTTCCATCTACAGAAACATGCGTCTGTTGTCATATATTCTGTAGTTCTGGTGAACATCCCAGCATCCACCACCCCGAGCCATTGGACATGGTAACTGGCACTGATGGGTGCTGGAGTCCACCAACATCTGCAGAGCTGCAGACTGTCCATCTGGGGTGTACATTTGTCCCTCCATCCATAAGAGAGGGAGTGAAACACCAGGCCCTAACCTCACAGGAAAGGCTGGCCAAGTTCTGTTTCCCTTCCCCATAAACTCCACTCTGCTAGATTTTACTTTCTCTCTACTTCTTTTTCCCCTCCCTGCAATGTAAGCATCAGAAAGTGAGGCATAAAGAAGCAAAGTGTGAGGGGTAGCTGCTAATGAAAACTGTTCCTTTGAAACCCATGCATCGTCTTGCTGGATTTATGCCTCTGCACTGGGAGGAGGGAGTTTGCAATGCCCTTTGAAGGATCTGAAGGACAACTGGAGCTGATTGGGGGATCGACAGCGTCAGCGGGTATTAAAAAGCTTCTCTGCCTCACATCCGCTCTGTACTCTCCCCTGCTGCTGTTCTTTTATCCAAGCCGTAAAGATTTGCCTGATGTGCTTTCCAAACCCGCACAGTAAATAAAGAGCTCCGGGATCTTTGCCTGGTGTTAGTGGCAAGCGAGCCAGCCCCTCCACCCCCACCCCTTCTCTCCCAGGCAGGTATTTCCCTCCTCACTCCCATCTTCCCCTTTCTCCTGGGCAGTGACATGGTTTGAGTTGCTCTTGGCACTTTGGGCTGTGCAGGTTTGCTTGACTAGACAGTTTGGATAGAAGGGTTGGTGGGGGAAACCTCCTTGTCTTAGATTTCATTTGGCTGTGCATGGCTCAGTCTGCCCACTCTTGCCGCTAATGTCCTTGACACAACAGCTCCATTTCTGCCCTGTGCCAAGACAACCTGGGCTCACCTAGCAGTCAACACTCCAGGATGTTGACACCTCTGCGCCTCCCTTTTCAAATGACCCCAATGACTTCTGTGTCAACTTTAGTAGTGAATCCCTTGCTTCTATGCTGTTTGCAGTTCTGTAACCTGTGTATATAGATGTGCTTTGTTTCCCAACTGTTTAAATTTCCAGAATGAAAGAAGGGCAGGGCTAGGACTGGTTTGGAAATAATGCCCTCTGCACTTGCATTCTTTGGGATTAATCTGGCTTTTCAAAGGCTCTTCCTCTTGCCTGCATTTTAGTGTTTTCCATTGTTATAAACACCAAGGACCTTTGTGAAATAATCAGGTGTTTTCTTTTTAAACTCAGCCAACTTTCCTGAACCGAGAGCCTTCTGGGTGTTTTGGAGTACAACTCCTAACAGCCCTGGCTGGGGCTGATGGGAGTTGTTACTCCCTTGTTCTGTGTCAGGCTTTTGGCCTTTCTTGTGCAGGGTTGTTGACACTGACTGGCAAAACGTAGCAGTCTAGGGATTCAGGCAGACAGTTCCCCAGCTGGGGATCAAACTTGGCATCTTCTGCATGCAAAGCAGGGGCTCTGCCACTGAGCCACGGGACCTCTTCTTTCAAGGGCTCTGGGTTAGAGAATGCCTGAATGAAACAATCCAGGATTTCAAGGCTGAATCCTGGCACTGAAACGAGGTTCCCAACTAGGCCCTTGGTATGCATGTGAAGGAGTAAGGTATTGCCGCAATTCTCTGTGCCCATACAGTCTGTCTCTTCACCACCACCCTGGTTATGGTTATTTTAGATTCTCTTGTATTTGAGAAGAGCCCACAGGGTGTATAGCAATTAGAAATGATCATTGATGTGGGTTTCCCAGAGATTCTAGACTGGGAAAGAATCATATAATTCTGAGAAGCCCTAAATTGAAAGTGGGCAGCAGGTGGTTCTGGATCTGCCAATAGATCTCCACATGATTTGCAGTAGATTTGCAAGGATTTGTGGCTCCCAATGAATGCACAAGGTTAGATAATCTCTCTTATTTTCAAAGCATTTCTTTACCATTTGATTAACATAAAGCTCTTCCGTGGCCAGTGTGACTTGCCCATCTTGGCCTCAGTGTTTTTAAACTGTAACATATGAATGGGTTGCCTCTCACTGGGTCATTGCACAGCTGTGCTGCCCACCTTGAATTTTGTGCTGGAGTAGTTGACCTGAAGTAACTGAGATGTAAATTTGTAATCGGAGACACTGTAAGACTCAGGGCAGGGTGGAGGGTGCAGTGAGCGAGTGACTTCATATCCCTGCACTGCTATTTTGCACCTAGCTCTGCTTAGTGGGCCTTGGGGTTCTAGTGAAAAGCAAATTAGATCCCAAAGACTGCTCACTTGTGCTCTAAATAGAACATGCAGGTTTAGCATGTTTTTTTAAAAATACATATTTAATAAGCAAAACTAAAACGATCTCACATTAGTTTGTGTCCTGCAATTAAACTGAAACACTTGATTTTTGGTTGCATGGGGATGTGGAAGGATTGAACAAAGTACACTTGATGTGCTTTAAATGTGTTCAAACAAATCGAGAGCTTTATGTAGACATTATTTTTATGGGAATAAAAATCTAATACTGCCTGGTACTCGTTGTTACTAACTAACTGTATGTAACTATGATAGCCTAGCAATGGGGAATGTTTCCATTTTGGAAAATGTTCTGTCCCTCTTGATCTGGAATGCCTCTTGGCGTTTTGGAAACCTGCCTTCAGCACTAAAACTGGGTAACGGAAGAGAGGGGTTGAGGGTCAGTTGTATATGTGGGTGGGGGAAAAGGAAGGATTTGGTGACTACCATGATAGAAGGCATATGTTGGCCATAGTAAACTACTTTTGACTACTTAAATTCCCCTTCAGTCCCCATTTCTAAGCCTTAAGAAATTGTCATTACCTACTCTTCCTTCTCAGATTGTTTTCTATAGTTATGAGACCTGATAATTTACTCTAAAAATGCAGACTTGGTTGCCATTTCTTCAGCAATCGCATTCTGTGTTCAGTATTGTATTCTACATAGCCAAACCAAGAACAAGTGCTATAATATCTTAAATATTCACACATTTAGGGTGCCTTGAATGTTTGTAGATCAGAATCATCCATTAATCATGAAGAGCCAGTGTGGTGTAATGGTTAAGACTGTAGGACTGGGACTCAGGTGATCTGCGTTCTAGTCCCAGCTCAGCCATGGAACTCACTGTGGGTGACTTTGGGCCAGTCACAGACTCTCAGCCCAACCTACTTTGCAGAGTTGTTGTGGGGATAAGATTGAGAGCAGGAGGAGGAGAATGACAAAGGCTGCTTTGAATTCATTGCAAGAAATAATCAGGATATAAAACAAATAAATAAATAATAATTGTATAAAGAGGGCAGTGAAGGGATAGAGTGTGTGTTGAGTAGTTGTAACTTGGACCCATATTACAGAAGCTAAATCTTTTAAAGCTAGAATTGTAAACTGTATCTTCAGATGCTGCTGCCCCTATGAGGATTTAAAGTTGCTTGTAAAAGCCTTCCTGTGTTGGTTCTGGGAGCAGGTTACATTAACTGGGGTAACTACCACCATGAGGCACACACGATCAGTTAGTGGTGAAGTGTATCCTTTCTTCCTTTCTCTTTTAAGGATCCAGCAATGCCTGTGAGAAGACCTCCTTCACTTTCCTCCGTCAAGAACTTCCTGTTAGGCTGGCCAACATCATGAAGGAGATCAATCTTCTCCCAGACCGTGTGCTGAGCACCCCCTCCGTTCAGCTGGTGCAGAGTTGGTGGGTTCTTGTTCCTCTCCCCTCCTTTTCCTGTTGATATTCTGGGGATTGTGGGCTGGCCACCCCATGCCCAAGGGCAACATGCTCTCCTGCTGTCAGAGTCTTCAAACTGCTGAAATCCTCTACCATTCCTATGCTAGTTCAGCCACCCTGGCCAGGCATCTTAGGCCTTGTTCTGTTTCCAGGACAGCAGATGTGTGGTGCAGCTGAGGTTTGGCTTCATTACTTGGTTGTACAGGGGAAAGAGCCATGGCTCAGTGGTAAGCTCTATGCTTTGTGTGCAAAAGGTCCAGATGATCCTTGGCATCTCCAAACTTAGGCTGGGAAAATTCTGCCTCAAACCTCAGAGAGCCCCTCCCCTGCCAGCTAGATGGACCACTGACCTCAGTAGGAGGCAGTGTCCTGCAATCCTTCAGGTTGCAGCGGGGGGTGGAGGTGGGCCAAATGGTGGAATGCTGATCCATCTGAGAAGATTTCCATGCACCTGGCAAGCTAGCGTGTCAGGAGAGATGAAGGCCTTTCTTTCTGGCATTTAGGGCCAAACTAGTAGAGGGGCCCAAGGTCCAGATGAGTCTTGGTCCTCTGGATCCTTTAATCTGAGGATCAATCTTCCCACTGGAACTTTTGCTTTCTAAGACCTGTGTGAATATACCCTTTCACCAGGCCTCACCTTCTTTTCCCCATCCACAGATCTTTTTCTGACTTTTCTTCGGTTTTGTTTGCATTCTAAGTCTTAGTTACTGCAGGCAGAGTTTCAAACTAAAATATGCTGGTATATTAGGGTTTTGGCCCTGTCAGTTTTGCCTTCAGCCTCAGCACTGCTGCCGGGCACATTCCACCCTGCAGCAAGGCCTCTCTGAAATGGAAATTGGTCCTCAGGCTGAAAGGATTCTGCCCCTCTAGAACGGATATGGAGCTGGTGACCCCTCTTCTAATGGGGCTCCTTTTCCATTGCAGCTTTCCTTCCAGACTTCATCAGAACTATCCATAGTGCTGAATCCCACCCCCCAAATAAGCTTGTCACAGTGTAGCACCATGGATAGCACCTATAAAGCTCAGAATGAAAGGTGGCCTGGCAAAGAACCCCATTGCCAGGGGAGTCACCAGCCTCCCCTGCATCTAGCTGGGGAGATTTGTATGCTGGGGAAGAACAGACCCGCTGTTTAACTGTGTGTTTGACTCATTGAGGGTCTGAGTTCCTTGCTCTCTCCATCTCTGTGTCCCACAATTGCCCTACTCTGCTGACAGTTGCTATGTCTGAAGGTGCCCTTGTTGCTAGGTTTTGCTGTTTGCATTCAAAAGACAAGCTCTGTAGTTGGTGCGGTGGTGGGCAGAACAAATCAGGGTATGGCCCTTTAAGATGGTCTGTGAACTGTGTCCTACTTTGAGAAAGCACGTGACAGCTTGCTTATTTATTGCACTCCAGGCCTCTCAGCTCTTTCTCCCGCCCTCCCGCCAAGTCCCTTCGCAGTTGCCAGAGAGAGCAACATGGGAAGGGCAGGCCGCAATTCCTGCTGCAGAGCTAAGAGCCAAGTTCATTGTTACAAGTCCCAGTTCTCTTGCTGCCACCCGTCACTAACCCAGCTGCCTTTGAAACCTGGCCATTCTGTTGTTAGCACCACTTCCTGCAGGAAAGGTTGACCACCAAGCCTTGGAGAGCTACAAATCTTTCTTCCTTCACTTGAGCTCATATGCACACAGCAGTTTCCCTTCAAGAAACACTTGATGTACTTTGATTCTTGTATATGCTGCCACTGAAGCCTGAAACGACATGGGTGGACAGAGAGTAGCTCTCCAGAAGTTTTGGATTCAACTCCCAGCATTATCAGTCTTGCAGAGGCCTCTGGAGGCTGAAGTCCAAAACAGCTGGAGTTTTATCTTTTGTCAACCCCTGGAGTCCCAAACTTATAGGGATCTACCACTGTAGTATGTATGCATTTATTGATTGATTGCATTAAGATGCTTCCTTTTTGACAAAGGATTCACGATGGTTTACTCTTCTAAAAAACCTTTTCAAAAGTCACAGAAGATAAATAAAGCTGGAATGCCCCAGATTACTGGCTGTCTCTGCAGAAGCTGATGGCTTGCCTTTTTCTTTTCCGAGTTCACCTCAGGGAGCACAGAGGGACTTTTTAGGCAGCCATGGGGAACGGGGTATCTAGGAAAAGCTGGTCTCTTCCAGACTCAACAAGTCTTTTTTAGGGCTTGGTTATACAATTTCTTCTGGTACAAATTTACATGGACTGGAGTGTGCTACAGCCAATGTGTGGAGTGTTATCCCCTGTGGGCTGAAGAGTCTGCTGGTGTGTGAAATTGCCTGAAGAGGAATTTCTTCCCAGATCCCGTGCTTTCTGTGTTAGCTAGCCTAATGAGGAAAACTCAGAAACTTGCACAATTGTGTACAGTTCTGATTGGGCCTAATCAAGGTATTGCTCTACTTGTGGATTTTGTATTTTATTTTCTCACGGACCAGCACGGCTACCATTGTTCTGTTTAGAATTTATCAGTAAGTTTGGTTAGATTTGTTTAGGATTCGGTCTTCACCAAGGCCTTTTCTCTTTTGGTGTATCTGCCAAATTATCATAGCAAATTTAGGAAGATAGTGGTTATCACCAAGGACTACTGTTGCAAACCGTCCCTCTGCTTATTTTTTGAAATCCTGAGCTTGGCACAGAAATGTCATGGACTCTTTCTTGCATGTCAAGCCCTTTGGGCCTCAGTGTTGAAGTGAGAGTTTCTTCCCTCTTGTAGCATAAATCTACTCTTTTGATTTTTCCCCCAAATATATATTTTTTAACTTCTGGAAATCTGATAAACCCCCACCCCCAGGCTTGTGTATGGATCGTGTCTTCTCTGCTGGGGAAGGTCTCTACGGTTTGCCATTCTAGATAATAAATGGTCATTTAAATTCTTCTGTTGAAATGCTTTGTTGATTAACCTTAACTCTTTTTGATCAGCTATGATGAGTTAAAATGATAGCTATGATGAGTTGGATAGAAGACTTTCTTTTTGTCTCCCCTAAGCCCTACTGGGGCCACACATTTATGTAGATTTAATCAACCAATAGTACAGTCATATATATGCTTTCTCAGAAGTAAATCCCACAGGTAGGTAGGTAGGTAGATAGAGAGATAGATACTTTATTATGGTCAAAGATCAGCTCCATTAAATCCCATTGTGTTCAATGTGTCTTCCTCCCCATGTGCAGTATGTGTCTTCCTCCCCACGTACAGGATTGCAGCGTTGAAAGTGCATGTCCAGCTTATACCTTCCTGCCTCAACATGGTGTCCTCTTGATATTTTGAATCACAGCTCCCTGTGTTCCTGACCATTTACCATGCTGGCTGTAGAAGATGGGTTGTTGCTAGTCGCAAAGTCATGTCCAACCCATCCTGACCCCATCGACAACATTCCTCCAGGCCTTCCTGTCCTCCACCATCCCCCAGAGTCCACTTAAGCTCATGCCGACTGCTTCAGAGACTCCATCTAGCCACCTCATTCTCTGCCGTCCCCTTCTTCTTTTGCCATCTATTGTTCCCAGCATTAGGCTCTTCTCCAGTGAGTCCTTCCTTCTCATTAGGTAGCCAAAGTATTTGAGTTTCATCTTCAGTATTTGGCCTTCTAAAGAGCAGTCAGAGCTGATCTCCCCGAGGACTGACTGGTTTGATCACCTTTCAGTCCAAGGAACTCGCAGGAGTCTCCTCCAGCACCACAATTCAAAGACCTCAGTTCTTTGGTGCTCGGCCTTCCTTATGGTCCAACTTTCACAGCCATACATTGCAACTGGGAAAACCATAGCCTTGACTATACACACTTTTGTCGGCAGGGTGATGTCAAAAAATGTGGAAGGCATCAGGTTGGGAAAGGTTGAACGAAGCTGACTTCAGTTGGGTGATGGCCCTAAATAATTTCATTTTTAAAAATGTGCATAACTTCCCCATTATCAATAAAGTCCACAGATGGACTTGGTGGGGGGATGCAATTCTTGTGTAGCAAAAAACTGAAGTTTCCCATCTTAAGTGGTGCTCACAAACAGTTGTAATTTCTGCCTTCCCTATCAAAGACAAAAGTGCTAGAATGCAGGCAGCTTTCACACTCTGCTTTTCCATTCCTTCCACCAGGTATGTGCAGAGCTTGCTGGACATCATGATATTCCTGGATAAGGATCCTGAGGACCAAGGGATCCTGGGACAGTGAGTTTCTGTTTTGAAGACTACAGAACACGCTTGTGCAAGGATCCCGGCTCGTAGTAGAAGGGGGTAGGGGAGCACTCTCTGCCCAAGGGGTAAATCCAGCTTTGGAGATTGCATGCTAGCGGTGGGTGGGGATTGTGTGCTAGTGATGGGTGGAGCCAAAATATGAAACGCTCCCATATATTTAACTTAAAGCTCTTCCCACCAGGAACTGAGCCTTTGACATTTTGGTCTTCTAGAATGGGGAGGAACACACAAAAATTGGAGTACCACCCAGTGGCTTGGGGAAAGTGATGGGATCAGAGGAAAGAGGCCTGGCCAAATTGGCACACCAGCAGAGCTGGACTTCCTCACCCTCTGTCATGGTGTCTTGGAGAGCCACTTCTTATATAATAAGTTCCCTACACAAACAATATGACACTGTTCATCCTGTATGGAATCGGAGCAGTATTTGCTTGGGTCTGCTGTCTGGCCTGTTCCGATTTTGGATGTGACAGTGTTCACCTGAGGAAGTTGGATAGCCTTGGAGCCTCGTGGCTCCAGTGTCATTGCAGTGGCATCTCCACTTCAGGTTGTAGTCTGAACTTTTAAGGAGCCACCTGGTGTGCTGAACACTAGCCCAGAATAGGCTCAGAACCATGGAGAGCTCATTTAAAGGCCAGATTGAACCCTGGACTGGATATGCCATTCCAATAACATTGGAGCCACCAGCTTTCGCTGAAAGGGGGTGTATCTTGGCAGACCATTTGGGTGTTATGTCAGCATTTGGTGACTGCGTTTGCACAATACAACAAGCAGTCCTGTGTGGTTACCACAGTTCACATTTGTATTGCCATGATCTACCTGACAGAGGCTGCATTCACACAATGTGACAAGCAACTCTGCATGGTTACCACAGGTCATGCATTTTACTATGATTTATCTGAAAGATTATTGGTTTCTATGTTATCATAGTTTCCATCCTTCCCACTCAGTCCTCCTGCTGTAGATCCCATCATCCAATGTGCCTGAAATCCAGTCCCAAGATGCATTGTTCACCTGTCCCTTTCTCACTGGTCCACAGATGGCTGGAGTGGCTCTGCAGTTGCCACTCCTTACAGGGGAGTCTATGGTAGCTGTGCATCAGAACCATGCAGACCACAATCTGGGTTCAACCAATGTGACAAGCCATAGTGGTACAGAGAAACCATAAATGGTTGTTTCTTATCCTGGTTTCCAAAGACCAAGCTTACCATGGTGAAATACTAGGATTGAGTTTGGACAACAGGAAGATCCCTTATGGTAAAAAGCCACCCTGGCTCATCCTGTTGTCTGAACCCAGCCTGTGTGTCTGACAGCGGAGGCCAGAAGAGTGAGCCAGGGAGACCTGCTTCGGTGCTCCTTCTGGACCAGCCGCCCGGATACTGTCATTGAGGCCTGGCATGAGAGGAGGAGTTGGGAACTGGAAATGCATCGCATGGGCTGGACAGAATAAGTGTGAGCCAGATTTTAAGTTCAAATATATTATTTTTAAGGTGAGAACCCTGGGAGGCTTTAGTAATGCAAATCTACTGATCCATGGCCTGTGTCAGGAGCATGCCTCTTTCAGATAATTTCTGTGCGCCCTTGTGAAGCAGCCTCCTTGGATGTGTTGGCCGGACAAAATCCAGCTCTGGACAAAGTCTGGCTTTGTCTTCAAGCCAATAGCATAGACCAGTCTTCTTACTGCCACAGAATACCATGTGTTCTCAAGCCCCTCAATTCACAAATCCCATTAGCCCCAGCCAGTAGGGCAGATGGTCAGAGATAATCAGAGCTGCAGTCAGAAACATCTGGAGGGTGACAGATTGGGAAAGGCTGTTAAAAAGAGTTGTATGTGAAGGGAAGGAGTTGTCCTTGGATGCATAGTAAGTCAGATTTAGGGATGTACAAGTGCTTGCTCATGCCCAGGGATGTGGATTGGTTTGTTTTTAAGTCAGGGATGTTGGAGAGGAAAGGCCAGAATTGTCAAATGGCCATTTGAGGTTTTTCTGAAGTCCTGTTTCCTCCTTGGAAGCAAGAATGGCGAAACTGGGACTGTTATATTTTGGGCACCTCCTGAGAAGGCAGGACTCACAAGAGAAGGCAACCATGATAGGGAAGACTGAAGGCAGAAAAGGCAAGGAAGACCAGCTGTGAGGTAGATGGATTTCATAAAGGAAGCTACAGCCTTGAGTTGAGAAGAACTGAGCAGGGCTGACAAGGCGAGGACGTTTTGGAGGGCTTCCATTCATAGGGTCACCATGAGAAGGAGAAGACTGGACACACATCAACATCTTCCCCTCCCAGGTTCACCAATGCCCTGGTCACAATCCGGAACCGTCACAATGACGTGGTCCCCACCATGGCACAGGGTGTGATCGAATACAAGGAGGCTTACGGGGACGACCCTGTTTCCAACCAGAACATTCAGTACTTCCTGGACCGCTTCTACCTTAGCCGCATCTCTATCCGCATGCTGATTAACCAGCACAGTGAGTTACAAAACCACCTTGAACTGGGCCTCCTCTGGCCTTGGCTGTGTCTGCCCTTGAATCTGTCTTGGCTTGTGTCAAATCTGCCCTCCCAGCCTTCTTCCTGGTCTGTAACAGTGTGGCAAAAGTGTCTTTTTGCAATTCTCTGGTGTGCAGTGCCACATTAAAAATATGTACTGCAGGTGTGGGAGATACTGCCCTCTCCCCAGGTGTCCATCCTTTCCCTGTGTCTGCTTGTCAAACTACAGCCCTTGACATGCCATATGCTGTTTTTCCTGTCTTAATTTGCTCCCCTCCCTTTCTCCGCAGCCCTGATCTTCAATGGCAGCACCAATCCAGCCCATCCCAAGCACATCGGCAGCATCGATCCTCACTGCAATGTCTCTGACGTGGTTAGAGGTCAGTGGATCCCCCGATCAGTGCCAGCACTTCCCCTCTGTGCTGTTGGTTTTTCTGTCTTCCGGTTCCTCATTCACAGCAGCCCTCTGCAAAATGCAGAGGATTCAGCATCACAGCCATCGTGCCGGTTCTCACTCTCCTGCTGTATTTGTTTGTGTCAGCATGGTTCTCTCACCTGCCCACCCCTTGCATTACCTGCCTTAGAATATTTAAAAGGAATGCTAAAATGTTAATGTAAGGTATGCTGATGGTCCCTGGCTCAGAAGGCTTGAAAAGTCAATTTGGCCAATCCGAGGAATAGCCCTCTGGTTGACTGTTACCCAACAGCTTGCACAGCATCCCCCAACCTGACAGTCCCAGCTTTATTGGAACACAGTTCCCATCATTCCCAGCCAGCAAAGCCAATGGCAGAACGGAGCATCCAGGTTTAAAGGCATCGCAGCAGTGGGAAGGATGTGTTTGTGCAGAGGAGGAACCATAGCAGGGAGCTGCGGACTTCATGCCCTGTTGGTGGCGTTCCTGGAAACATCTGGCTGGCCACTGCTGGAAGCAAGATGCAGGGCTGGCTGGACTTGCAGTTTGACCCAGCAGGGCTGTTGTTACAGCGGAAACTCTGCGGGACAGCTCAGATTTGTCTTCCTTGAAGGCAGGACGTGCGCAGAGACGAGCCCCATCTTGCCTGTTTGTCAATGTAGGGAGAGTGAGGGCTGTGGTTCCTGAGGGAAACTGGGGACTGTGTCCTGCATATACATTCACTCAGTCAACCTTTTCAGCTCATGGGCTTTTCTCTCATATCCCTCCTTGACTATGCTGGGTGTTTCCAAAGCAGTTCCAAGATAATATCTACTACCTAACGCTTTCTAAGCGCTGTACAGTTATTGAAAGATAAAACGGGTCCTTGCCACAGGCTCATAATCTAATAGACATGACAGAAAAGGAGAAAAGACCCTAAGTGTTGGAGTAAGCACTCCTTTTCCGTTAATAAATGGGGCCACATTACTTGCAATTCCAGGTTGTTTTTCCCCTGGGAGGAAAGAGAAAAGCCAGTTCCCTAAAGCTGCTCCCTCTCTGGCTGATGGATGAGGCCAGGCTGGTCTCCCGCTTGCCCTGATGTTCCTCCTGGGAGGCAGGGGAGGCAGTGGGACTTTGTCAGCCTGCCACTGGATGAGGCCAGAGCTTCCCCTCTGCTCGCACTTCCAGGGCAGGCACGAACAGGAGCACACAGAGGAGGCCAATTCCCTGCTGGCAAAGGAGCAGAAGCAGCTGCAGCGATGTTAGTGTCTCCAGGAAGATGGGGCCAGAGGGCGAAGACATTACAAATGTTCCTTCACCCTCCCTCACAGCCATTGCTCCTGCTGATTTCTATCAGTGTACAGCAAAGTCATCACTTTCTAGAGCACAAGAAACTGACCTCTCTGAAGAAGAGGGACATAATGCATTCCTGTGATAACCCATGTTCCTTGTGTGTTCTCGTTCTCTCTCTCTCTCCCCCTCTTCCCTGCACCCCCTGACTGCAGATGCTTATGATATGGCAAAGCTGTTGTGTGACAAATACTACTTGGCGTCTCCTGATCTGGAGATCCAGGAGGTGAATGGTGAGTTCTTTGGGGGCCAAAGCAGATGTGGGGTGCCTTGGAGGAGGCATGATTACTTGGGGCGGGTGGTGGGCACTTAGGCCAAGAGGTGGCCGGCATTGACTTCCAGCCAGGGGAGCTCTCACCTGTGCAGAAGTCTTGCAAGGGTTCCTCGGGCACAGAATCTGTGTGCTCTTCTGGGCCCATCCCACGGATTGCAGTGTGTGTGTGCAGGAGGTTGCTAGCGAGCAGCATTCTGGTACGGGGGCCGGCGTGCACACAAGGCTGGGAACAGAGAGCAATCAGTGCTGAACAGGCAGAAGCTAACTCTAGGGAGCATCACGTGTAATTTAATTGAATGAAATATTAATGCCGTACAAGTTTAAAATGTTACAAAAATGGCTTGTGTACCTTTCCTTTTATCGCCACAAGTGTAAAAGGACTGGAGGCTCTGGAAAAAGGAAGCAAAATGTTCAGGGGAATAGTCTCAAACAAGGGTGGGCAACTTGAGGCCCTCCACGAGTTTAGGCTTACAACTCCTCTCAGCCTCTCAGCAGCATCGCCAGTGGCGAGGGATGCTGGCACTTGTAGGTCAAAATTTCTGGGGGGCCACATGTTGCCCACTCCTGGCCCAGAACATCTGCAAAGGGGCTGTTCTGCACAGGCCCCAGAGAGCTGTAGCCCTGGGGTGCAGGGTGGATGAGAGAGAGGGGGTGAGAGGGGGAAACTATGTAACTGATGGGGCAACCAGTGTCTTGCCACTCTCCAAGAACGGCCTCTTATATCCATAACATTTGTTATCCTTAGAACATTTGGGCAGCCTGTTTTACATTGGACAGTATTCTTTCCTTTTGCAGTTGGCAGACTTGCATGCTCTCTCTCAGGGCCTTTCTTCTAAAAGGGCTTTTAAAAAGTACAAGCTCCATCATTTGAGCTTCTAGGGTGACTGTCAGCCTCATTCCTATTTCCCCGTTTTAATTCAGCCACTGGAACAAGACCTCACCCATGGCCTAGTAAGTAGCAAAGTTCTGATTTGATCAGCACTGGTTGTAGAGTTAGCACTGTGGCTTGGCAGCAAAAGCTTTGCTAGAACCTTCCGTGTGGCCTTTTCTCACCTCTTCTTTGGAAGCAAGTAAAAGCAGCTCCCATGCCTGCAGAATCTCACAGGCACAGCAATTTACCTCACAGGGTTGTCATCCGTGAAAAGTTAGGTCGCAGCATTATCCTTCTCTTTTGTCAAGGCCTGGCTTAATTTACAGCATTTCCAAGCCTCGAAAGTGTTCACATGAGCTCTAAGAAGCATAGAGTTTGTTGGTATCCCAGGTGCCTTCATCCAGAATCCATTTCTGTGCTGCCCAATAGGCAAAGTTTAAAAACCTTAAACAGGTGGTATCATGCATGATGTAAAGAGCATTTATACATGAACTTGTGAACTTTAGTCAGCACACGCTCTGACACGCAGACACGCCCTGTGTGCTTCCGTGGCATCAGCCATTACAAACCAAAGAACTGATTAAGATTGGTTCAGTATGATATGCCCAGAGGACTTTTGCAAGATCGCTCCCCATTTGTCGTGCTCCTGTGACTCACGGAAGGAGCACGACTTTCTACGTCACACTGTCTCACCCTCAGTGGTCCAAATGCAGCTAGACTGCTGGATGCCGTCTTTCGTGGGAGCCACTGACTGTCCTGCCCTTGCCACACACCACAACGGAGAGGATAATTCCATCAAATGCTGTTAGCTGAGATGGCTGCACTGAATCACTCCTCTTAAAGATTCGATTCTGACGCTAGAAAAATGCTTGCATTCTCTTGTCAGATATGCTGGCGCATATATATATATAAGCTTTATACCTACTGCATGAGCTGAAGGTTCATAGGAACTGGGAACTCCAGGGGTATTTGAGGTTGCGGAAGCAGGAAGGAACCCCAGGGAGGGGCAAGGTGGTCAACCGTTCACTTGCAGCATGTGAAGGACTTGGGCAGGATCAAAAAGCAGGCCTAACGTGGTGCCATTGTGTGGATCCCGCCCTACTGAACCTGTGCCCTGTGGACGTGTTGGACTGCAACTCCTATCATCCCCAGCCAGAGGGCCATCGGCTTACCTGGGCTGAGGCATCCTGTCTTTTGGGCATAAAGGACTCTGGGTATGGTCTCACAGAGCGGTGTTAGAGGGTTGCTTCCTGCAGGCTGCTGAACATAGCCAGTGGCAATGCCAACGGGACGATGGGAGCCGCAGTCCACACATATGGAGGGCATCAAATGGAGGGAGGCAGGTGTAAGGCCTGATGCTGAGCCAACCCAAGGATGCTTTTGAGGGCTGCCGGGGAGGTGCCTGGGGGGCCGGGGTAGCATGAAGGCTCGGTGCTGCTTCCTGACCCTTCGGTGCTTAGTGGAGTGGCTGGGGCAGCCTGTCTTTTGGCATGGGGGAATCTGGGTACGGTCTCGCTGCGGGAGGTTCCAGGCATCTGATCTTTGGATACCCTCTGGTACACTTCCAGTCACGCTCTTATAACCTGTCCTGACGGACAGTATTTCTGAAAATGGGTTCAGCTGGGTGGAGGGGAATGGAACTGAGGACACAGGGGTCTTGCATGCGGTGGGCTGCAGAGAGGGGCTGCAGATGGTTATGGAACACCGCCTGCGTGCTCTTAACGATGTCTCCTTTCCTGCTTGTAGCTAACCATGATGACCAGTCCATCCACATGGTCTATGTCCCATCCCACTTGTACCACATGCTGTTTGAGCTCTTCAAGGTAATTCTCCCCCAGCATCCCTCCTGGGCACTTGTCCTGGGCACTTATTCGGCCAAGAAGTCATCACTATAACTTTGGTTCAAACATTGAGGTGAGAGAGGAGAGTGAAGCTCCAGCCAGACCATGAAAGATGCAACAGTTACGTGAGAACTCCATGAGAAGGTTCTTTCTCCACAGACACAGAGGGTCACAGTTGCTTAGTCAAGCTCTTGGCGGCCATTTTTTTCAAATACATTTGGGATGTTTCTAGCAGTGGTGCACTGTTTACCAATAGTGGCCTGATGCTCCAGGCTAGACTCTGATGACCTGCTCAATAGGCCTAGATTAAAAGGCCCGACCTGCTTAAAAGGCCCCAATTATGCTGATGTTATCTTCTGAAAAGCTTGCCAGGCCATGCAAATTATGGATATGGAAGGACTGACCAAATTGTGGCTCTCCAGATGGTTTGCCCTGTGACTCCCATGAGCCCTCACTATTGGCTATGCTGACTGGGGCTGATGGGAGCTGTAGACCAAAGCATCTGAAGGGCCACAACTGGGCTACCCCAACCATATAGGAAGGAAACTATCTCTAGCCTCTGATAATTTCATCTGGAATGACACTCTATCCCATCCCCCAGATCATTAGTTTGTGAGCCTTTTATACTCAACTGACACCAGAGCAAGATAGCCGCAGACTTCAGAGAACCTCAAAATTTTGCAGACATTAAAAAAAAACAGGGAAAAAAGTGTAAGATGGATGGGGCTCCAAAAATTGCTTAGTGGGAATACTCAGTTGCCACAGAATACTGAGTGTTAGGCTGAGAGTTAGGCCCAAAATCATCCAGTTGGCTCCATGGCTGATCGGGGATTAGAACCCAGATTGCCTTCTCTTAACCACACCACGCCGTCTCTCTCCACGTTGTATGATATGTGGAGCAAAAGGGGCAGTGAAAGGAAGTCAGTAGCACTCCCCTCTAATGTCTCTGTGTAAGTGATCAGTTAGAAATGTACCTCTCATCTCCTCATAGTTTCATATTTCCTGCCTGTGGGATGCACATCAAAGATATCCATATCCATTTGGTAAAGACAGTTGTGTGATGTTTCAGGGAGTGGATGTACTGATTGTTTCCATTTGTGATCCACGTAGGGCTTGATTGGTGGATGTCTACAGGACGGCTTTGTGCTAAAAGCTAACAAAACAGGCCTGACTGTCCTGATTTAGCCCTGAATGTGTTTAAATAATAGTAAACTTTTGAATTAAGAAGCAAATGTACAGATGGTTTGGGGCTTCTGCTTATGGCTGCCTGTTGACATGTCCCTTTCTGAAAGTTCACTCAGCGCAATCCTATGCATGTTTAGACAGGAAAAAGGCCTACAGTTTCCAGCATATTCCAACTAGCATGGGTGGCTGGAGCATACTGGGTATTGCATTGTCCAAATAGGCATAGGGTTGCAGCCTAAGTACACTTTCACAATGAAAAGTGAGCTTATGGGTCTCCGGTTGGGATAAAAAAGGCAGACCATTATGATGGTTCACAGAATTGCCCCAGAGGACTGACACCAGTGGATGGAAATTGCAGGGAATTTCAGCTAAGCATCATGAGAAATCTGCTGGCAGTCGGTCTTTTCTCGGAGATAGTTAAAGACAGAGACATGACAGCCATCTTTTTGGGATGTGGTAGCTGCATCCTGCTTTGAGCAGAAAATGAGGCCTGATCAGAGATGGGCAGCCTGTAGTCCTCCAGATGTTTTGACTTCACCATGGGATTTGCTAGGTGGGGCTGAGGAGGGCTGTAGGCAGAGCATGCTTGAACTCGGTGAACACTAGGGTTGTCAGCCTAACTTCAGGAAGCACTCCTGTGAAGGATGGGAGGAGTCCGATGAGGTAGTCCATCTGGGGAGACCGCCCTTACCTCCTTCTTGCATTGTCTTTCAGAATGCCATGAGGGCCACGGTAGAAAGCCACGAGTCCAGCCCCAGGTTGCCACCCATCAAGGTGATGGTGGCCTTGGGGCAAGAGGACCTCTCCATCAGGGTAAGTGAGGAATTGGGAGAAGTATGCCATCCTGCAGTTGCAGCCTCTTGGGCCTTGCCAGCCAATGAAGGGCCTCAATCGTCCTATCCAGACAACTGATCAATATTCACAGGCTCCTCAATTTGATATTCACAATCCAAATCCAGGGTAGAAAGGGTCTCTGAGCCAACCAGCTTCACTCTGTTTGCAAGCATGTCTTGGGAGAAGCAGTGCAGCTCTTGAGCCATGTGCTGATCCTGGTTGTGTAGCAGGAGGGCTGCCTGGTCCTAAGAGCACGGACTCGAGCGTGCCCCTAAGTTCACATTGGTGGCCAGGATTTCCCACTCAGTTGTGCTGAACTCCCTCTTCTTACCCTGCCACACTCACACAGGCACGCCAGTTCCATCTCCAGAAGGTACTTCCTTCGGTTCCATCCCACTGCCTCAGTGAAACTCTTAACTCTCTGAATCTATAAGTTTACATAGTGCATTTCATTCTTTTTAAATCCAAAGTAGGTAGAAGCATAGAAATAGAAAAAAAACCACTCTCATACACAACCTGAATGACCAGTAAAACTGGGAGCCACCACTGGGATGGTTCTGTGTGAGTGCAGAATGAGCCGGCTGCACTGTAGTATCCCTGTGATGGAAATCATGTATACTTTGCATCAGAAGTTAGACAGGAAAGCTGTAAATCTGTTTTAGACTAGAAATGCCTAAATTAGAAAGTGGTATGTGTGAAGGAATGGAATTATTAAGACATCATATATTTTTTCTGAGTTATAGACTGGTTGCTTTCTGTTTACATGTTGATTTAATTGGCATTCAGAACTGCCATTGGCAAAGGGCTGAAAAGTTCATATCGCATACAGAAGGTGTGGCACAGGAAAATGTAACCTAAGGTGAGGAGCAGGAGAGAAACTTAGCTGCGACAAGAAGCAGAAACCTAGCAAATTCCTGCTGCCTTTCTGCTTGGCTGAGAAGTTGAGAGAAGGAGTTTGAATAGTTATATATAAGTCAGGCCTTTATCTGGTTCACACCACACTCACCATGGGTTATTTAACCCAGCATGAGCTGTGCTGCATGCTGGGCACCATTTGGAAGACACAACTTGCAGGGGCTTCTCTATTCAAAATGGTGCCTGGCATGGACTGGGCCTTTGTCTCCCCGCACCAGGGAAGACTGTGATCCACGTTTAGCCTGCTGACCAGGTGCTTTGCTCTTGATGAGCACCTTTAGGACCTCTGGCTACATTTCCATCTAATGATTTTTTAGATCTTTAAACTGAACGAGAACTGGACAGCCCTTTGGAGAGAGATCTGTGCTCTGTAAAGTAGGAGACAATATCTCTATTGATGGTATTTTCCTCCTGCCTCTGACCAGATGAGCGACCGAGGAGGTGGTGTCCCTCTCCGCAAGATTGAACGACTCTTCAGCTACTTGTATTCCACCGCACCCAAACCAGAGCTGGGCACTGGTGGGACTCCCTTGGTACGTATGTCTACCTGGCCGGAGCGGTAGGGGTGAGACTGCCTTAGCTCACGGTTTGCCTTTTACACAAGGAGATGGGGGTGTCATAGCAGTTGGCATCACACAGGGTTGCATTTGAAGTGTAAACGTGCCTTCGCATTTCTCCCCTGACCATATGCGGGGAATGGGCAGGTGTGGCCAGTGGAAGCCTTTGATTTCCCAGGCTGGAAAGGCCCATTCAGGAATGGAGTAAGACCTGAAAGAGCATCAGAGAGTGAAAGTCGATCTGAGATGGAAGATCCATGATTGGATGTCCTGACTTTAAAGCAGCTGGTGGGGTGGGACAACCCTGATTTGTATGAATGGCGTGGAGGAAATATTAAAGTGGTGATTCAAGTGATCCACTGCTGGATGGGGGTGTTTAATCCTTTCTCCCTCTGCCATTTTCTTGATCCAAAAATGCTCCCTCAGCAGGCAGTGGGCCATCCTGTGGGAAAGTGCTTATACCATACCGTGCCTTAGATTTAGGAAGACTTAGATCAGAATGTGGCATGGGGAGAATTGGGGTAAACAGCCCCTCCTGCACCACTGCTGTTCAAATGAAAATCAGACTATCCTCACCAACCTGTGCTTCAACTTTTTTTTTTTTTTTAAGGCCAGGAGATCCATGGCCTCTCATCCATGTCTTGCTGCTTGGCTCACAATAGCCTTTCTGGGTGGGAGGCCCGAGGTCCCATGGCGTTGCTGGGGAGAGCTGGTATTGAAAGGCAGGAGAGAGAATCTGTGGGAAGGATTTGCCAGGTGGCTCATGCGAGGCGCGCACAGGGTTGCCCCTGGTATGTAGCAGGGATGCCGGCTGGGCTGCAGGGGCTTCTACAGCCAGTTATGATCCCGGCCTTTTTTTCTCGCGAATACCAGGCTGGCTTCGGCTATGGACTGCCTATATCCAGACTCTATGCCAAGTATTTCCAAGGTGACCTTCAGCTCTTTCCCATGGAAGGTTTTGGGACAGATGCTGTCATCTATTTAAAGGTAAGTTGGTGTCTTCTCCCCTCACCACACACCTCACAAGCAAGGACTGAATGTTTGCTCTGAGTGAGGACTTAATTTCTTCATAGCTAATGAGCCCCATAGAAACTGTTTCTTTTATTGCTTTCCGGGAGACATAGGCTCATACTGTTAATTTGAGCAGCCCTTTCTTTCATGGACCTGCCCTGCCTAACTTGGCTGTATTAGAAGATGCAGGATTCAGGGTAACTAATGGGCACAGTAGTTGTGAATTCCAGCCTGTGCCTATTCAACCTCATGCTGCTGAGGTTGTTTGCCATGGATAAAAACCAATGCAGAATTCTGCCAATGGGTCATTGTTCCACTGTAGGCTAGATGGAGGGGAAAACGGAATGCCTGTTGGATGACAGCCCTGGTCCCATTGCTCTGTGGAATCCTTTTTCATTCATGAAAGTGTCCAGTTAACAGCTGAGTTTTGAATGCAGGATTTGCAGTCTTTCTTCTGCCAGTCCGTGGCCAACTTCAGATAGGCTGGAGGTATGACGGTCTACCAAGAAATTTTCTGCAGCATGAAGATTTCTACAAAATCTGAAATGTCACCATTATTCAAATCTCTCTTTGCTTCCAACACACACACACCTCATTTTAAAAAAAAATTGCTTTTTGAAGCACAGAGTTGGCTTTTTCAAGTTGCATCCTATCCATATTTACTTGGGAGTAAGACAAATCCAAGTTGCTGGGGCTCATGTGCCTCATGCTAGGCTGCATATTTTAATTAAATCAGTAATGCCAATCTGAACAGAACTGAAAGCCTTAACATATCATTGGGCATCTTGGAGGATTTGGATTTTCATAAACATGCTTGAATTAAGTGGGTTCTCTTGTGAATATTGGGTTCCTTATTTTACTTTCGGCAGTAGCCATTTCGTAGTCACCTGGGTCGAATGTCATTACTGTCCATTCCTACATGTCCCAGTTTGGTGCTAAGCCGGACACAGGAGGGATGGTCTTATATTTATCTTTGCTTTTAATGAAGTACAACCTGGCATTGGAATTCCCCGTGTGACATCGTAGAGTGAGTTGCAGCACACTGAGGCCCACACTAGCCCCCACTGGCCCCCATGTGCAGTGTGTGCGCGCGAGTTGAGGCCAGTGTGTGCTTAAGAGATGGACTGGGCAGGTCGTGTGTGGTTGGACGCAGGCTGGATATGCAGCTGCCCTTGCTAAAGGTGTATCCTAAACGGCTTTCCATCTTTCTAGGCCTTGTCAACTGACTCAGTAGAGAGGCTTCCAGTGTACAACAAATCAGCATGGCGCCACTACCAAACCAGCCAGGAGGCTGATGACTGGTGTGTGCCCAGCACAGAGCCCAAGAACACCTCCACTTACCGGGTGACTTAAGCCAGACCTCTGTGTGTTGAAGGGATGGGCTCATGCCTTGCCTCCAGGATGGAAAAACCAACTTTGGTGGGAGGACAGAGACAGATGATCATCACCAGCATGAACCCACTTGATGTCGTCGGATCTCAACGGACTCTTCCTATTGACTGGCCTGTCCAATCTGCCAGTGATTTGGGAGCCTGATTATTTCCTCAGATGTGTTTTTGGGAGTATGTAGCATAGATCTCTTTAACCATATCACCGTTAAATCTGCATGGAACGTTTCCCTGCTCCACCTGCAATCCTGTCCTTTGGTCTAGCGGGCTGGCATTGGACTTCCAAGGGTCTGTTTTTCTCATATTTAGTATTTGCTCATGCCACTTTTTATTATTCTTGGACCATAAAATGGAAGAAAGTTAGAGCTTTGGAAGGCTGGGCATTAACATTTTGAGGGAAGTTAAGGTAATCGACAAAAGAAGATGAAGGTGATCCTAACAAGTTTGGGCTGATTGTGTTGTTTTCTGATGTCAGAAAGCTAGCTCATGTTGCGGAGTTGATAGAAAATGTAAGTCAGATACACTCATTGGAAAGAGCAGCTATGCCAGAGAAGAGCAAGGACTGCTTTGATTTTTGGTGCATGTGCCAGGAGAGAAAGATGGCATGCGCCTCTTCTTTATGATCTGTGTTCTTTTCCCAAGTCATGTATCAGTGTCCAAGTTGCTAAACAGCAGCGATTTTTGTAGTGGGAAGAGCTGGGTATCCACACTTGGGCCAAAGCTTAGATGTGCAATAGCAGACAGGAGGCCTTAAGGGGCTTGGCTGGGCCAGTGTCGAAGGAGCCTTCCTTTCCTGGCCTTGGTGGGTTCCCTGCTCATCTGGTTCCTTCGCCACGGGCAGGACTTTGCACTTTTGCTCTGCACTGCTCAGCTCCTAGTGAGGCTTGTGCCGGCGTGCAAAGCCAAAGCCTCTGTGGATGAGGAGGGAGCTGCTTGCCCTGCGCTCGGCAAGCAACGTGTTGCCATGAACGGGGCAGTGGGTTGGGTTGGCCTTGCGGTGGCAAAATGCTTCAGGGCAGCCGCAGGTGCCAGAGAAACCAGTTGGGCTGTTTATGATGCGGCAGTGGACTGTTAGTGGCGGGGGAACCTGCAGCAGAAGAAACTGCTGAGCAGAACTGGACATGCGTCATCAGGTGTTGGGGGGATGAGATGAAGGGCTCAGGGCTCCCCTCGCGCCCCTCAGCGGCAGCCGCGGTGTGAGTGTGTTCTGGTAAAGACTGTGTTTCGCTCGTGAGTCACTTGCCTCCAGGGCTTAGAAGGGATCGGCCAAAGGAGCTGTTCACAACGTCACCATACAGTGTTTAGGATATGAGGCCATGAGATGGCAGCTCCTCCCACCCTCCGAGCCTTCCCCCTTGTTTCCTTTCCTGTGCACGCTCCCTTCCAGTGGTACTTGCTAGCATCCCATCTTCCTGGTTCTTAGAGCAAGTGGGAACAGAGATATAAGGGGAGATTAGAGGTCTGCCTGCAAGCTGCCACTGGTTCCTGAGAGCACCCAGCCCTTTGTCCCCACATCCTTCTGACCTCACCTTCCGCACCTGCCTTTTTCCCTCCACAGGCTCGTAAGAGCCACCCTTTCTCAGTGCTTCCCCTCCTGGCAAGGTGTGCTCATAAATTGTCTGGGAAGCAGCTGTGCATATGCCTAAGACATACATACATACATATGTGTGTGTGTCTGTGTGTGTGTGTGTGTGTGTGTGTGTGTGTGTGTGTATACACATATTATCTGAGTGAAACTACAGATTTGTTCAAGACACAAAAACTGCCATAATACTCTCTGCTCACTGATCAGAAGAAAAAAGAACAATTAAATTGGAACTCTTATCTCCCTGGCAGTGTGACTCATTTTAAGCTGTTTCTCAGAAATAATCTCAATGCAAATTTTGTGATTTCTTCGTTGTCTCACCTGTACCAACTTTTGACGGGGAGGTGGCGGTTATGTGAAATTAATGTCTTCTGCAGCTCAACTTTGACATTGTCCTCAAAGACATCCTTTGACTTTTAGCACAGTGTTCCTCAAAATGACTCTTGGTTGCTTTTTATTTCTGTCCTCTTTGTTTCTTGCTTCCTCTTCCTTAAACTGAGGAGGAAACAGCTACTAGGATGCTGCCAGGACACTGCCCTAAATCTACCCATCCTCAGCACCTTCCAGTCTACTCTGTCAGGTAGAGAAGAGGTGAGCAACCACCTGACTTCATTCCTTACCAGGCTTACTGCAATGTGTTAGCAATGCGTCCCTGTTCAGTGGGCGCATGATGCATCCTAAGTAGGACTTTGGAGAGAGTCTGTTTGCCCAAATGTGTTATGATGACACCTAGTGGACGCATGTTTTCCTCACAGGATTTCAAAATGCTTCAGAAGGGGAGTGAGCGATGTTCCATGTTTGGCCCAGGAGAGCATAGATCCCCCTCTCTTGCTGCCAAACCAAGACTAGTGGGAAATATTAGCAAACAAACCTCGGTAAGAGGAAGCACCAAGAGGTCAACTTCCAAATGAGCCCTTCGCGTGAGATCTGCGATTGGAAAGTCAGCAGGAAACATGGAAATAGTCACAAGTGTGACTGAAATGTCCCTTAGTTTATGGGATCAGAAACTAGGATTGTGTGCTGAAATGGTAAGGGGGCACATAAGGATTTGGACAATGAATGTCCCATCTAATCTGGTCATTGTTTGGCAGATGGCACATGACTTCATCAGGCACTGCATTGCCGGTGTTCTTTGTCACACTGCTGAGAAGCAACACCACCCCAATTGCTGCCATGGGAAGGGCCCAGTCTGGGTCTGCGGTCTTTCTTCTCCATCTTTGCCGTCCCTTCCAGGTGCTTCTAGAGCTCGCTTGGTATGACTGGCCACAAGTGCGCCTTTCTGTAAGGCGGGGCACCCAGAGGAGCCTGTCCAGTCAGCAGAGTGCCAATGCAAACTGCTTTCATTTCCTATTTTGTAACAAGGTCATCGAAGAGCGCCCCGTTCTTGCACGTTTTCCTCTCGCACGCGCAACTTGAGGCAATGTTTCAGGACGCTGGGAATGTCCTTGGAAGGGCCTCTCCCATGCTGTCCTTTTTCTGAATCTGAAGCACACTCTGCAAGGCATGATTCCAAAACTCAGAGCATGCCGGGAGAGGTGCCGTGTCTTCTCTTGTGACCGCCTGTGCCAAGGAGTGTCTATGTTGGCTGTGAACAGAGGCCGTGCTTTGTGTCTTTGCTTTGATCAGAACCTTTTCCCTGAGTCCTGCAATTCTCCACAGACGAACTGGACCTTGGAGACATCTTTCAGGGTGCTATTAAACGTTTGCTGTCATATGCATGGCATTTTTCCTGTTGCTCAGCAGAGGAAACCCTGTAGCTGTGGCCCTTTCATGGTATGAAGGTGCATTTACAAGAATAAGTAACCCTGGAACATAGGTTCATGTCATAGTGATGCTTTTTTGCAAAATATTGTACCCTGATTTTTGAAGAAGAAAAAAAGATGCAGTCAACATTTTCCATAGATTTAAACTACAAGAGTGTGTGGAAGCCTAGAACCTAAAAGTACTTACCAGTTGTGATGTTGTGTTGCTCCAGCTGTGGGTTAAAGGTTTGAGTGATCCAAGGAATCGGTATGCTAGGTACAGGTTTACTGAAAAGGAGACTTTATTGTTGTAACAAGCAAACTACTAGCTAGCTTTTCCAAAGGGTTTAGCAGCAGGCCACTTGCAATGCTCGGCATGGACTAGCCTGCAAGGGAGGCTCAGATCAGCTGGAAGAGATGGTCAGCAAAGCCCCCTCGAGGAGGATGGTGTCCGAACCATCCACAAAGGCAAATGGCCAGCTCATATAAACTACTCGTGAGAAGGGGGCTGGCTGTCATACGGGGGCAGTGGCTAAGCAGTGTTAAACTACTTGTTTATTCATTAGGCAGCTTCCCATCATTGGACTCCATAGCACTGAAAGTTTCCCATCCTCGTTAGCATGTCCCGGGACATAACACTGGAGGATTCCCACCATAGCCAGTCAAGATTCTTATAACTTGAGGGTCTTAATTCCGCTTGGTATGCCAGAATGATAGGACACAATAGCATAAGCTAATTAAACTAAACAAACAACAAGACATAAGCTCATTAGTAGATTTGATAAGGTGCAGTCTCTCAAAACAGGACAGCTGTGTGTGTGTGTACTTTGGCTGTCTTTCTCAGGGTCAGGAAACAATAACTGAAATTAATTAAGCTAAACGGCATAGCTAGAGCGCAGCATTTCATTCATGCTAAGCAGGCCTGTACTGTAGAAGCCAGAGACCAAAGTCTGGATTTTACAACCCAGGCCCAATACAGATATTCAATATCTTTCCCTTTTCAGCAGTTCTTTCTCAACGATCTGAAGCATTGCCATCAAGCAGCTTGGGTGTATGTGTGCGGGTGTCCTAGAGAACCCTTGTAAAATAACATCTCTGATATTTCCGACTCTAGAAGTAAACCAGGCTAGATCTCATGCTTTGCTGTGTGGGCAGCGACCTGTCCAATTATGCAGGTTCATGGGCAGGTAGACCAGTGTTGAAGCAAAGGTGTTTGCTAAACCCTTCAGCAGGGACTCAAAGTATAATAATCTATTACTGCAGAAAGGGTGTGTTTCCAATCCTAGCAGTTTTCTTTTCCAGACTAGGTGTCTGACCCCCATATTGTCCAAGAGGATTATTTCTGAAGATGCAGGTATAAGGAACAGACAGGTCGAAGACGATGCCCATTCAGTGTGCTGAGTGTGTACAGGTGCATCAGGGACAGTCCATCCAATGAAGCAGGCAGAGCAAGACACCTGTGCCAGGTTGGAAGAACAGCAAATTTTGCCACCCTTACCGGGAGGGCTCCCTGCTCTAGAGAGTCACACCAGCTACTCTCCTGGCACGGCATTTGGTGCAATGAGAGCAAAGATCTCAGGGCGCTTCAGAGTTGTGGCCTGCCCTCTGCTTTCTCTGTTGAGAGCTGTGATGTGCCCATGGAGGTGGCTGTTCTTTCCAGCCACATGGCTATCCATAAAGCTAGCAAGATTATGATGCAAAGGGAAGGGATGCTGGACAGCTTCTCTGTACACACCCCAGCATGGTTCATTGGTTGTGAAGGAGGTGAAAAGCCTTTCTGAAGAAGCCACAGGAAGTCTCAGAACGGAAAGGTCTGTGTGCTATTGATGGAAAACTCACACAAACCAAGGGTACTGGAAGACAGAGAACCAGAAGATTGGAAAGGCTGAGAGGACAGACTGAAGACACAGGGAGGTTGAAGTGTGATCATATAGAAGGGGCTTAGGGCAATCATCTTTCCAGCCACCTGTACCCATAACTGAAACGCACTTGCTTTTTGACAGAAGAGCAGTTTGGTTAGCACTTTCAAGTCTCTAAGGTGAGGCCTGGTAGGCTACACTTACAGCTGAGTGAGGCAGAAATCGAATCGGAGGCGTTCTGAGGTGCTCTTTGTAGATTGCCTCACTTTGGTGCCGGATCAGTTTTTAAAGAGTGCCCTAATGAATTACTCCCTGCAAGTTAAAAAAGCAGTATCCCAGAAACAAAGCTAGCCTTCCATTAGGCAGCGAGGTGGCTACCTCAAGCGGCTGATTTTGGGTGCCATGGAAGGACAGCAGTAATTTTTGTTATGTTTTTATTCCAGAAAAGTGCTTGTAGGGTCTAACTCACATGCTCAAGTAATCTGGCCAGCCTTGACCTCCAAGCACCATGACATGGGGTTGGGGGAGGGGGTCCTTTGTGATTTGCCCCCAGGTAGTGAAATGTCTGGGGCAACCTGTCAGGAGAAAACTCTAGCCTAGCCTGATCCCTGTTGTGCTATTCTTCCATTTATGTTTTCACATATGAGACTATTCAATAAACAGGCTAAATTGCTGTAGTATGTTCTATGAGCTAGCAAGTATAGTATGTAATATGCATAGATTGGGCCTTAACTGCATGGAATGCTGGCATCATTTCTAGTCTTTTGCCTTGAAATGCCTTATGGTAAAAAAAATGCCATTTTTCTGACCCTTGGTACTGGCCTTCTGAAATTCCAAGGCGCCCAGCAGCATCCAGATCCACAATGTTTTAGTGGCAGAATTCCTTCACTGTACAGAGCGAAGGTTATTTTTGTGGTTGTGGGGCGGGGAGGGGGAGGTCTGAACTTGCCTGCAGATATTTTAAATACTGGAGTGCAAGGCTGCTATGCAGGGTTGGGGATCAGAATGGAAAACTGTGGGCAGGGTAAAAGTTGCATTCCCACTGTCATTTTCCTGCTCTTCAACATCCTGAAAAAGCTTTTGTGTTTTAAGGCTGCTGACAAAATTACAGCTTGTTCCTATGGAATGTGTATTGGCTGTTCATGATTAACTTTGGTATGATTGTGCTCCTTGTACTGTTAAAAACTGAATTAGATGGAGGAAATTTCCACTGTGCACTGCTTTTCTTATTCCCATCATGCAATGATGTGAGGGTCCAGAGAAGGTGAGATTTCTTTGTTCCAGGTTGAGCAGATCTCAAAAGTACACATGGCCTCTCAGAACAAGGAAACCCTGACAGACAATGCCTGCCAGATTACCTTATTTGACCAGGTTGTTTTTGTAGGAGAACCACCTTTGCTGGTAAATTCTAGCCAGATTCAGCCTCTGATGCTGAAAGCTTAAAAGGAGTCCTGAGTGAAGAGTCCCATGGATACTATGCAGATGGTCCATCAGCATTTGTATTTGAGCCTGATGCTGCAGCTGCCTGCTTTGTAAAAACGAAATGCAAGACATTTTGCTGTCGGAGGTGAAGGACAAGTTTGGCCCTCCCTCCCATTGCCTGCATGAAAGTCTACTGGCTTGACCACTGAATGTTCCCTCAGCACCAGCAGTGGCAAGCACCTTCCACCACACCTGAGGGCAGCAGGCTAGTTTAAGGAGCAGAGGGCTGTCTGTGGGGCACAGCCCTGTCCTCCAATGCCTGGCCTTAAATCTACACCCTCTCCATCACTGCATTTGCCGCCTGAGGCAGCTGCCTCCTTGCCCAGTGGTAGGGCTGGCATGAGAAACGATGCTCAGGGTGAGGGTGTGTTTGTAAGGTTAAGAATCTGAGGCAGGTACGTAAGTGGTGGATTCCAATGGGTTGTGTTCATGTGTGTATGTGCCCCATCCCAAGTGCAAGAGAGCTCCTGAGTGGTCCTTCAGGGGCAGGTCAGGTGTGTGCATGCTTGGTTAACAGGCTTACCTCTTCAGCTGCAGAAGAGATGTGGGAGTCAGTATACTTCCATCAGAAGGGGATAAGAGGGACCCCCATCCCTTTGCTTTATCTTCCCATGCTCTTCTGCTTATGAGCTCCCCCCACCCACTCCAGATAGCCCACTACTGCAGTCAAAGCCCTGCAGTGGCACACGGAGTGGGCATCTTTCCTTTTCTCCCCCCTCCAGTAAATGATGACAAATGTACCCATACACATACGCTTCAGCCAAAACACAGATGTCTGGTTTGGCTCTGAGATACATCTACCATCTCACATTCTGGTGTATTTCCTAAAGACAGGTTTACATCAGAGACATTCAGCATGAAAGGAAGAAATCCAGTTCTTTTCTTTCTATATTTATGCGTCTTTACTGCTGTTTCTGTTGTGTGAGCCTGCCCTTTCCTTTATAGTGACACGAAACGTTTCCTTTCTACCTGTTCTCCAAGTTCCCCTCAAAAATGAATGCATGTCAGGAAATGGGGGAGATAAACTTGCTTATTTTCATATTTGGCCATCCCTTCCCCACCATTCCCATAGAAGACGGTCCCGAAGAGAAAGATAAAACCAGCAGAATGAGGCCCCTCGGCAGTGCTGTGGGCTGCAGTGCAAAAGCTTCACCTGCGTCAGACACCGCAGCGCCATCAGCTGGGTGCAAGATCTGCACCCGGCAAGCCATTCAAGGCTGCTTTTATTCTGTTGCGGTTTCTTACGGTGTATCACCAGGTGTCTGTGGCTCTCACACGCTGCTGTTCGCTCTTGCCGGGGGCAGTCTACCTGCCTACCCCCACTTACAAGGCAGACCTATATGTAGCCATGAAGAGGGCTAGACCCAATTGCTCCAGATTCAAAACTCATTTGCGAGGGAGGCGGAGGGGTGTTCAGGCTACTGCCATGCACTTTGTATCATCCTGCTGTATCTTGGGAGCTGTGTGTGCATACACACAAGTGTGCATTTGTGGCTTGTGTCTGGTGAGGCAGCTGTGGACCTGCAGGGGCTTGTAGGACTATGGTGGTGTGACAGGACACCTAATTGGCACGGAGAGTGAACACATCGAGGCCTCTGGGATGAACAGCATCACGTACAGGGGAAGGTTCAACAGGGAAGTGAGGTGTTCTCCCAAGGTTGCCGCAGGTCAGGGGTTCAAGTGTACGATGTCAGCACCATCGCCTGCCCCACAGTGCAGCTGGCAGGGGGACTAGCTGGCCCACTGGGAGTGTAGCTGGACAGTCCAGGTGCTGCAAGGGGCACGGTCTGCAGAGGCACGTCCCTCTCTGTCCTCGTGGCCCATCCAGCCAGCGCCGGTGGTGCTTCGCTACCACGGCCATCTTCATCACGCCCGGTCCCTGCAGCAGGTTTATCCTCAGCATAGCCCCCACCCAAACCTGTAACCCTCAGAAGGACCGTGCCCGCTTCTTGTCCCCCCATTCCTGGCCGCAGATGGTCCATCCCCCCCACCCGAGAGATGCTCCACAGGCGAAAGGGGGGAAGGGTATAAGCCACGTGCACTGGGAAACGGCCATCCCTGTTCCGCCCCCCTCGCCTAACTCTTCCTCTGTGCCTGCTCCCGCTCTTTCCTCTTCTGCTGCTTTCCCTTCTGCTTCTCCACCTTTTCTTGAGCTTTCCTCTCCTTGTCCACTGCGGCATTCAGCTCCTTCAGCTTCCTCTTTAGAAGAGATCGATCGTGAGAGTTGCTGACCCCGAGAGCCTGGAGGGAGGGGGAACAACAAGTCAGCAGCATGAGGAGCACCCCCCATTTGTGTCCCCACCCCCCTGCTTTCTCCACCGGATGCCGCCTCCTTGAATCCTGGTCTGGTGGAGGCCCTGCCACTGGCGATCAGTTCTTTGCCATGGCTAGAGATTCAGGAGACCGCTTTTGGTCCCACTTGTGGCTGGATTGCAGCTTTCCCTGCTGCGCGCTGCCAGATTCAGTTACAGGCGTTCTCCACAACATCCCTGGGAGTAGATGCTGGAAAAGACATTTGGGCTTGGTGTACAAATCATCTGATCTGGTCAGGCTCTTTCCTATAGTCCTAGAACCCCTTGCCTTTCAGCCATGACTGAAGATGTTCTGATTTTCCCGGTGCTACCCCAGAGATTTCATTCAGTCTAGAGTCCTTTTGTAATTACACAGAACTGGGTGAAGCACTTGCTAGCATGCCCTAAGATGTAAATTCACTGTTACATTGTTACATAAGAAAGGGACCTGTCACACCAGGCAGCCAAACTGCATTAATCACACAAAGAATTCGAACGTGTCGCTCTCCATCCACCAGGCATCCAGTTAAGAACTTGCAAGCCTTCCACAGTCTCCTGCAGCAGGGAAGCTGTGACACCAGACATCCCACCAGCTGCAATTTTCAAAGCAGGGATGTGAAACGAGGGAAACCCCACAAGGCTCTCCTTTGGTACCTTCAGCCTGGCTCCATCGAGAAGCAGCAGTTGGTGGCCATCCACTTCCTGAGCAGCAAACTCTTCCATGTACTGTTCCAGGTTCAAGCTCTCCAGCCACTGGCCCACTTTCTGACTGCTCCACGTGGAAGCTGCACTCAAAGGCTCATCCAGGAACTTCGGAGAGGATGTTGGGGATGAAAGAATAAAACGCTTAAAGAATCCTGATCTTTGGTGACATATTTTGTCTTTTCCGAAGCCCAACCCTTTCTTCACAGTTATTAAAATCTGAATCATGTATCACTGATGCAATCTCTGATTTTTGGAGGTCGTTATGGAACGTTTATATCTGTCACATTTTTATCAATTTGCAAGCTGAAAGCACTTGTTAGTGTTTACCCAGACTGTTGCTGGGTTGACTCCCACACTTATTCAGACTTTTAAAACAGTTCTGTTCTCCAGCTGATACAATTTCAGTGATACTATGCACTGAGAATAGGTTAAGAGAGACCTTCATCTAGATATAGCAAAATTGGTTATAATCTCTCAGTAGCAAGGAATGTACTCTGCATATGGTCAGAGTCCTTCATTATTCAATCACTTGTTTCCACTTGAAAGCAGCAGGTAAGTTGCATCATTACCCAAAGGCCTATGTACAGTCTATACAGTTTATTGTAAGCCATCCTGAAATGTTTGTAGGGGACGGGATAGAAAAGCTTTTAAGAAAGAAAGAAAGAAAGAAAGAAAGAAAGAAAGAAGGAAGGAAGGAAGGAAGGAAGGAAGGAAGGAAGGAAGGAAGGAAGGACACATGGAAGCATGGAAGCATGGAAGGAAGGAAGGACACATGGATGCACGGAAGCATGGAAGGACGGAAGTTTCTAGTCCTCATGAAGTGTGATGGCAAACATGCCAGCCTACACTGTTGGGCCTGGATACACAGATGTGCCAGGCCACTGTGCTTGGCAGAGACTTACCTCATCAGAAGACTGAGACAGTGTGTGGTAGGGGTAGGAACACTTGGCCTCAGGAGGGGCTGCACTTAGGGTTTTGGGACTGCTGCTGGGTGGGGTGGAGTCATCGCTCAGGGTGGATTCCTGTCAAGGAAGGGGGAGATGGGGAAGGGTCAAGAATAGTGATTGCTTTCTCAAATGAGATGCTGGGATGAAGGTTACCCAGCGGCAAGGAAAACAAAAACAGATTCGGGCTGGTTAGCTCCTGTCCCTTTAATGGGGGCTTGACCTCCAGAAATCAGCAGATGAAGGCAGATAAAAATACTGCTTTGTCACGCTACAAATTGGCAGCCCTTCTCTCATTATCTTGCTTTGCTGACAGAGGCAAGTGGAAATGCCCTTAAAGTGGCACCTATCAGATGTTCTCCAGCAAAACCTCTAAAGGACACTTTCTTTTTGTCTTTCTTGTTTGCATCCCGCCTACTAAAAGCCAGGTGTTAAGGGGTTCAGCTCAGATAGGATATAATGAAGGGTAGGCTATAGTGGAGCAAGGGGTGGGAGAAAGAAAGGGACCCCCCTCACCCCAATTTCAGAGCAGACTACTCCACCTGATTTGGGGTGATACCACAGCTCACCCCATTCAGCGTGGTCTCTTGGCTTCCTGTTCTGCGCTTTCAGAGGGCTGCAGCAGCTGCCTTGAGAAGGAGGTGGGTGGGGAGCACCACTTCCTCCGGTGCCATAGACCCAGCTTTAATATGGATGCAGCTGTACGTGTGCATGGGAGAGCATGGGGCAGGAGGACAGGTGTCAGGACGTGGTGCACTTCAGTGTGTGTGGCAGGATGGCCAAACTGAGTGCCATATGAAATGTGGGCTGATTATCCATTCGAAGCAGCTCTGCAGGTAAGATAACCAAGACTGTGAGACACAGAGCGAGGCTCGCTCTTTCACCCTGCAAGGAGTAATTCAACTCCCTTAGGCTGCAAGATAGTCAGGGCAGGGGAAGGAATATTCACTGGAATCAAAGCACAGGCAGAAAGTATAACTCTCTCTCTCTCTCTCTCTCTCTCTCTCTCTCTCTCTCTCTCTGTGTGTGTGTGTGTGAGAGAGAGAGAGAGAGAGAGAGAGAGAGAGAGAGAGAGCACGAGCTTGCCACAATCTCACTTCTGCTTGCCCCCACCCTGTGGCTGATAGTTTGAAAGATGCCACCAGCAGAATACATTCAATGCACCCACGTTTCATGTATCATCTAGTTTGGCTCTTTGGATCAACATGCATCATGTTATGCAATAACAAGCAGAGTATTATATATTGCATAATATACATTTGTAGATTATGAGCTTAAGCACATATCTGACAGAGAGGGCATTAGAGAAAAGAGGGTCCCTAGAAAAGAATATTTATGTTCTTTTTCTGGGTTTCTTTCTTTTCTTCCTTCCTTGCTCCCATGCCCAATTGCAATTTCTTGCAAGTTCCCATTTGCTATGCTTCATACATTTAAGCCTTAGCTTGATGGCAAAGCTGCCAATTTAAAAGCTGTTCAGAATTAAGAAAACTTTTGTCAGAAAGTTGAAAGCTAAAACCTTATACAATCTGCATGCAGGATCTTTGATCAGAGCTAAGCAGCAGCTCTGAATTAATTCAGTTGCATTCAATACATTGCCACTGCCAGGACTGCTGAAGCTATGAAGGGAATAGAGCTGTATCTTCCTTTGGTTTGATTTAATGAGCACGTGCATTAGGTGTTGATGAGTTGCTGGAGCAACTCCTGTGTGAGGAGAGATTGCAACAGTTACGGGTAGAATGGTTAAGAAAAATGGCACGTATGAGATATACAGAATTATGCATGCTGTGGAGAAAGTGGAAAGGGAGTGTGCTTTTTCCTCTTCTGTTTTCCTCAGTAGCAGAAGCTGGGGTGATCTGATGAAGTTGTATGGTGGAAACATGACCCCCATATTCATGGGGGATAGGTTCCAAGTCCCCTAGAGGACGCCTGAGACTGTGGATAGTAGTGAACACTACATCTGGGGGGCTAGGGTTACAAGCCCCCCACAAAAGTGGAAAAACCCAAATATCTCTAGGGAAGTACACACTCTGTTTTGGGACACCATGCGCTTTGTCTTGGTATCACCCAACCTCATTCACATGTTTTGTCTTTCAGTGAGCGCAAACATTTCAGAGCTATTTTCCCTAGAGATATTGGCAGTTTTTCCACAGGTAAGTTTGTGAGGGGTCCCTGCACCCCTAATGCAAAAGGCCAACAGTCAACTTTGTTTAAGTGAAACCAAGTAATCTGCGAAAGCAGATACGTAGGTCCTGCTGTACTACTTCACACAATGTATAATCAAAATATGGAAGCCCTCATTGCAAGATGCTGCAATGCTGCCAACCTGGGCGGGCTTAAAAGGGGATCAGACAAATTCATGGTAAATAGCAGAAGCAACTAACTTCTTCCTAGCTCCTTACACTTTGAACATCATTCTGATCATGACTGGGTGCACACCACATGATAAACCATGGTGGCTCATAAGCCAGGGGTGGGGTGTCATGTGGTCTGAAACCCATCACCGTGGCAAACAACTTGTACTGCTGGGTTCTGGCCACACAAGTGGTCACTCCTGGCTTATAAGCCAACTGAGGCTTATCATGTGAGATGAGCCTTGGCAATGGGTGGGTTCAGACAATTATGAGTAAACAAAGTCTGGTTCGCTCTTTTTCTCTGCCCCCAGGTGTGTGCCATGCATTTTGCCTAATTACCCTGGTGCTGTTTGCTGCGTCTAAACCCAGCAAGCTGTATAGCAGATGTGGCTTCCAAACGACCCAGTAACCCATGGCTTGTTTTAGGGTTCTGGAGAGCTTTCAGAGCCTCTCCAGAGTCATGCACCTTGCTGGGTTTGGATGACACATCAAGCCAGGCAGCATAAGGGTAATTTGGCAAATTGTGTGCCATGTGACTGGCACACTGGAGAGCAGGGAAAAGAAGCCACTGTGGTTTTATTTCTTCATAGTCATCTGAACGGAGCTGATGTCAGGCAGGAATTTGGCTTTGTGACTGACTCAGGTGCTGGGTAAATTGCACTCAGTAATTCGTCTCCTGAGAGCACTTGTGCCAATTTGTCTTTGCAAGAGGTAAGCCAAGACACAATGTCGGCTCCAAACTAGTTTTTATTAACAGGCTTCAGCTGAAGGGTGAAACTGCTGCCTTAAAAACAAAGCAGGCTTCACACCTTTGTGGCGCAGTTCAATAAACTTTTATGCCCTGGCTATCCGCTCCGGTTACTACCCCCTAATTGTGACCCTATCCAAAGCGGTCAACCGGACAAGTTTTCTTATATGGTCAGCAAGCAGTTTAACTCAGCCTACCTGGTCATTTCATGCATTGCATAGCATACGGCTTGTGCTCATTTTATAGTGATAACTGCTAGGCTGCACTGAGCTAACAAGTCATTGAGTGCTCTGAAAATCCAGCATTTACATGCATCCGGGAAGCATGGGTTCCCCCAGGCTCCATCTGGGGCAAAGATGGCTCATCTGTTGCAAGGGCAGTGCATGTGCTTCCAAATCTGGCTGACTGTTGGACATCTGCGAACACCTTCTCAGCCAGCAGAGCAGATCTTAAAACAGAAGAAAACCCCCTCTCAAGCCCAAAGCAGGGAGCAACCAAGTCTGCAAACCACTGAGACTTCTCACTTTTCAAAGAAGAGAAATAATAATGGAGGATTATTGGTGAGGAGGGTAGAAACACAGAGCACATTTCCCCCCTGCTTCCTCCCTCTCAAGCGCCCTTCCCTCCTTGAAACCAGTCTCAGTGCTCTGTGGGGCAGGAGTCCCGTCCGCAACAAAAGGATTGCTAACCTGGGAGGCAGATTTCTTGCGGCTGAAGGCCTCATTCTTGGGGGAAGAGGTGGGGGAGGCCGTGCTGCCGGAGGAAGCGGAGCCTTTCCCACCATCCGTGAACCAGGAGAAAGGCATGAAGGGCGAGATGGAGGAACGGCTGGAGCCCTCCATCAGCTCCCTGAAGAAGGGCACAGAGAACAGCCAAGAAAGGGAGTTAGCCGAGTGACTGGGAACTGGGCTATGACGCTAGACAGAAAATCGTAAGCCGCCCCGAGGCTTCGGCGAATGGGGCGGCATAAAAATGTTTTAATAAAAATAAATAAATAAATAAATAAATAAATAAATAAAGAAAGAAAGAAAGAAAGAAAGAAAGAAAGAAAGAAAGAAAGAAAGAAAATGACCAGTACCTTGTGCAGCCTTCCTTTCCCTTGGCAGAGCGGTGAGATGACCAGGCAGCCAACCTGTGGTGAGGCCTAGACACCACGCTGGCTTCACTGGCGGACATTTGCCAGGTCCCAAGACAGCAGTGGGGTCACCATCCCAACCTTGCTGCCATTTCCACTTTGCACGCAGTATTCAGAAATATGAAATGCAGCCTGTAAGAATTTTCAGTTGGTATGTCCTGCCTCTCCCAGGTTGTGGTGTCTCACTGGTACCCTGTCCCAATGCACCCACTCCCTCCGCTAGACAGACACAGACTTTGATTACTCTTCCAGCTTGTCAGATTATGGTGCCCATCAAACATCCTGCCTCTGTTGCCAATCGCAACACCCCCAAACACCCCAAAAGTAGTTGGCCAGAGGGAGGCCACATAGTAAGAACACCAAAGTTATTCTTTCCCAGAAGGGAGGGGGGATAAGAACAAAATGAACTTTGTGTAACTCACAGCTAGCAAGCTAGCCTGACCTTGAATACGGTAATCAAAGGGACAGTGGAAACTGGTTCTAGCCGCCATGAATGTTGCAAATGTGCAGGGAGTAAGAGCATGGCAAGCCTGTGTGAATCTTGGGCAGATAAGAAATAGACGTGGGAAATGTCCAGTCCTTGACAGAAGAAAGGACTCTTTGAAGCTAACAGCAGTGGGGGTGCAGCTACATTGATGTACTGATGCATTAGGTGTGTACTGAGTGACCTAGTCACGTACATAGGGTATAAAATGCATGTACTGGGGACACTCCTTTGGGCTGCCCCTTTTGTCAGCCTCTTTTGTCTCCCTTTATTCTATAGTACACTAGCTGGTTTGGCTCTAAGTCTTGTCTCAGGCTCCTTTTGACACAGGTTGGGGTCCACTTGGGTTTGCCCCAGCTGTTGACTGGCTGAGTTTGGTAACACCTCCATTCCAGAATCTGTCTTGGATGCCACCAGACACCCGAGGCAGCAGCTCCAGAGCCTTCTGCACAACAGTAGCCCTCGTGTTATCAAGCCATGCTTGTGCAAGAGGTTGTGGATATGCAAAAAGCTTATTGTGTCACAGAAACCTTAAGAACAGAGGCAGAACTACACCAGATTCTGGTAAATTGAGTGCTTGTGCCTGAATGGTTTGCTCATGAACTAAAGTTTTGATTTTTTCTGCCTGAAATCTGGTAGCGTCTCTAGCTGAAACATGCACAGCTTTAGGAATTAAACATCTATGAGCTGGATTGTAGCACAAGAATCCCAAGGAATTAAGTGTGTGTGGAAAACAGACCTGTCAACCAATTAAAGATTTCTAGGGTATAATCTTATGCACAGAAGAAAAATCCTCTAGACCTTTTAGACAGGAAGAAATGTCCTACAGTCAGGGTATAATGATCAGATGATACAGGACCACAAAAGCAGGTGCTAACAACAGGTAAGCTGCAAAAGAAATAAGGCAACAGATGCTCTCTAACCCCACCTTAGTCACCCCACACAAAGAGAAATCTTCACATGGCAGGAGATAAACAAGTGAAAGCTTCAGACTTCAGAGCAAAGAACTCCAGGTGTCTCAGGTAAGCAAGTCAAGCTAGGACTTGCATGCAGGAAGTCCCGGGGTAAGTCCCTGGCATCTTTAATGGTTGCATTTTTGTTTTAAAAGGTTGGGTTGCAGATGAAGAGAAAGCCTGTCACCTGAGCCTCTGGAAAGCCACTGCTGGTCACAGTAGTCTGCACAAAACTGGAGGGACAAATATTCTCTGACCTGGTTTAAGCACGACAACACAGCAGAGAGAAAAACTCAATACACCCAGTTTATTCAAGTCCTCCTTCTAGCCCAAAAATTCTGCCATAAGCAGGACCTGGGCATGAATAATACCCATTGGCAGAGCCATCCTTAGGGATACTTTGATTAGCACAAAACTCCATGATTTCCTTGGTGGAAGTTCCTGATGCACCTCCATGCGTTCCAACTGCTTTTCAGGAATCCACAATAAATTAATTGGGAAATTCTACTTGATTACCTGTTGCCCATGGAAAGCCGATTGCCCCCTTTCTCCTTCCTGCTTTTCCCAGAAGATGCTCTTCTGAGTGTGACCCTGTGGGCAAGGAAAGGGATAATTAGGAAAACATGGAAGGTTAGGTGCGCTTCTGAGAAATGTAGAACGCACATGAGGAGATGACCTGGGAGGAACTCAGAGTCATGTAGTGACATAACCTGTCACGACCCACACCATCTGCAACTCTTTTTAAAACCAGCAGTTTAAAAGGACTCACCCTAAATCAAGGAACTTCCTCCGGGTTTTCTTGTCAAGCCCAATGGTGGGACTTGCAGGCTCTGGTGGACTTGTGTCCCGGCTGTCGTCTGGAAGAAGCAGGGCGGGGGAAAAAGCCAGTGTTTTATTTGTGCAGTAAGAAATGCTTGCGTCAAGCCCTGCTTTACAACTGAACTGGGACTGAGACTCTTCCTTTCTTTGCCAGAGGAGTGGGGACTGGCTCTGCGAAGGAAAGGCAGTCTGCACATGTTCAGCAACTCTGCTTTCTGACTACAGCTTCTCATGTTCTGGCACAGAAAACAGTTCCTGAACCTGGATGAAATTAGGCATCAGAAGGAAGCAGAGAGAGCTTGAGCGTAGAAATATTTTGAAACAGAAGCACCCAGTTTCTATTACATACTTTTTTTTTCCTACTGGAGACTTAACAAGTTATTTCTGAAATGACTGAGCTATATCCACAGAGTGGCTAGCTCTTGGGCAAATGGAATCCATGTAGGAACATGCATTTCTACATGTCGATCTGCTTCAGCAGGACCAAAAAAGATTGCTCTGCGTATGTAACAGCGAGGAAGGATCAGAATAGGGGAGAGGACTTTTCTTATATTCTTATACTCTTATACATCTACTTCAGCATCTATGGTCTCAGGAATAATCCAAACAACTGGACAGTCTTAAAACTGAAACTGTGAGACGGGCTACCCAAAGGAAGACACGCACACTACACAAGATGTGGCACAATGTCCCAGTGTGGAGAAATTATTGTGGGAATTATATTTAAGGCCATACTAGATGAAAACTTTGCATGTAATGTACTTGGAGTATTTAAAAAGTGGATAGCGAGTTATTTATTTCTTATATTTATGGCTCACCTTCTTTCTAGGAACCCAAATCAGTGTTCATGATCCTCCTTTCCATTTCATTCCCACAACAAACCTGAGAGGTAGGTTAGGAATGGTGAACAGGGCCCAGGTCTCTATGGACTAGCATCCACACTGACTCCTGCACGGTAGCCCTAACCATGACAATGATTGGGATCACACCAGGGGCAGGGGGTGGTTGGAGGAACTTTTTCCTCCTCTGCTATGGTCCTGAGAAACAGCCTCCCTTTGAAGCTGCCGCTTGCAGAAAGTTGCTCTTCTAGTGATGCATTTAATATCACATCTAGTTTGTCCAATGGGTAAAACTGACAGAGCAAAAACCTACTGAAAAATAGTGTGCAGACCCCTAATAGGAGATGAATGAGGCCAATGACCAAGGCCAGCACCGTGAGGGTGGAGACCGGCTTGCTAACAGTGGCTCAGAAGAGGGCATTTCAGCCAGTTCAGGGCCTCACTCTTCAGACTATGGGGGCAAGAGAACACACAAAAGGCCAAGAGCCACCAAACCTCCTTTGCACCAAGTTAATTTTGAAAGCTCTCTAGGCGGGTCCTCTGTCTCGCAAGGATACGCTGTGGGCTGTTCGATTTCCATCCCACCCATTCCAAAGCTTGTCATGGCAAGCCCCACGCCTCCCTTGAACCCAAACATCCAGCGGTCAGTGCTTACCTTCGCTGTGCCTCTCTCTGCGTGCATAGATAGGCGAGCTGTCTGAGCTGTGGCAGGACTTGGGCGAGGAGCTGGAGGGGGTGCCCCCTAAGGCCTCCTGAGAGGAGGTGTTTGTCAGGGGCCGGTAACGGATGAGGGGTGATGACAGCTGTTCCTCCTGCTCCAGGGACCTCCGGACTGTGGAGGCATCAAAGGAGAACTCGGCTGTGCGAGCAAAAGGTGAGGAACTGGAGAGGGGCGATGAGACCTGGAGTGAGCCATGCAGCGGGGACCTCAGGCGATGGAGGGGGCTTCCACAGCCATCACCTGCCTGTAGGGGGAAGCAGAGAGCAGGTCGGTGGAGTCCAGGGGTTGGGACATCCTAGTGGAAGTTCACACGTGAGAACCTACATGACCAGGGCACCCTTTTGGGCAGCAATAACCCATCTGGCCATCCATGGAGGTTGTTTGTCTGTGAGAACCCATGGCCATCTTGAAAATAATACTGACGATAATAATTCATTTGTGCACAATGTAATACAAATACCATGAAAACAACAATGTTAGAGTTAATTTAAAGTAGCTAAAAATACAGTAAAAAGAGCCTGCAAATTAGAGGAGTTGCTTTGAGATTTGACATTTGAGATAGTTAACACCTAGCAAGCCATGTGCGTGACACAGCAGGCAGAAGACAGTGGGACTTGGGAAGCTGCCCCATTCTAGCTCAGCCTAGTGCTACAGTGACTGGAAAGGTTCAATACAGGTTGTCATTAAACTGTGGGTTGATGAAATGAGTTCTTTTGTTGTCTGAAGCCTGCCAAAGTGGTAAGCCAAGGGGAACAGTCCACAGTTCATGACCATATCATGGCTTTTCTTCATGGATTGCTTGTGGTTAACAAACCATGCCTTGTTAGCTCAGCTGGGTTCAGAGACCATGGTAATCCATGTTTCAACTATGAGCATGTTTCAATGACAATCCACACTCAACCTATAGATTGAGATTGTATGACATGAGAAGGAACACTTGTTGCATTGTGGAAACTCAGTTGTGATTGGCAATCTTCATAAGAGCCAATAGCTTGCTGTAGGATTTCTTCAACTCAGGGTATATTGCCATGTCATCTGGACCTGGACAATCAAGTCCCACAACAAGCTAGCTGCTTGGCAGGAGTGGTTGGGTTCAGATAATACAGTAAACCATACTTAAGCGATGACTATGGATTGAGAGTTGGTTGCTGTTGAATCATGAGCTGTTGCCAAAACCCAGGTTATCATGTTTCTGAGCCCAGCCTTGGTAATATACCATAGTTTGGTAACCATGAACAACCCAGTTGGAACTTAAGTCAGTGGAACTTAATTAACTGATTTCACTTGGAGTAATGTAAGTCTGAATTCAACCATTAAAAAGTAAAACACAACTGTATACCCACTGACCTGGGAGTAAGTCCACTGAACTCAGAAGACTAACTTCTGAGTAGGCATATACAGAATTGTATTGTAAAATTTCTCACCCATTTTACCCCGGAGGCAAGAGATAAAATGTTAGACAATATTAGGACTTCTTTAGATCCAAATAAAACCAAGATTATGGCATGCAGAATACCAGACTGGATTAACATTTGAAACATGCTTTAATCTCAACATTTAGAATTCATGTTTTTAGTCTGGACTTTGCCTATTTGGTTATAGGCACTTTTTCTAGAGCCATCTCTAGAATAAATGAAGAAAAACATTTGATTTTAAATACGAGCAACAACTTTAACTACAGTCCAGAGCAAAAGTCCAATCTCAGTACCTTTTTTTGCTTTTGTTTTAACCCCACTGGTATGTGAAATAATAGACTGGACTAGATGACTCCAATCCGGCCCAGGATGTTGATGGAAGGGGGCCTCACCTACTCAAGTCGAGATGGATCGTGCCAGTGCCACCGACATGTGTACAATTCAATGTGCGTAGGAAAAAGTGCATGCCTGATTTCCTAATCAAACCCAGAAATTGTACACATGTGGCTAGCACTGGAAAAACCCCTCCTCATGCGTATAAATAGGGCAGTATCTCAGCAGGTATCGACTCTCCTCCAGGTGTATCGACTCTCCTCCAGGTGTTGGGTCAAATCAGGAAGAAGTATTGTCTGCGTCCCGCACTGATGTAATGTTAACCAGGGAAGAGGTGCTGTCTGATTCTGCCCAATAATAAAAGAACTCAACTTTAGGGATGTCTCTGAATGACAGTCCAGTTCTTTTATCAGGATTACAATCCCCTGGACTGAACACAGATCAAATGGAATCTGTAGTCATGGTTCGTACAGTTCTGAGCTTACAGTGCAGCTTCATGTATCAAAAATGCAACCAACAGTACGCATATGTCTGAAAGCTATGCATGAAAAAATGCATACTTTGAAAAACACGTATAAACACTTGACTCAATGGGAGAAGTGTGCATTCTTTTCAAAGATTTGGGCAAGTGATGCACACATTTGTGAAAATACACATGAATTTCCACGATAAAAGAAATGATTGCCATCTGATGCAGACACAAGATGGAACAAGTTTGGAGGAAGGATTTGGTGAACTTTGATGAGCTTGAGATTCACTTGCAAATGCATCCCTGCTCAACTCAGTATTGACCCTGAGTGCAAAGCACTGCCCAGACCTGATGAACATTTTAAATTTCTACCCACTGGCTAGAGCAACACCCACTATTTGGTGCCATTCTACCAGTCCTGTGCCATCCAACTTCCTTTTTCAGATACACACTGCAATCTAGTAGAACAAATTAGCTCCTTCCTTGCCAAAGCTCCCCTTCCTAAAATAAATGCAAGGGCAACTTTGCCCTCTTCCTTGAACATCTCATGCCATGTGGCCCGGCATCCTGTGATCAGAGGGGCTGTCAATCAAGTTCACACCAACCAGTAACTTAATGCCCACGTTGACTTGTCCCTCATCTTGCATCTTTGACCTCTCCCAGGTGGCTGCATACAAATTGAAGGGGGAGCAGCGTCCTAGGGGGCCACCCTGATAGCTAGCCAGACATAAAATGAGAGCAAGGCAGAGGGATGAACCAACCTTCTTCTCCAGGATCTCTTCCCCTTCTGTGGAGCTGACACTGTCTCTCAAGCGGGACCGCGAAGGACGTTGGCGCCTGCCCTTGGCTGAAAGCTGAGCTCGGGCCTTCTGCAAGCTGCTGTCCAGCCTCTGGGTCTCTGGAATCACATCATTAAAATCTGGGAGTGAAAGAGAGAAACGGGAAGGGTGGCAGTGGGGGGCAGAGGCATGGCAGGGAGGGGTGGGGTGGGGGGCAGAGGTGACAGGCAAAAAGCGTGCAGGTGAGAGAAAGAGAAATGGTGACACAAACAGCCGCGGAACCACAGAGGGAGGTAGGGAGTGCAGCGCGGGCAGGTGTGAGGAGGGGCACACAGTGATCCATGCAGCAGATGGAAGTGGGGGGCAGGGAGGATAACCCATTAAAATGAAACCCCCAGAGGAGGGACACAGAGAAGGGGTGTTGGAATGGAGGGTTAGAAGGGAAAGAGACACAGAAAAAGTGTTCAGAGAAGAGAGGAACACACTGTCATTCAGCATCATCCTTTCAAACAGAGGGTGAGGGACTTGACAGGACTCTCCACCCCATGGCAAAATTGGCAGACTTAGGGCTGGGGTGTTTGTAGGGCTGCTGATCTGTGGAGATTCCTTTGACAGAGATATTTCCCTAAAGTCGAGGTGGGCAATCTCAGTCCTGGGGAGCAAGTCCAGTTTCGCAGATGTTCCCCAACCGACAATCATTTGATTTCCCAGCTCCTGTGCAGTTTTCCCTCCATTCCAGGAGAATGAAATGCCTCTCCTAATGCTCCTCTTCTGCCAGGTATCATTTTAAACTATAGAATATGCTATTTGTTCAACATGCCTGCTTATTCACATGGACTGTGTGATGGAAGACACTGTAGGGTTGCACCTTTCGCTCTACTTCCGGTGTTGCAAATGCCCTCCTGCCCCAGCTGTCAGGTGTTAGCACAGACTTCTGAGGCAGGGAGGCACAGAAACATAGAAACATCATGAGTCAGAAGGGGTCTCCGGGGCCATCTAGTCTGACCCCCGGCTCCAGCCAACTCCGCTCATATAATCTTCAACATGTGGTTGTCCAATCTTTCCTTGAACAGCCTCACTGATGGGGCCTCCACCACCTCCCTTGGAAGCCCATTCCTTATCCCAGGGGTCCTAGCTGTCTGGAAGTACTTCCTGTTATCCAACCTGAGGTCTGGTTCCTTGAGCTTTGCCCCATTGGAAAGCATCCTGCCCTCCACTGCAGGAAAGAACAAGTCACAGTCCTCCCAGACATACCTATAAGTTACTAAAAGATCCCCTCAGAGTCGCCTCTTATCCAGGCTGAAAAGACCCAGTACCCTCAACCACTCCTCATATGTCATCCCTCGCACTCCGGCTGCCATTCTTGTTACCCTGTGCTGAGGTCTTTGTGTGACGGCTTCCTTGGGACTTGGAAAACTGCATGAGGCTTCTGTGGGGAGGCTCCCCTGCCTTCGATGTCCACATTGACATGAGGATGGCAGAGGCAGGATAACCTGGGCAATGCCAGGTGCAGGGCTGAAGAACCACCCTCTTTCTACTAGGCAGTAGAGAGCGTAATTTTAACATCCAAAAGCATGGATGCATGAGGGAAGTTCTCAGGGCAGCTCCATATTTGAGAGAGGTGCCCTCTCATCTACCTGGGCCATAGGCAGTGGACAACGACAGTCCGTCATTGTAAATTTCCCACAATGCTCTGGTGAAATGTCACATTGCACATTCTGGAGCATTATGGGAAAACAGTGGCTTTCAGCTACCCACCATCCAACATAGGAGCCTGGGACAGGCATCAGGCCCTGCGTGCTGAGAATGCCACCAGGAACTCTCCCCTCCCTGAGTTCTTATACCACAGTCCATCATCTCAGGCACTTTGTCCCAGCCTGGGAAGCAAAACAGGCTGAGGAGAAAATATATTTCAGTAACGGACTACAGGGAGGTAAGAGTTGAGAGTTTAGTTTCCCTCGCCCATGCAGACTCTTGCTTTTAAAATGACCACTCCCTGCCTCAGTCGCTTCACGCATGCTCTCACATCTAGGTTCACTGGCAGATCCCTGCAAATTAGTTTGGGCAGAGAGTCTGTGACTGCCCCAAGGTTATCCAGAGAGCTTTGTGGCTGAGTGGGGACTAGAACCCAGATCTCCTGGGTTCCTATACCAGGACTCAAGCCAGCACCCCACACTGGCTCTCTACAGAACATTACATCATGTTTTATTTGTACAGTCAAGGTTTTAGGCCATGTGGCTTGTGATTTTATTTTTTATTGGCTGAAGAGGTGGGAAATAAATATTCTAAATACACTACAAGGCAAATGGCATTGGGAGTTCTGAAAATCCATTTGTGGGGTCTCTACCACCTCCCACCCTTTCTGAGTTATTTGACAACTAGTCAATATCTGAATTTGGAATGAAAAACTTGACATTTTGAAATGTGTTTGTTTCGACAGATTAAAAGAACCGTTAATTTACTAATTTACTAATTCTACTGTAAGTCACTTATCAGATACTGTCAAATGTTTTACTGCTGCATGCCTGATATTGTCTAATGTTGGCGTCTGCTGCAAAGCGAGCGACAAATAACAGCGCTACAAGTCAGATACAATCAGACCCTGGCTGTGACCTGACCACACCGCTCTCACACGCTTGCTTTTGTAATGCTTAATATAGATGCTAGATAGCACAACGTTATGCATATCTACTCCTAAGTGAGGCCTACTCCCAGTACATAGGACAGCAGCCTAAATATCTCACACAGACACATTTTTCATTCAAGAGCTGACTTCTTCAGACAGAGTTGCACATGAGATACGCATAAACATGTGTAAACACCTCTGGATACACAGGCATACACACACAGACACACAGACACACTGTAGTTCCCTATCACCAACCCTTCTTTGCTTCTCTTTATTTCTCATCCTGGAAGGCCTGACCTCAGCATGAGGTTACCGCCTCAGTCAGCAGATTCTGGGGCTAATAGTGCCAACTTCCCCAGAAAATAGCTTGGCCTGGTCCCGCACTCTTGCAAATATTTATTTAATAGTCTTAAGAGAAGAAAGATACTGGTGAGTGTTTGAGTATGTGCACGTGTGCACTGTGTGTGAGAGGGAGAGAGATTTGATATTGGGAAATGGCAAAGGAAGAAATGCTAAGCATCTTTCTCGCCATTTCTGTTATCAGTTGAGTCAAAGTGGCTTTTAAAATCAACAACAAAATGGCTCACAGACTAAAGACCTTGCACATATAAGTTCCAGTTGTGAAATGAAACAATTAGGGTGCAATTCTCTGCAAGTTTAGACAGAAAAAAGGCCTACAACTCCCAGCATGTCCCAGCAATATAGGGAGTTGTAGGCCTCTTTTCTGGCAAAGCTTGCAGACAATTGTGTCTCCTCCTCCCCCCCCCACACACATACACAGCCAGATTCTGCCACATGTACATAATTACACAATATTCAATATTTCTGCAGCCCCTACCATTTACTATATACAGCACATGCCATCTCAGCAGCTCCTTCCCTGAATGCAGAGCGGCCAAGAATATTGTAGCACATGAATTGTTAATCAGATCAACAAGCATCTCCAGTTAGGGTGCAAGTGAGGGGTGTTTGTGTGTGTGTGTGTGTGTGTGTGTGTAACCATGCATATAACTGTCTCTTGGGTGTTGCAAGTCAGCTCCTGTTTAATTGACTACACAGAGAAGCTGAGAATCAAGGGACATCACTAGCTGAGCACATAAAATATCAGCAGGCAACATTGGAGAGCTGACAGTGAGTTTGTGCGTACAGAGAAAGAGAGAGGGAGTAAACACAACACTACTTATTTTGGAAGGGATACTAAGAAGCAGTCCATGTAGGCACTCTCTGCCATGGAAATCCTGCTCCTCAAAAGCTGGCTGAGGTTATACTACAGTGAGAGCACTATACATGCTCAGAGATGCTCTTATAGTGCAACTTCACAAAGGAAATGTGCTTGCAAGCATATGGGCAAATCTAATTTGGGCACTGACTTGAAAGTCCTTGGATAAATCTGTTCCTGGTTTCAGGATGAATGCAATGAACAACAGATCCTTTGCCCTTCCTGGATTCATTGCAACCAGAACTTCTGAATTATTTGCTGTGAACATGAGAGAGAGATGAGGGGGCACCCCGACTAGAAGGAAAGCACCTTACCGTGTGGCGGGCAGCTCATTCACTGTGACTGGGGTTTTAGTCCGGGCAGGTGGGAAAGCATCGCCCCACAAGCAGAGTGACCATAGCGGAGGAAACTTGGGGTTGGACCCATGATCCCTTCCCCAAGAGAAAGTGCTTGCGCAAGGGTGCACCATTCCTTTTTTTCTGACTGAAGAGGTCAGGGGAGGGAGGGGACAGGAAAGTCTACTTTCAGCAGCATAAATCTGGATCTGACCCATGGCAATCTTGGATGTGTGTGAGAGAGATGGAGAGAGACACACAGAGAATGAGAGAGAGCACAAGCGAGCAAGGGCTGAATGAGAGGGGAGAGAAACTGATTATGCCCTGCTTACAATTCTAAATAGAAACTTGCTGTTTATGAGCACTCAGAATCGCTTGTTTATTTTTCAGTGGTGTTCAGTTATATCCCACCTTTAAGTCAATAAGAAAATAAATCCTTCCAAGGTCACTTAAAAGTAAAACCACAACACAGTCAGTGCCAAAAGACAAAACTGATCAGGGGCACAATGGAGGGTGAAGCAGCCGCAGCCCCCAAGGAAAACCAGAAGGCCTGCAAAGTTCCACAGCAGCCCAAGTTGGCCGAAAGCAAACTCTCAAGCTACTGATTGGTACCTTGCTGAAAATAAGGCTATAGCAAAGTTATTTTTATTTTTATTTATTTTTCAATTTATAGCCTGCCTTTTCCTACAAAGGGCTCAAGGCAGCTTACATCATTTCTCCTCCTCCATCTTATCCCCACAACAACAACCCTGTGAGGTAGGTTGGGCTGAGAGTCTGTGACTGGCCCAAAGTCACCCAGTTGGCTCCATGGCTGAGCGGGGACTCGAACCCAGATCGCCTGAGTCCCAGTCGCATGCTCTTAACCACTACACCACACTGGCTCTCTGATACTATTTTTCTGGTTCTCCTCCCTGACCCCAGATTGCTATTCACAGATGCAAAGTTTGGGGGGCTTTGCATTCAGATCCAAGCTTGAGCTGCCAGGAAGGGGTGTGTGTGTAATAAGTTTACTATTGCAGGTCTTGTTTTCCATAACCCGCCCCCCCCTCACAACATGTGCTGTCTGCTCCTTGATGCTAAAGTGTACCCCAGGACTCCTTGGGCCATTGTAGGGCATCATTACCACCCTATTCCCTAGGCCCTGCTCTTTTCAACGTATGTACTACATAGGCAATGTGCCACTTTTTAATTGGCTGAGGTGAGGAAAAAATGGCAGCATCACCGCTTGAGGCCCAGTGTGCCTCGGAAGGAGTCCAAGCAGGCTAGAGCATACTGGGATGTGTATGACCTCTTTTTTATAAGCACTGTGTCTAAATGTGCTCTTAGAAGTACATTTCTTCCTATTTATTTATTTATTTATTTATTGCATTTCTGTGCCACCCCAATAGCCCAGAGGGGTGGTATACAAATGCAATGATATACATGTTATACATGCACACACTGCATGCAAATAGTGAGCTTCAGCATAGATTCTGTGAAGGCACAATCTATGCAAGTTTAGACGGCAACTGGCTGGAGCAAGCTGGGAGCTGCAGCCCTTCTGCCTAGAGTTGCATAGGATTGCCCCTGTAGTGATGTCATGGAAAGGTTCTCTCCTCCCAGTTCTTCATTCTAAGCCTTCGGGTGGCCATTTGCCCTCTCCCACAGGGGACTGTCCTCTATTCTGAAGGCTTGTTCAGTTCCAGTGTGAGGAGGAAAAGATCAGAAGGAAGGCCTGGAATCAACAGCGACGGTCACCTGATCGCAGTCTTCCTCACTCTGGTGAGATGTACTGGATTTCGATTTAAACTGTAAATTTGCATGCATGCATATACATTAGCATATGTGATGCTTATATGCCTGAGCACGTACCCAACTATATTTTTAAGCAGGTGGGAATAAAAACTAGTGGCTAGAGTATTAGACTAGGACTGGGGAGACCCAGATTTAAATCCTCACTCAGCCAGAGCCTTTGGGCTGATCACTAACTCTCAGCCTAAACACTTATCAGGGCTGTTGTTGGAAAGAAATGGGTGGGCCACCATGAATTTCTTGGAGGAAGAATGGGATAAAATTATCGGGCTGAATCCAGATTTAGTCATGAATAAAACCACTGACAGCAATAGTCAGGTGAGACATGGCTGACTTGAGTCCCATTGACACAGGTGGGATTCAGCCCATGATCAATAATGTGACAAGGCTTTTCCTCCACCACCTACGCTACATGTCTAGGGAGGAGACTGTAGCCCAGTGGAAGAGCAAGCTGCTTTGCACGCAGAAGCCCCCAGGCTCAGTCTGCGGTGTTTCCATGCAAAAGGAGCAGGCGATGAGAAAGCCCTTTTGTTACCCGAGACTCTGAAATAATAGTGGGTTAGGGGGACAAGCAGTCTAGCCTTGTATCAGCATCTTATGTCCCTTGGAGAAGCCAGGATGTTATTCTTTTAACACTGAAATGAGAAAGCGAGTATCCTGTAAGAAAAGAAGGGCCCTGGGACATGTTTTGACGGATTGTGCAAGAGGCCCTAATGTGTTTGTGATTTTTAAAGAAGCGTTTGCTCCCCCTCTGACACAGATAGCAGGAAGGCTTGGATGACTGCAGCACACGCAGCTACTGCCTCTCTCCACCCCGCTCTGCCCTCAAAGCTCTGAAATGGAAAATGCCCAGAGGCCGCAGGAGTGGGCGACACAGCCATGGTATCAAAATCCACCCCGTGCAGCAAGCACAGCTAAGGATTTGTGTGCCATCCTGACCCAAATGACCCATGCATCGTGTATATAGACACAATGCACCCCGGTCATCAGGGCTTTGTCTAGACAGCAATTTTAAATTTGCTGCCCTGAACTCATTTTTGGGGTAAGGACTCAGTCCTGGTGGTGGAGAGCCAGGCAGCAGCGTTCCGAGTGCGCATGGGCTGACCAGGAGCCATCATGTTAATTTCCCACAAGGCTTCCACTACAGCATCTTTGTGGACCACTGTGAGACATTACGATGTTGACTTCCAGCTACTCAGTGCTTTTTAAAATGGGGCCCAGGGTACACATCTCTGGTGGGCCTGGGGTGGCCATTTATGCATTGTCAAAAAACAGGAAATGGGTCACCTAAAAAGAGGATAGATTTGCAAAGCATTTGTATTTGCAAATTTAGAAATAAGTTAATTTAAGCATTTCAATGAACTTGACTTAATTTAAATAATTAAATATGTCTTGCAACAGATTTCCCCACAGGGTTGTTGATGGATAACTTCAAGACCCCAGTTCTTCCTTCATATGTTTCTTGAAATTTAAATTCTGCTTCGACTGGGCAGCCTTCAGATGGAGGACTGCCTCCTGCAATGTAGAACTCCTGCTCATCTGCTTGTTTTGCTGGGACCTGCAGTGGTGACTCTGGCAGCTACTAGAGGATGCTGCATGCTGCTGTTCGGCTGTATGCACTGACAAGAGAAGGGAGCAGGGAGCATCTTAAAAGTCCTGCCCAAGTTCTGTCAAGAGCATCTCCAGTTCAGAGAGACCCATGTAGCAAGGTATGGAGAACTGCTGCCAGTGAGAGTGGCCAATAATTGATTCAGTGGACTGACGGTCTGAGTCGGTGTAAGGCCACTCGTATGTTGCTATGCACCCTGGGTGTGTCCCTTCACCCTGCAGTCTTGCAGAATGTTTCCCTCAGCACAGCCCACTCCTAAACCGCCAAGGCTAACTAGCCGGGACTCTAGGCCAGAGGATGTGGCTTGTGCATCACCTTGGCCCCCACCTGCAGCAAAGATCCTGGGAGGATTCCCAATGTTTCTGCTCAGCTGGCAGCTACTGGATGGGGTGAGAGTGGGATGATGCTAGGGAGACACGAGGAGCTTACCAAAAACTTCATCCGCATCTTGGAGTTTGGAGGAAGACATAATGAAGTAAATCTGTGAAGGGAAGGGAACAGGGGGGTGGGAGAGAAATAGAAGGGAGGGGAGAAAGAGGAACAACAGTCAGGTTTTTCAATCCACCCAGACTTAAGAGCGAGAGGTTGTGGTGCACATAGGCAGGAGAGCAAATCCTACAATTCCAGAGTGCATTTCCAGATCCTTCTCTTACACCTCTCCCACCATTCCCATTGCGCCCCATTTGATTTCAAGATGACCCTCTTCTAGGGGTGCAACCCTACATATGACTGGCTGAGACATGCAGGGAATAGTAGGAGGCTTTTGGTCTAGACCAGTGTAGGGCTTGCACCCTGAAACTTATCTTAAGTGACATCATCAACAGCTGGAGGCTTCTACGTAGCTCAAAGCTCAGCTCTTGCGATGCTATTCTTGCCTCTGCTGCCATGGCACCAGGGTGCTATTTACTTGCTTGCTTAAAGAATTCATAAACTACCTTTCAACTTACAGACATACATCCGCAGACACAATCTGACAGGTTCCAGACCCCAAGTGGCTGATAAACTAAGACAGTGAATGAAGGAGTCGGGGAAAGTGACCTTGGGCAGGGAGAGAGGCAAGGGATGAAGGCGTGTGGGCAAATGCTCTTCCTGTATTTTGGTTACAGTGATGGTGCTAAAATGCCAAAGGGCACACAGAAAATAAAGGGGGAGGTTTAGGAAAAACTTGAAGGAGACGAGTGTGGTGCGTGGGGCTACCAGATGCACTTCCTTCAAGCAACTGCTGCTGGCTCATCACTGATAAACTGTCCAGATTCACATAATCATGGGGGAAAAGAAGCCACGGCGGCTTCTCTTCCCCTCCCCCGTGTGCGGGTTGTACAGCACACAATGTGCCCAATTCAGCTTGCAGTGTGCAGCTTGCTGCGCTGCCTGAAGCGTCCAAGTGCTCAGCGAGGGTGCCTTGCCTACGACGTGGCTCGGCACAGGGTTCTGGAGTGGTTTTAATCCATTCCCAGCCATGCACTTTGCTAGGTTTGGGTGATGCGGGAAACGGAGCCATGAGGGTAGTTAGGCCAATCATGTGGCAGGCATGTAGGGGGTGGGGAAAAGAAGCCCCCCTGGCTCCCCCCCCATCATGTGCATCCAGTGATTGTAGGGTGTCCATTTATGCATCGTCAAAAAGAGGATGAATGGGGATGTGGATTTGCACAAAACATGCATGTGCCACTTTACTGATGTACATATGGAAATAATTACTTTAATCTAGTGCTGTGGTGCAGCCGGAACTTGGAGGGATGCAGCAGCAGCCCCTTTGGACTAGCCAGGATGTCGAATTGTCCACCTGCTTCCTCGGAGCTCAGCAGCAGCCCTCACAGTGGCTGGGGCAGGTGGGGTGGCGGCAGCATGGAATGAATCTTCCCCACTACAAGACATTGACCCTGTTGGACTGCAAAGTAGATTGGGGTGGTGTGGTCTGAAACAGGCAATTAAACTTTGGGAAATGGCAGCTCTTGACGGAGATGACAGCTGCTCAGTCTGGTTTGCTGATAGGGATCAATACAGCTGCCTGGGTTTCTTGGGCTCTTTTTGGAGCGACATAGCTATGGGGATTATCGTAACGAGTGCCAGTTCCTTCAATGTTTATTGCTAAACCTACACCGTCTCACCATAGTGGAGAGGGCTGGTGTGGTGGTTGGACTGGGGACCAGGGAGATCTGCCTTCTAGTTCCCATTCAGCCATTACTTCGGGCCAGTCACTCACTCTCAGCCTAACCTACCTCACAGGGTTGTTCTTGTGAGGATAAAATGGAGCCATGTAAGTCACCCTGAGTTTCTCACAAGAGGAAAAGTGGTGGGATATAAATGCAATAAAAATATTAATGCAGTAATAGTGGCACATTGGGAGCTGTAGTTTGGATCTGGCTGGATGAACCTTGTTGTGGAGGTCATGGTACAAAGCACTTTGCAGCTGTTGAACGGTTGCCATCTTATTGCAGGGCAGCAGAATTTCTCAAACATGCCTTTAATTGAAGGAACAAATAGTCCCTTTGCCTTCCTGCAATTCATCACTGTATGGGAGGTGGGGATGTGGATTAGGCAGTGATCCCTGGTAGGAGGACTGTGGCCAAGTCCCTGCGTAAGCACACAAAGATTTGAGGCCTATAATTCACAAATCTGCATACATTTCGCATAGGCACAGGGAGCCGGTTTCTCACTCCAGTAACCTGAAATAAGATCAAATTCTAATTAATTTTGCATCCTAGCACAGCTCCTAAATTGGTAGCTCCTCACAGTTACAATTAATTTGCCATTTCTTCCTTTTGCATCTTCACTTTTCTCTGTGCCTGTTGGGAGGTAGGTTTCCCCTTCATACACTTAAAGCAACAGGTCATTGTTTGGCAAAAGCTCTTTATTCGCCAAAGTACATCCAGTAAGCACCATGGAATGAGTCCCTGAGCATGCATAGAGTGGTTCATTGAACCCTACCTAGTAACTACTTCTGAGAACTCTCCTTTTGAGTAACCCCGGGCCCCATCCCTTTTGGAGGAGCACAAGCCTCTTAGCTGTATGTCTTCCCTCTAGTTGGCTAGCCCTTCTCTCCTGATACCGATAGCGCATCATGGGCCAAGAGTCATACTTGTCTCCTGGAGCCTGCTCCTGGCTGTTGTAGGTCCAGGCTATTCTCTGAGTCCACCTCAACACCTGGAGAGTGTGGCCTTGAGAAACGCCCTTCTGCTTCTCCCATCTCACTACCTGGAGGCCCCATTTCCCAGGTCCTATCCTCCCCATCTGAAGAGTCTGAATCTTCCTGACCTTAAAACTTGTGCCAAGCACAACTGCCTCTCTCATTCCCAACAGTGTCCCTCCTAGAGGAAAATTGACCCCCTCTTGCAATTAAGCCTAGATGAAATGCCTCCATTAACACCAGTGGTAGTTCCCCCACTTCACTTTTGTCATGGGGGGGATTTGGGTGAGGGAGTATTCTAGTGTCAAGGGAATTAACCCCTTCCTTCCTAGCTACAACCTCCCTTGAAAATTGCCCCCAGTTTGACAATTAAGCTTTGAAAGATGTCTTTCATTGACATTAGTGGTGCTGTGGGGAATAGGTTTGGGACCCTGAGAAATAGGTTCAGGAGTGGGCCCTACTGGTCTAGTCCTAGCAATGTCCATGACTGCAGCCTTATAAAGAAGCCCCTGCTTTTACCTGGAACATGTTGGGGGGTATGTTTCTTCTTCCACCACCTGTTGATCTCCTCTAGTGATGATCTAGAGGATTGATCTCCTCTAGCACCTCCAAACTGATGCTATACATGGCATCCCGGCTTCCTTGAGCAATTTTGCCAGGTTGAGCACCTTCCTGGGCAAGCGAGTGCTTGCTTTATAAGAGGAGTGTGAAGCCCCTTTCAGCCTGCAGGCTTCATTCCATTTCGAGGATGCTCCCCTCCCGGGGCCATGTTGCATTGAGGGTGAGGCGAGGCTGAAGGCAGAGGACCAGGCCGAAGCGGGGTGGGGTCAAAATGCCCACATCCTTCAGCTTAAGCCCTTGCTTGTCACCGAGTCTTAGGAGAAGCATTTCAGCATTTTAGAAAGGGGCGACTGGGCAAAGGCTGCGAAACCACCAGGCACTTGTTGGTTAGTGGGAAAGGAATGTGGCCTTTTGGAAGGCCAGATGGTGGCCCCAGGAGAGCTGGATTTCTCCTTGAGGTTCTGTGCCCTGCCTCACAGCAGTCGCTCTAAGAAGCCTGAACTAGATGGCTCAAGAGATCCCTTCTGACTCACTCTATTTCTATGTTTCTATGTTTCTAAGTTTGCATTGCTTTAGGTGTCTCCTGAAAACACTTACGTCAGGAAGCCACAGTTCTATCGATATATTTTTATTGATCTTCTTTTTGATCTATTGTTTTTATTGTTCACTGCTCCACATCTCCAAGCTGGAATATGGGGCAGCATATAAATCTTGTAACTAATAATAAAAAGGATTAATCATTACACTAATAAATACATTAATTGTATCCTAAATCTGCTATGGGAGACTGGGCCTTTGGTCTGCCTTACGATCACCTTTATCAGTTGAGGAGCTGCAGCTTGTGTGTATGTGTGTTGTTCTGTATTAGTTGAATGATTTGTTGGTTTCTTATGCTTTCAGGCCATCCAATCACTAAAGGGTTGAAGGGTGGAGCACAGGTAACGCATAAAATAAAATAAGTCAATAAAACAATCATAATAAAACGTCGTGGGATAGAGCCAGCAGCAAAGAGTAAAATCAATGCAGCACAACATTCAATTTAAAGCCAACAGCAATGATAAAACGGTGCTCAGATCTAAAAGCACTGAAACAATTCTCCAAAAGCCTTGGTTTAGGTTTCTAAATATTCCAGCACATTGTTCCTCCCACTTCAAGTCCTTGTACTTGTGCCAGTTTCAATTGCTGGGGCAGGTTGGAAAGGGGTAGAAGGAAGGAAGGAAGGAAGGAAACCCTGATTCACACTTATTAGCAAAACGGATAAACCACCCTAATGGATCTGATAGCTTTTGCTGCTTCTGTCCCCGGGAGAGGGTGAGCCTTCAGTCCTTGCCTTGCAACAACCCATTACTCAAGAAATCCTGCCCACTGGAGAGCAGCTGACACCTGCCTAGTCTACCACTCCAGCATCCCCCAGCATGGGGATGGAGGCAGGAACAATCCTCCACATGTAACCCCTCCTCCTAGTCTGACACAAAGCCATGTACATTTCCTGGGGCTGATGGGAAAAGCCAGAGATCAAATGAATCTGGAAGATGAAGAAGGGTGTGTGTGTGTGTGTGTGTGTGTGTGTGTGTGTGTGTGTGTGTGAGAGAGAGAGAGAGAGAGAGAGAGAGAGAGAGAGAGAGAGAGAGAGAGAGAGAGAGAGAGAGAGAGAGAGACTGAGGGGTAGGGGAAGCGGGGGTGGCAGCTCATACATCTGAGCTGACTGATAACTATTGCTTGGGCCTACCTACTAGGAAAATGAGATGACCTAGAATCTATGTAGAAAAGAGTAGTGGAGA